TTTCCCATTCCATGTTGATCCTTTCTCACAGACTGAGTGTGTGCCACCATCCTCCAGAGTCCCCACCCCAGAGAAAGTGAGCGGTGCCTTCCATTTTAAAAGCTTTTGATTATCAAATGTAAAAGTCAGAGTATAAAAATCTGTGGAAAAGACCTTCTAAAATTAAATTGAAAAAAACTAAATTTATGTTGTTGATTTGGTGATTGGGAGAAATTCAGCATCGTAAAGTTTGAGCATAAGGCAATCTTCACTACCCTCACCCCTTGATCTGCACCGTTGACTTCAGTGGAATAGCTCACAATGTGTAGAGCTAAGAATGTTGTAAGTCTTTGCGGTATCAGGGCCCAGAAGCAAAACGCAGCTTAACTGAAGTCCAATCTTAGAATAATTTGATGTGATCTTAGAAATGTAGGTGCAAGAATGGGCAATATTTTCTTCTGAAAGGTTATGAATAATATGTGAGTAAAAGGAGCCACAGAGAAAATAACAGTACAAAGTATCAGAAAAGCTTGTATGATTTTGGGGCATCTGGCTTGCACATCTTTGAAGTGAAAACCATGTCATCAAACTGCTATTCAACTATGGCATCTCCTAAGGCAGCACTGACATTGTGAAGTGTGGTAGTTTAAAACCAGTGTGTGACATTCTTTCAATTTAATTAAATGCATACCCAGACTGCATTAATGCTTTTTTTGTAACATGCTATTTGGTGACAGTAAACATGAATTGTCAGAGGGAGCAGAACAGGGGTGATATGGTCTATGACTTATTTGTGATTTATGACGTTTTAGAAAATATTTTATAGGATCAGTAAGTAATCTTTCCTATCCTACACTGGGAGTTTTCTCTTTCTGTAGAAACATAAATGTGCTCCAGAAAATGCTATATTTATCTAAGAAACTGTGTGTTACCTGCTAAGTAGCATTACTTTTTAAAAAGTCCTTTGATTTTTACATTGAATGTCTAACAAGGGTGTAATTTTGGGATTTACAGGATCATTCACTGTCTTTAAAAGTCTGTTATTTTCTTTTGAGACCTATTTTTAAATATTCTTGGTTATATAAACCCTTAGAATAAGCCCATTCATTTTTAGTATCCAGGATTACAATGTGTAACATCATTTGAAGCTACTATTGACACTGTAAATCTCTATTTGCTATGGCTCTATCAAGCCCAAATTGACCTTCACAGCTGTTGGCCCATTGAGGTTCTATTTGACTTCCTAGGCTACAGAGTCACAAAGGCTGTTTAGACCCCTTTTCTTAAAGATTTGTTATATTCTCCCTTCCCCCCACACTCAGTAGCAGTTGTGGCAATGTATGTTGTATTTTTATGTGATTTGAATCTTGTCTTCAAATTCCTTCTCACTCAGTCCTCTAAAAAGCAATACTCCTATTAAAGGATGCGAGGTGGCAGAATTGGACCCAATAAATATTAGTAATTTAGCAGCATTGCAGGATGGAATGTATTATCTATTAAAAGTTTAGTATTTTTACTGTGGAAAAACTACAGTAGTTTCAATATAAATATGAAAAGTCAAAGATAAAATTACCGATATTAATATGGTACAATAGGTAAAAAAGATGTATAATTCTTGTCACAGAAAAAAATAATTTAGGCCCAATCCTGCAAAGACACTTGATGCAATATGATTAGTATGGGACCCATTCACTGTGTGTATAGTTCAGCACATGTGTAAATCTTTGCAGGATCAGAGGAGTCAGTATATAAATCATGACCAGCATTTTGTAAGGTAAAGTATCATGAGCTATACTGGCTCCTTGCATAATATTTTGAGTCCCATGAGCTGAACTGTTCAAATTTTGATTTACATTACTTTTACTAGCTGTAATATTTTAAAGTTGGTTTAATATGCACAGAGATAAAGGTCATTTTTGGCAGGTTGCACACAATAAATCATAGTTCAAATAATTTAATGAGGAAGAATTCTCACCTACTGAATAATTGATGGCATGATTATGAAACCTCTCTTGTTCCACAGGAGTAATCCTATAGTTTTAGAAAGTCCCCTAGTAGAGGTAATAGAATTCAAGTAATTCTAAACTTTATAACCTTGCCCCTAAGGATCATATTTTCAGTATTATTTACTTGCAGCACACACCGTGGGAAGCTACTTGCTAAGTCTATGACAAGGTAACAGCTGAAGCGAAAAGGTCAACAGACTCTTCAGTTGCATATAGAAGATGCCTGCATTTGCAGACTATGTAATTGTCTCAAAGTTTACAAAGGTTACACTGACTATTCACATTCAAGCTGTAATATAGGCACTTAAGATAACATTTATACTCTGGAGAGCAATTTAGGGTAGAGACCAATACACATCACTTTTAGGTTAGTCGTAGTCAGCTTTCTTGTTGTCCTGTGAGGTGCCTAGAGTCTTCTACTCTAATAGAAATGGCAGGATTGGGTTTTCATTCATAATCTTTATTTTTTTGCTCTGTCCTTTTTGTCCTCAATTATTTTGTTTTTGTTTTTTTGTGTCAGACCATCTCATAGTTAAATTGATAGGTATCAGTAGGTGACTAATGTGGGTCATCTTCCTACAGAGTCACAGTAATATAGGAATTGCCTTACTTCATCTGACCAGTTGTCTATCTAGTCCAGCATTCTGTCCCTGACTGTGTTCAATACCTGATGCTTCAGGCAAAGATGCAAGAAACCCTATACTAAGCAGTTATGGGGTAACCTGCCCATAGGGGAAGTTTTATCCTAATTCCCATTGTTTAGAAGTTTGTTTTTATATCCCTTCCAAAACTTTTTAAGTTTTAATTTAGTTGAAATCATATTGCTGTAACTCTGGATCCTGTAAGTGTGAGTTGTTTGTTCAATGAGTGTCATCATATCTCTTTAAAGTGGCTCTTCTTCCTTGACACCATTTTCCTGTGCTTGGAAAGTTACCTCATAAGGGCAGATTGTGACAGACCCTTGCATAGGTGTGCATGGGGAAAGGAGTGTATGAAGAACCTCCCTTCTTGTTGCATGCCCCATGCAAGGGTTGTAACAATTGCAGACCTTGAGCTTGAGGGCAATTCATTCACTGCTCCCTTCATGCAGACATGGGGGTGTACATACTTGAAAGAGGTTGAGGAGGAGTGGGGTGGAGGAGTTGGGGTTGCTGGCCAGTCCGTAATGTAGATAATATTGAAACTCGGGGGGCTGATCCTGAAAGCCTTTTACATGCAGAACTCTCATTTAAAATCCATGGGAGTTCTGCAAATGAAAGGCTTGTGGGATTGTACCCATGGTAATAAAGATTCAGTTTGTGGTGGGGTGAAATTCCTCAAGCAAAAAATATTTTATTGGGTGACATTCTTATCAGAAATAATTAAACACATTTCAAATGGGTTGTAAAATGGATCATTTGTTTCATCGGGATGATGGCTGCTCCGTCCCTGATTTTGTCTTCCGGATAATATCTGTCTGTGTGTTTTCATTACCCAGCTGTTCCCAAGATGGTGTTCAATAGAGCTGAGTGAATAACTTATTACTAATAATTTAAACAAACAATCTTGTCTTTTTTTTCCTGTTTGTAAATTTTATGTGACAAGGTTGTAATTTTCTTGAGTTTATTTATTGTTCAAAATTATTCAATACATGATTTCTGTGAATTATTCTTGGCCTGTAGCTTGTTTTCAGTTCATTGTGAATACACAGTGCAATATTCATCCCATTTTGACTGGACACTGATCACATTGATCCTGCAATAAGTTCTGCTTGGGCAGAGCCCTGGGTCTGTGTGAAGCTTCATTTTTTCAGAGATCTGCCTGTGCAGAGTTCATTGCAAGATTACATATTTCTTTTACCGTACTGGATGAGCATAGTTTTTAGAACCACAGGCATTCTTTGAATACATCCTGATTTAAAATTTGATACTCACTTTTCACAAACATTCAAAATGCGCTCTCTGTGTCAATAACCATTCTTGTCAGCACATTCATTTCTTAGAACATGTGTGAATTGCCATTTCACAAGAAAATCGTTGGTATGTTGTGGAGAGAGATCTAAAAATAAAATTATAATACTGTTCTCGTCAGCTGAAGGAACTCTATCTAAAAAAAATTGTCTCCATTGGGGACCAATCCTGCAACATGCGTTGTACCTCTGGAAAATGCTGGGCACTCTCAACTCCCATTGAATTCACTGGTACTTGAGGGATGCTCAACTTGCCGCTGGACTTGGCCCTGAGTAAGGGAACTCAAATCCAGCTGAGTCTTAGATTGCTCTATCCTAAGAGAAAAGGATACACCCACATACTAAGGGAGAGTCCCAACCCTGAAGAGTTCACGGTCTCATTAAAACATGATGCCATAACTGGGTGTAATAAAAAAAAAATCTGAAAGGAATCTGGGAGAGAGGCTGAGAGAAACAGTAATAAAAATATAGGTCAAATATATACACACTAAATAGTTTAGAGTATCAGAGATCCTGACAGCGAATTCAAAAATATACAATAGGAAGTAGAATATATTTTAAACACTTGGAGTCAGTTTTTAGCAGGGAGTGTTATTTGTACCTACAAAATATAGGCCCAGCCCTGCACCGCTGAAATATGTCATCCAGTTTGCTCAGAATTATGGCCTGTGCATGTTTTGGGCTTGCTCTTTGCAGTCCTTACTCAGGGAAAACTGATATTTGGAAGATTGAATAGAGATTGCAGGATTGGGCCCAAAGGATACGAGTAATTTTGTCAGCATCAGGCACGAGATGAGTGGATCAGATGTGAATACAAAACCCTGCATTTGATAATTATGTGAATCTTACTGAAAATATGGTCCTTAGGGTTTGTATCATATTTCTCCGTGAAACGAGAAAATATCCAATTATACATCAAATTACAATAAAATAAAGCAAGTTTAATTAAAAAAAGAAATGAGTAGAATATGAAGTGTTGGCTGTAAGTCAGTCAGTGATTCGTAGAAATTGTTTCCTATATACTAAATACATCAACTTCTTTTATTCTTAAACTTTTTTTTTTATAGGTATGCCCTCTGCTTGTTTATTAGTTAACCTTCTTTTAGCATTATTCATCAGCTTCACATCTGGAGAAACAGAAGTAAAGTTTACTGGGCAAACAGAATTTGTAGTTCATGAAACTAGTACAACAGTTATACGTCTTGTTATTGAAAGAACAGGAGACCCAGCTAACATCACAGCAATTGTATCGGTAAGAAACTGCCTGTTCCCCTCTTTTTAAATGAAATTTGGATATCTGTATGAAACATTGACTGCTGCTGGTATGTTTTCTTTCTTTCTTTCTTTCTTTCTTTCTTTCTTTCTTTCTTTCTTTCTTTCTTTTTCTTTTCTTAACTGGGTCATTGCAGTGGGATGTATAGCTAGGTACCCTTGAGGATCCCTGTGGGGACTGTTTTGAGTCAGAAATACCCAAATGCTACAAGTGAGGAAATTTCCATTGGCTGTGCCAGTAGAAATGTTTTCAGGCTACTGATAGCTACTCAGAAAGCCAACTACTATTCCTGGTGGAGCTTCGTGAGTTTATAGGGCAGTATGATTTGGATTCTAGATGGTACTTGAAAGTCCACTCCCGAGTGTGGGAGAAAAGAATTTTTCCTTCTCCAGTTTTTCTGGGCTGAGGGAGAACAGCTGTACCTCTTTAGTGACTTCATTAATTAGGCATGTGGCTTTATTACTTCAAAAAAAGGCCAATTAAGGAAAGATAGAGAAGAGATTTGCCCATTCAGAAGGGAAATAGGAAGATCGATCCTGGGAGGCACCTGCTATGTAGAAGTCAGGACACAATGATCTGAGAGATTAGATTGTGTTTACATTGTTTTCTTTATTTCTTAGCTATTGTTAATCAGCCTGATTCTGCTTCCCTTACTCACGTTGAGAAGTACCATACTTTTTTATATAGTCATATTGAAATCAATATGAGAATTTGCAGAGTAAGTTTCTACTCAACATGAGTGAGGGTGGTAGAATTCCCCATATGAGGGAAGATGTGTGCACTGAGTCTGCTACTTTTTATTTTGTGTAGATCCAGAGAAATGTGCCATGTTTGTATACGGTCACCAAACATTGTACTCTTCTGAGCTCAAACAATGGACGATGCATATTATTTGAGTTAAAAAGGTTAGAAATTGATGTTCCAGAGGACAGTGCACTGGGTATAAAATCTAGAGAAGGCATGAATGTCTTTGAAAACTGGTGCTCTTGTAAAACATGTAAAATGGCAGAGTTCTTTAGTTTTTATATTGAAAGGGGCCAGAATGCTATTACAAATATTTTCACATTGTTTTAATAAAGCTTATACTTTAATATAGCTATTGTTAGTTTTATAGAAGTACTATATGGCTATTGTGGTTGTTCTGAGGAAGAGCATTGCACTTGTGGGGAGAGAGACTGGAATTTGGCACCCAGAAGTTTCTGCTTTGGGTTTGGTCCTGCATCGATGACAAAATACAGAAGGAAAAGTTGACTGAAAACCCTATGATTCCAGTTAAACTGAATAAACATTTTTCATATAATTACTGCATCAATACCTTGGTATATATCCTTTGGCTAGAACAAGTGGAAAACAGTTTTGAAAAAACAGAAAACTAAGAGATTAGAAAATAAAACATAGCCCTATATATTGACAATGTACTAGTTAATTGCTTGACTTTATTGCATTTTAAATAAAAAGTTGAAGAAAGTTAGTAAACACTGTAAGTGTCTAGAGTGGTAATAGGCTTAATTTAGCATGTGTATGGATTGTATGATATGCAGACATGCATCTTTGTGGCTACGCTTTAATATATATTAAGAAGCAACAGAATAGTGCAATAAATGTAAGAAGTGAACATTAAAAAATTCAGACTCTTTTTAAATTTTGAAAAAGTGCAACCATTCTATAAACTGGCTGAAAAACAGCCGATTAAAATAAGCAAAATATGCTGCAATTTCAGAAAAGTGAAAATTTTGAACAACTCTTGTAGGAAGATGTGTGTGGTCTGTCCACACTAGAGATTTTTGGTCTTTTCAATAGTGCGTCAGGCAATACTCTTTCCAAAATTTTCTAATTGAACTTGGTTGCCTAAAGTTAGGCACCTAAATCCATAGTTAGGTTCCTAACTTTAGGCAACCAAATTTATAATGTTGGTCTTTGTGTACACATACCAAAATGCTTGAACTTTCTCACAAGCATTCTCAGCACTAATCTAATTTCACTGTTCCCGTTCAACCCTTACAAACAGCTCCATCTGCCTTTTTCCGTTCAAACTTTCAGTGCTAGTTTGGATGGTAACTTGAGGCATTGCAGCCACACTGGTTCAGTTGGCTTTCCCAGCTCAGTGCTTCAGTTCACCTGCACACCTAGCCTGAATAGCTTTGATGGTTCAAAGCAATAGGTTTGTAATTTGTCAAATGACAATCCTGCTTTCAAGTGAGTCAATGGGAGATTTTTGCCATTGACTTCAGTGGGAACAGGATTGGGCAGAGTGTGTTGCTCAGTGTTGACTGATCGCAGTTTAGCAAGAACATAATAATTTAAGAAATGTGGGTTTAAAGTAGGTTATGTTAAAATCTTTATTTATTCATAGCTAGCAAGTGTTGAAATGAATAATGTATAATAATTCCCATAACTGAAAATATATTATTATTCTACACAAATGGAATGACCAACAGGCAGTCCCGATTTAGAATGCATTGATGTTACTCTAGTAGAGGGTGCCAGAGAGTATGGTCTGCTTCATCTGCCAGAATTCTCTGTGTTGCATATAATCTTCATTACCTTGGAGAAAGAGAGAAGCAGAGGTTCCTTCTGGATCCATGACCATCATGTCACAGTACAGAGCACTCGGCTGTTGCATCTATACTAGTATTTGTTATACTAATAATGTGTAGTGTGCATGTTCTTGTAAATAGTATTTTAAAAATAGTGTTCCTATTTAAAATATGACACTGTGGTGCACTATGTGCAAGATAGTCACATACTGGAATGGATTAAGGCTCCCTGATGAGATCATGACTAGCTGTGAATAAGTGACATACTTAGTTTCTCGGGATGGGTATAGGAAGTTGCTTACTGTGTTGTTGTTGTCCTGTGCCATCTGTCCAGAAACACTTGGACTGACAGTAGTGAAGATTGAGGGAGGAGTAATATATAGAAAACATCATCTATAATACGTAAAGCAAAGTCAGAAGAAAATTATAGAAAGTGTGGAGTAGGTTAAATTCATATGTGTATTTCTTGTAGATTTACGGAGAAAACACTGGTGACTTTTTTGACACCTATGCAGCAACGTACATACCTGATACAGAAACAAACAGAACTGTTTATATATCGGTCTGTGATGATGATCTTCCGGAGGCTGATGAGATGTTCATGTTTTACTTGACATTACAGGTAAGTGTTAGTTTTTTTGTTCATCTGTTTCACTAGAAAAAAGACTTTGGCATATGTGGCTGCAGCTTACTTACTTACTTACTTCATTGGTGAATTTGGCTCCCCATGTCTAAAGCTTAAAGTTTGGACAGCGGGCAACCTGATAACCTTGTGCTACTTCTTAGCAGTTCCATGCACAAGACATAAGTTTGTTTACCATGCTTGAGACTTTCTGCAGAGGCAATATATTCAGCTATGGAGACTTTAACAGGGACTGTTTCCAGTTCATTAAGAAGCAAAACTGAGGTTCTGAAGAGAATCTTGTCCTTTCTTCCTTGTCCTGCCCAGAAAGACATTGCTTCAAGGGGAAGGGTGAAAAGTAGTTGGGAAACAGGATGATCCTCATTGCTTCAGAAAAAGACCTCCCTGGAAAAATATACCTTGAACAGCATGTAGGTAAATCAGTGTATATTGCTAATCCATGTTAGAATAAAAGAAAAGGAGTACTTGTGGCACCTTAGAGACTAACCAATTTATTTGAGTGCCACAAGTACTCCTTTTCTTTTTGCGAATACAGACTAACACAGCTGTTACTCTGAAACCATGTTAGAATGAGGCAACTATTGGAGAAGCTTGTTTTCTCCCTTTTTTTTGAAGGTTAACAGTCCATGGTAAAGTTTAAAGTCACTGCAATAAAAGTGAATCTTCATTTTACCCCTCTGTTTCATAGTTAGCACAAATGATTGACAGTAAATGTAAATATACGTTTCCCCCTCCTTTCCCTTTCCTTCTTCCCTTCCTCTCCCCATCAGTATTTAACTCAGAAATATAATAGAAAAGTCATAAACTGATCTTATCCATATATATATATATATATATACATGGTAAACTGCTGTAAACAATCTGCTCATGACCTGTAGATTCATATAAAACTTAGCTCCAAAATTTCAGCCTATACAGAATGCTAAAAAAAAAGCTCTTTCGTTTCTAGCATGACTGCATGCTTCATATCTAATTCCTTATTGCTATGGTATCATTAATAAATTATCAGGTATGATTAATGTCTTCAACATTTCTTTTGAGCATTTTATTGTTTAACCAGACTCAGACTCTATAGAATGTGTTTTCCATAGGCAGTAAGAGTGATTTTTGTGCATTCTGTTGACTTGAATACCTTTTTCTTGGAACTTGTAACCAGATACAAAAATACAATGAACCAATCAAAAAAATAAAAAAGCTCCAACAACAACAAAAGGAAAGACATACTCACACTTTGAATGAAAACATATTTATTTAAAAACAAGTTCTTACTGAAAAACTGCATTTTTTTAAACTGTCTGAATCGCTGGTTCACTTATCATATGTCTTGTTAATTTTAGAAACCATCTGCAGGAATAAAGCTTGGGTCACCAAGGTCTGTCACTGTAACAATCTTATCAAATGACAATGCCTTTGGAATTATTTCCTTCAATATGGTATGTTTTTACATTCTATACCTTAATCATTTTAAATAGTGTAAAGGGGTGATTTTCCAAAGGCACCAAAGGGCATTTATGTGCCTAATTTCCTTAGAAGTCTGTGTCAGTTGGGCACCTAACTCCCATTTGTGACTTGAAATCAGCCCAGTTACAGATTTCTTTAATATGGTTAAATATATATGACTGAAATTCTACTGAACACTATCAGACATGCTTTCATTGGGCTGCTCTCACACTGGGCAAGCTTGTGTGCTAGTCTTCCTAGAAGACATAGAACTTGCAGCCCCGGGGAAGGTGGGGCCTTGGTGGTTTTAAGCAAATCAGGAACTCCATACAAAAGTTTAAAGAACTGTAGATTAGTACCTATAGTGGAATTCACTTTATTTAGTGGTTTCATCACTTTGCAAGTGAAATGAGTCAGTGTTCTCCTTGTGCAAGTTGGTAATATACTGTCTTAACTCTGGGACCAATTTTACTCCCATTGAAGTCAGTAACAGAGCTCCCATTTATTTCACTGGGTGCAGCGTAAGACCCTCTCTTCTTCAAAGCAATAACATGATGTGTAATGTTGCTACGTGCATTTTAGAGAGCACAGTTCACTGCTGGTGTGAAAGTAAGTTGAGGACTACTCTATTGCCTTACATGGATATACACTCACTTATGCCATTGGTGAATTTGGCCCAGAGATATTGTGGTCCTTACTAATCCGTTATCAGTATTTTATACTTACATCTCAGAATCCCACACGGGCACCAACATGTTATAAATTAGTCAGTACTTCTGGAATACAGTGCTTGGGAGTGCCCTTTGCAGTGCTTCAGACAGAGTGTCACATGCTGCATTGTGGAGATAAGATGGGGCTGAACGGCAGTTGGAGCCCCTTAAAGAATTCTAGCTGACTCAGCTAGAATTCCTGGTAGTGTTCTAGAGGTACTCCACCACCTATTAAAACTTGCAATGCCTGCTTCTCCCTGCAATGCTAAGCTAGTTCTGTTGGCTTGTGTTGTGGTAGGGGCTGGACCATGGCCATGCTAGCTCTCCAGTCCATTAGTAGTGGGCAGTTCCATGCTTATGCTCTCCATCTTGAATGTGGCTGGCTCTTGTACAAGGAGGCCCTTTACTAATAAAGCACAAGAACCTTAGAAATAGCCCCAACTTGTTTTCTGGGTGAATTAAACTTTATTGACTGAACAAGTCTTTGTAGCTAAAATAGATTTAAAAACTCATATTTGTAAAATAATAAAATTGGACTACTTATGAAAATCAGTATCACAACATAAATTATGTCCTGTAATTTTAAAATCAATGTAAATATCTAACTATCTAATAAATGATTTTAGAAGGGAGAAAATCTGTTTTTAATTGGCTTAGGAACTTCTATAAATAATAATGATACAAGCCAAGTAGCTTGTATATGGTAGCGATGTTTGTTTCTAGAAAAAAGGGGGAAAAAAGAAAAAAGCACTCAAGTAACCACTGCTAATATTTTTATCTGAAGTCTTTCAAGCTTTTTATTAGTTGAACTAATTGGTTGCTAGGAAACGTCATACCATCAGGTGGACCAGTTTACAGATTGGATTAATTTGTTTGTGGGACTTTGGTATTTCCATGGTAACAGTTTTTTCTTCTCTCTCTGTTGAGATATTTGATCAATGCCTGATTGCCTGTCCCTTCTCTTCTCCTTTAGTCTGCATTAATCACAGTGAATGAGCCCACAGGTAGAAATGAATTTGTGCCTCTGACTCTAATAAGGGAGAAGGGAACCTATGGGACTGTGACTGTGACTTTTGAGGTAAGTTTATTGAAACAACTTCACACCTCAGCATACCTTCTTAGAACTGCATGGTTAAAATCATAGTCCTGCTATATATGTATGAATGTAGACAAAGGACTAATTGCTGCTGTCTAAATTTTGTTAAACAGGAGTGCTTTACTTGCCGCTTGAAAAACATTGTAGTTAGGTAAGCCAGCTATAATCTGAGGGACAATTGTTGGGAGACACTAGAAAACGGTAGATATTCTTTATAATTTGTATATTTAATCTCGGTAAATAATGATACAATATTTGTATTTCAGTTACAAGGTTTGAAAAAAAAAAACTTAGGAAGATAAACAAAGTTATGTTAACTTGCACCAGTGGAAAATAAGTCAGCAAGAACTAAAAATTGTTTAATAAAAGTTTTTTAAAATACAGAAAGGGTAAATGTCCTTGGAGGTGGGTCAAAAGAAGTTCTGAAGTGATATTTACAAATAAATGTTACAGTAGAACTTCACCATTTGACCTAACTTTTGAACACTTTAAAATGTTGGTTTAGGGTTTTCTGAAAATCTGGTACCTTTAAGATATCTCAAGCTTGGTACCCAAGAAGAGAGGCATGCAAAATCATTAGTTACTTTAGATTATTTAGGCCATACTGTATCTTGTATGATATTCAAATCTAGCAACATTTGAAATGTTGAATATCTCATTTAATTTTTCTTATCCACCTAAGTTTCAATTGTATACTTTAGTTTCTGCATTTCATATATAGTAAAACTTCTTTCATGTGGATCTCTGGATCAGTTTTGCTAGTTTATGGGAAAGCATAATTATAGAAACATAGGACTGGAAGGGATCTTGAGAGGTCTTCTGGTCCAGTCCCCAGCACTCAAGGCAAGAGTATTAGACCAGTGGTTCTCAAAGCCGGTCTGCCGCTTGTTCAGGGAAAGCCTCTGGTGGGCCGTACAGGTTTGTTTACCTGCTGCGTCCGCCGATTGTGGCTCCCACTTGCCGCGGTTCGCCGCTCCAGGCCAATGGGGGCTACGGGAAGCGGCGCGGGCCAAGGGACGTGCTGGCTGCCTTTCCCGCAGTCCTCATTGGCCTGGAGCGGCGAACCGCGGTCGGTGGAAGCCGCAATTGGCCAAACCTGCAGACATAACAGGTAAACAAACTGGTCCGGCCTGCCAGGGACTTTCCCTGAACAAGTGGTGGACCGGCTTTGAGAACCACTGAGCTAGACCATGCCTGACAGGTGATCGGAGGTTTTTAAGAGCATGCTAGACAATGATAGAGATTCCACAACCACCCTAGGCAATTTATTCCAGTGCTTAACTACCCTGACAGTTAGGAATCTTTTCCTAATGTCCAATCTAAACCTCCCTTGCTGCAATTTAAGCCCATTGCCTCAGAGGTTAACGAGAACATTTTTTCTCCCTCCTCCTTTTAACAACCTTTTATGTATTTGAAAATTGTTATCATGTTCCCCCTCAGTCTTCTCTTCTCCAGACTAAACAAACCCAAGTTTTCTAGATTAAAGGTTTTCTCGTTCTTTAATCATTTTTGTTGGTCTATTCTGGTCTCACTCCAATTTGTCCACATCTTTTCCTGACATGTGAAGCCCAAAATTGGACATAATACCTACCAAGCGTTTGATCCCTCACTCATTAAAATCAATGGAAAGAGTCCTATGGCCTTCAAAGGGCTTTGATTATGACCCCAATTGAGCTGTTGTAATTTTATATTCTATATTTAATATGTAAGTACAGTGTAATATGTGACTTTTTATGCAATTTATTGTTTACGTATTAGTGTCAAAGAAATTTTGCCCTCTATAGAATCAGTTGATATTATCACATAGCAAATAGTACAGGTACTTATGAAGTATCAGCTATGTAAAAATTCTCATCCTGCCCTAAGTAGCCTGTTGTTTGATTAGATTTCATTTGTAACTTCATTATAACTGCATAAAAATAAATAACTTCAATGTCACAAACCAGAAAAAAATGCCACAAAAGCAATTCCCACTAGAATTCTATCTCAGAATTTAGTTCCATCCAGATAATTATGTATAATAAATTATAGTCCGCATTCTTTCAGCTATTCAAAAGAACCAGTTATGAATCAGTGGACACTAAAGAGCTCTCATGGGCCCGTATTGAAGCAAATTTCTTCTAGTTATTCTTTTGGCCATCCATCCCTCCATCATGATTACTCTGATTTGTCCCATTAGACATTCAGCTAGATAGGCATATTTACCCAAAATAGCCCTTTTGTTGCAACTATTGCAACATGGCTTGTGAAATCAAAATTTCCTCTGCTATACCTAATATTTAGAGTTGTGAGGTAGGAGACCATTGACTATTCAATGAATCTTTGTGTATCCCACACAGCTTATTTCGAATATCAGACTGACACAACCATATTAGACTTGTATTCCTGTTTATCTGAAGTTACGTAAGCCTTGAAAATGTCTTGTATATTTGTTGATCAGAAAAATGAATTTTTTGCAGGTAGAAGGTGGCCCAAACCCAGCTGAAGAAGACTTGAGCCCAGCTAAGGGCAATATTACCTTTCCTCCTGGGAGAGCAGTGCTGATTTATAATTTAACAGTGCTCGATGACCAGGTAGGAACAAATTGGATTCATTTTAGAAGGTTTTGATATGCAGAAGGTGAAGTTGTATGCATCATGGCTTTGAATAATGAATGCACAAAACTGCTTGGCTTAGCGAAGGCTTTAGTGTGGTTCTGCTCAGAAAAGTGACTTTGTAAATACCAGCATTTCAGGATTCCACATTTGTTGTTTCTACCTTCTTGTCTGGCACCTCATCCCAGCAGCAACTGCGCATTTAATTAATTTAACTGCACAACACTCCTGTGAGACTTATTGTAAGTTTTTTGAGGTGGAGACCCTCTTTTTGTTTTGTGTTTGTACAGCATGCAGCACAGTGGGGTCCCAGTCCATGAATGGGACTCCTACCTACAACTAAAATACAAATAATATAAATACATATTTATTTAAGGAAAATATTATCCCCATTTTACAAATGAAAAACTGAGGTATGGGGCAGGTTAAGTGACTTGCCCAGGGTCACATACAAAGCCTATGACTGAATTAGGTATTGAACCCAGGTCTCAAAGTATAGTGCTTATCCATTATTAAACTGTCCCTCCTACAGTGATTTGTAAAATCTTCCATAGCAAATATTCTCTGTTTCCAAATAAAAATATATTTTTCTTAACCGGCTTTCTTTCAAAGTCAACCTGTAGTTAGACAATCAACTTGGGCTCTTTCCTTGTTTTATATTACCAGTTATGAAGGTATAGCAGATCATATTAACCCCTTATTTATAGTTATACCCTTAGTGATGCCTGTGCAATTTCATTGCCTTCAGTTAATGATGCATAAGATGGAACAGAATCCAGCAGTCTCTCTTAGCTGTGTTGGCTCTACATAGCTAACAGGTGTGAAAAGCAGGTAAATCTTATGTTTGTCACTAGAATAAGATGACATTACTTTGAGTGGACATAAGGAGCACATCTGTTGAAAGAGATTCATTTTTTACACAGACACTTTTAAGAATAGAGCAACACTTTGAAAATAGATAGCTTCTCCTTATAATAATAAAACAAAAGGCCCATGCTGGCCAAAAGCCTTCTAAACAGCATGAACACTACATAATAACTAGAACTATTCAAAATTTTTCGAATTAAAAATAATTTTATCCCAAAATGGCCTTTTCTTAAAATATGTGTGTTTACAATTTTTTCATTCATTTGACATTTTAATTTTTTTTTTTTTGAGGGAAACCCCAAATCAAAAATTTTCCAGTTTGTTTTTTCTCCTCTTTTTTCCCCCTTCCTTTTCTTTCCCTTTTTCAATGGCAGAATGAAAAATGGTGTTAGGAGTATGTCCAGTGTCTTTCAGAGCAGAGCGCTTTAGAGAGAATGGGATTGGGCCAGGAAGAAAGGGTTGGAAGCAGTCCAGAGTCAGCTTCACCAGATACACAGTGGGGAGCATGTGGCTCTCCTTTGTCTTATGTAACTCTGTTTTAAAGTTCCTATAAATCCTTACTTCTAACTATCCAGACTATGCCTCCTTATCAGTCCATAAGACAATTCGAAAGGAAGAAGCATAGGTGAGGGACTGGAAAAAAAGGCAGATAAGGTGGGGAGAAAACAAAAACTGAATAACTTAAAAATATTCAATAAATTCACCAAAAAAATGAATAAATAAGAAACCTGTGAAACAAAAATTGTTCAGAATTTTTTTTCAAAAGCTCTACCATTTTCAACCAACTCTAATGATATTTATAGTATCAGAAAAGTTTCCTCTAGACTGGTATGCTTGAGATGCAGAAACATCTCCTCCAGGTAAAAATTAATATTTCTGTAGTCTGTAATACCAACATGGAATTGTTGGGTTCTGCCTAGTAATCCTTTGTGGAGATAATGAAGATGTGATTATTTAGAGACGTGTTCTCAGAACTCTATGACTGAAAGCTATGGTGTTGCTGATAAGATTGCACAGATGTAAATGAGGGCGTATTCTGGCCTGCAGAAATCTCACTTATGATGATGCTGATGATGGAAAGAACCCAATTTTACTATGAGAACCTACACTGAATGTGCAGGACTGGTAGTTAGAAAGACATCTTCATATCTGTAAATTGAGCACTATCTTTTATATAGATATCAATGAGAAACCACAGACATGGGGCTCCAAAATGGCACTTTTAAAATATTTTTTCGATGTAGAACTACACTTTAATATGTTTTTGTTATTCTACTGACAAAATTCTTCTTTATTATTGAGTGGTATGGGAGTTTATCTGGGGAAAATAATAGACAAGCAGGACTGAGAAAACTTTGTGCCAAATTCTTTGGTGAAGTTTGATTGATGCTTTTGTCTGCCACTTATGATCCAATTAACTGACCCAACAGCTCCGAGTTGCAGAAACATCATTTGTAGTTAAAAAGTCTTATATATTTTGACTGTCTTTTAAATGGCTTTGCAGGAGAGTATGACCACGGGTGGGCTAAAAGAAACATAAATGAATAATATCCATGTTGGTCAGACAGAATAACTGTTGTACCTCAGTATGGGAGAGCCGTGACTTAGATCTTTCAGATTCCAGGTTTGAAAAAGGCTGTGTCAGTCAACAACACTATGCAAGTTTTAGTGCCACAAGCCAAACAAGGAGTGAAATTGGCACTGGCTTTAAAGACAGCTGCACACTCACTCCCATAGTCCTAGAAAAGGATCCAAGGGTGGCCAATTAGCAAATGTTTATGAAAGAGGAGAAATACTGGACAGCAGGGAATTAGAACCTTTTTAAAGAGCTGAAGGCAATAACAGTGCTTAGAAAGGATGTGTCCACTTTATAACTGAATATTTACCATCAGCAATAACTGTAATTAATTTTGCACTGGTATTTCTTTCAGAAGTAAATACTACTTTATTGTGAGTGTCAGAAACAAGGATCAGATACAGGACCCAATTCTTTCCTCACCTACATTCCATTCCCATTGGCTTCACTGGGAATTGTGTAGGTCCATCTGAGAGCAGAATGTGTGCAGTTTCTTTCATCTAGTCCTATATGAATGGTGAGAGACTGAACAAGGTCATGTCCATTTGCTGTGCTCATAGGGCCATATCTCAGGCACTCTGGCATAAACCACCGGTGAAGTCAGTAGGGTTACTCGGGATTTAAACCTGGATAACTGAGAGCAGAGAGAAAAGGAGTACTTGTGGCACCTTAGAGACTAACCAATTTATTTGAGCATGAGCTTTCGTGAGCTACAGCTCACTTCATCAGATGCATACCATGGAAACTGTAGCAGACTTTATATAAGGTGCCACAAGTACTCCTTTTCTTTTTGCGAATACAGACTAACACGGCTGTTCCTCTGAAACCTGAGAGCAGAGATTATCTCACAGAGAAGCAGTTTGTAAAATGCTCCAAGCAGCAGATAGCGATGGTCCCGTGATGCAAAGTTTCAGTCTCCTAAAAATCTGGAAGTGGTGAGAGCCAGTGTTTTGGTTCAGACCCATCTTTAGTTTCAGTATATCTGTGTTTTATTCATATTTCTAAAGTACAGCAATATGTTCTGGAAAATGGAAATGTTCTGTTTTGGGAAAGTGTTTTGAGTCAAGGTATACTAAATTATAGGTGTGTTCCCCTGTTTGCACTACTGAATGATCTGTTGGTTTGCTTGTACTGAAGAATAAATTAAGGCAGTTTTGATAGTCAGACTGCTCTGCGTATATTTAAAACATGAGTTATTCTTAGCTGTTAATATTATTTTTCCAGATACCAGAAAATGATGAAATATTTAATGTTCATCTGAGAAGTGTGGAAGGAGGGGCTGAAATCAATGCAACAAGAAACACTGTTCAGATTACTATTAAGAAAAACGACAGCCCTGTGCGATTCACTCAGAGTGCTTATATCGTGCCCGAGGAGGGTGATGTGCTAACAATTCAAGTGGTTCGTGGTAAGGATGACAGCGGAAAATTGATTGGATCTGATGAATATGAAGTCTCTGTCCGTTACATCGTCATAACTGGGAATTCAACAGCACACGCACAGCTTTATTTAGACTTCCTAGATCTGCAACCAAATATGACTATTGTTTTCCCATCTCAAGTGCATGAATCTGACATGAAATTTAAAATCTTCGATGATGCCATACCAGAAATTGCAGAGACCTTTCAGATTATGCTCCTTAACGACACTCTGCAAGGAGATGCTGTTTTAATAAGCCCTTCTATTGTCCATGTCACCATTAAACCTAATGACAAACCCTATGGAGTACTGTCAATCAACAGTGTATTGTTTGATCAGGTGGTTGTCATTGATGAAGACCAAACTTCAAGGTACTTTAGATTTTCCAACTGTAGCTAAAATGTTATCTTTTGGATTTATGAAACAGCTGTTTTGGGGGTAGTTTTCTTAGGGAAGGGGAAAATGTTAAGTGCTATAATATCACAATACAGAATGTATAAGTTTGCAGTTCTTCAAATTTTAACACTGAAGTAACATCATTTTTAGGGTTTTGTACATTAAGATTAAAGTTTTGTACAAATGTTTACTATTGATGAGATAGCTGTGTTTGGAAAATAGACATGGGCTCTGTAGCAATACTCACTACCTGCCATTGCTCTGTGTTAACCCCCACAATAGCAAGAGGTGCACCCATCTACCACATTATTAATAATCCCAGGAAGAAGCCTCTCTGGAAGGGGGTACTTTTTATTTTTTAGTAATGATGCAGGACTAGCATATTTTAATTACACAGTCATTAAACTAGTCCTGCATTCTTAGCTGCTCAAAGTCAGTGGCTCTCAACCTTTCCAGACTATCCGCAAGTTTCACCTCACTTAAAAACTACTCAATTACAAAATCATACATAAAAATACAAAAGTGTCACAGCACACTATTAGTGAAAAATTACTTATTTTCTCATTTTACCATATAATCATAAAATAAATCAACTGGAATATAAATATCGTACTTACATTTCAGTGTATAGTATATAGAGCGGTATAAACAAGTCATTGTTTGTATGAAATTTTAGTTTTTACTGACTTTGCTAGTGCTTTTTATATAGGCTGTTGTAAAACTAGGCAAATATCTAGATGAGTTGATGTACTCACTGGAAGACCTCTGTGTACCCCAGGGGTAAGCATACCCCTGGTTGAGAACCACTGCTCTAAGTGAATGCAGATTTTGTTAGAAACAGAGTGAACTAGGTACAATTTACATAATGTTGTGTTAAAAAATCATGGCATCTTGAATCATAAGTGTACTCACCTCTGGATATAACATTTTGTGGGATGAGAAGCTTCATATGGAAAAGGTATAGGTGTTGTAACTACATTAATTTGTTTCACTAATTTGTTTATCATGCTAAATTTACAGAACTACAATTAAAACACAATAATATATGGTCACCTTAATTTAAAATACCTCTCGAATAAAAATGGAGTTTTTCAAAGTTAGTTAATTTAATAGCAAGAAGCATAACTTTATAAATACTGAACGTACCTCATTGATACCAAGACAGTATGTCCAGACCCAGAAATAGTAGTGGTTTAATATTTCAATAGAGAAGAAACAATGATGATTTTGAATGAATTAAGCGCTCATGCCTAAGAGTTGTTATCTGATATAACTTGTAAACTGCTAAAAACCAAGGCTAGAAGAGATGAAAATTACTTACATTTGAGAAATCAAACTAATAGGTTTCACTAGACATATTTAAAGCTCATATTTTATAAATGTGTATTTCTCAATATCTTTCTTATTTAAAAAAGGGAGTTCAGGCTGTACCATCACCCATATTATATATGGTTCATTAAAAAATAGTCTTTGTGTTTAAGAAAAGTCTAAATCTAAATTATGATGGCATTTTCCACACTATCAATTAGATCAAACCATAGGGTTTGACTCTGATCTCATGTGAACCAATTAAATCAAGACTAATTCCACTGAAGTCAGTGGAATTATACTAGTATAAACCAGTTAAGAGAGATCCGAATCAAGCCTTTTGAAAGGGGACAAATAGTGTAAAAGCCTACAGCATTCAGAGGATGGATAACTAGGAAAAACATTTCATGTTTAGGATAAGCCAATATATGTTTACTTTTCTTCACAACCATAGGTTTGAAGGAATTACAGTTGCAAGAAATGGTGGAACACATGGAAATGTTTCAGTTACTTGGATTATAACTCGTAATAGCAGTGATCCTTCACCTGTGACTGCAGACATCACTCCTGCCTCAGGGGTGTTACATTTTGCTCAAGGACAGATGTTGGCATCACTTCTTCTGAACATTATCAATGATGATTTCCCTGAAGAGGCAGAGCCCTATCTGCTTAGAATTCTAGCTGATACAATACAGGGTGGTGCAGAAGTGAGTGAACCTGCCGAGGTAAGTCTGGTTTTATGTTGTTTTTCAGAGAAGTGGGCAGGGAAGTAAAAAGACTTTTTCGCGTTTAGATAAAGCTGATCATTTAGAAAGGCTAAGGATTTGTACTTAAACCATGGAACAAAATTATTTGTATCTATTTGTATTGCAGTAGTCCCCAGAGACCCTAACTGAGGTCAGGGCCCCATCGTGCAAGGCACTGTACAAACAGTATCTCTGTCTCATGGTTAAATGACAGTGAGGCATGTATAAGTCTATTTACTTGATTGTAAAATGGCCCCATACTGGCTGTAATAATATTCTGCAGGTTAGGCCTGGTGCAGAAGGGGCATTCAACAGGTGCTCAGTGGAGGGTTATGTGAAGCCGCTCAGGGGACAGAAAACTAATGTTAATGACTTCCCCCCAAGTGGCCACATGTGTATCCAGGCCCCATTTCTCCCATATAGTGGCATGGAGTTTACTGCAACTCTGGGCTGTAATCCCATGACATTTTTTGTTTAGGAAGCATCGGGAGATAGGCATAGTATTCAAACTGTTAGCAGCTTGGGGGACATTCTCCTCCTTCTTAGCTACCTTTACCCCTAAGCTCTATCCCTTACAAAGCAATACTGTTCAATGGGTGCCTTGTCATTTCAAGGATCTCTGTGAGATCCGGTCAGGGAGACACTGTATAGTCAGTGATTTTGCAATTACATCCTAGTGGCCAGGGAGGGAAAAGCAGAGTCCCTGGCTAGGGGGTATGCAATCATGCAGCTCTTATATGTGTGCCTCTAAGCACCTTGTCTACAGCGCACAAATCATTCTCACAATTTTAATTAATTGTTATCTTGGTTGGTAATTTCAACAGAGGCCAAGTATAGAATGGGCACGGAACTAAGCTATTCTTTGTTCTCTAGAGGTGGACTCATTGAGTCATAGTTGACACATGTCGATGGTGCACTGTGAGTAAGTTCACACAGCTACTATTATACATATTCTGTACAAAGGACACTTCAGTTTTTCATGAACACAGAAAAATGGGTGTGGAAAATCTCATGGTAACAATCAGAGCAACCACCAGTAGAAGAATGAATAATACTGTATGGTGTGTGCTAATGGTGACATATAGTAATAACGATATTTTTCTCTTCTTGTAGCTTTTGTTCTACATTCAGGACAGTGATGATATTTATGGTCTAATAGAGTTTTACCCTTTGGAGAACCAGAGGATTGAAAGCAACCCAAAAGGACGTTTTTTGTCCTTGAGTTTTGCAAGGCAAAGAGGAACAGTCGGAGTTGTGAGGTTGGTTTATATTGTCCTGTACGTTCCTGCTGGAACCGTGGATCTTGAGCGAGCAAAAGATGACATCCTAAATGTTTCAGGAAGAGGCATCCTCATCTTTCCGGAAGGGAAACCCCAGGACATCTTAAATCTACCAATAAGAAATGATGCATTTCTTCAAAATGGTGCCCATTTCCTCATACAGGTACTTTATATGTTAAAATATTTATCAACTGCTTTTCAAATAAACAAGGGCATAGTGTTACTAGTAGTTGCATACTTTTGTATGCACTGAGAATTACCAATACAGTATGTAGCTAGGAAATCTTTCTCTGGTATAAGGAGGTTTTTTCAAGAAATATATCTTGTAGAACCCTGTTCTCAAATAATTATTTTACTAGCACACGTCTTTTCTGTAAGCCCTCTATTATAACATAATAAATGTATTAACTAGAATTCAGCAACAAAGAATAAACTAATTGTTGCAAAATTTTACTGCTCTTCCTTCACTCCAGGGCAATAATACTTTTAAAGAGATGACTAAAATATATTGAAGTTTTTTTATCATTGTCATTATTATGGAAAAGGACGGTTGAGTAGGTTTTGTGGTAAATTTTCATGACGGTGTTACCAGAATGATATTTGTTCCTTCTTTTTCATTATTTGCATTTAGGACCTGATCTAAGGCCCATCAAAAGGTTCCCATTGACTTCAATGGGCCTTAGATCTGGCTCTTAGTCTACACTCTTGGAAGAGATCCAGATTGGATCATCAGTCAGGCCCTAAGTCAATCATGTGAGCCAAAGTCAGACATGCTGATGTAATATAAGGTTGTGGGAGATACACCTACTTACTGGAGTGTGAATACTGATCACTCTAGGGAAGTGTGTGGAAGGCTAAGTTGATATAACTTATTTGTCGAGAAACCAAGAGAAGGTATAAGAATTACTCTTTGTATTGAGGTAGGGCATAGGGGCCCCAGTCATGGACCAAAAGCCAATTTTGCGAAGTGCTGTATGAACAACTAACCAAAAAGACAGTCGTTGCACTGAGGAGCTTACAATGTAAGTATAAAACAGGAGAAAACAGAGAGATACGATAAAGAGAAAGGGGGAACATATAGTAACTATAGTAATATAGTGAGACAAAACTGTTCAGTATGAAAAGCTATTGTAACAGCATACTGGAATGGGGGAGTGGTCTACTCTTGTTACTTTTCAAGATACACTCTTCTCTTCCATACCCTTGGCACGTGACCAACACCAATTTACATTCCTTTAGACTAAACTAAACTCAGCAAGCCAAATCCAAAGAGGATAAGTAGGGAGTGTAAGTTAAATGTCAGTAAGTCTGGATGAATCTAAGGGAGTCTAAGCTGGTGAAACATACACCACATTGGACTTGCTTCTGAATTGAGCTTCGTAGTTTTCTTCCAGTTTTCTTTCCAAGTTCTCTCCTGCCCTTTATTTTTTCTTCTTTCTAATTTTGTTTCTGGAAGCAAGCAATTTCTTTCATTGCTGATTAGAGCAGGTTGAAAATTTTCTATCTAAATTAGTTTTTTACAGAACACCTGAAAACAAAAAAATTCACCTGCAATGCCAGAATGTTTTTGATTCAGAAATGCTTGCATGGTGACTCATGGGAGGTGTAGTTTGGGTGCCTTATGTACTCAGTCTCCTCTGGGCCAAGTTCCCCAGCCAGACTATCCATGATGCACCACAGTGGCTCACCAAGAAGGGAGACTGTGGAGCATCATGTGAGATATAGTCCAGCCAGGGAGTCTGGCCTATAGAAGAGAACTGGGGCATGAGGCATCCAAACTACAACTCCTGTGAGACACCATGGCAGCACTTCTGAATACAAAAGTTTTAGGTTTCAGCCATGTTTTTAGTGGGTTTTCAGACGAAAGTTTCTGGCTGATATTTTTTAGGTTTTGGACCATTTCTTTCAGTTTTTAATTTTTTTTTTGCCAAAAAGTTTGAAATTTCCCATGGAATGCTTCACAATCAATTTTTTTTGTTTTTTGTTTTTGCATTTTCATCAAAATTTCCATTGCGCGAAGGGAGACATTTTCTGATTAGCTGCACTGGTGATAGCCATGATGACCATGTGCCATTCTTTTAATTTAAAATTTGATCTCCCTCCTGGAGCCCTAGAACAGATTCATCTGCTATATCTGCTGCAGATGTGAAACATATTAATCTACCACACTTAAATACAAAGGAGATTTTAAGAGGTACTGAAATGCAGTAAAAGTATGGGATGTAAAAAAGCAAACAAACTAGTGCAGGATAGATATTGTAGAATTCCTCATGGCCAGTGATCCTATGTGCATTGCACAGCTTTTCAAACTTCAGATCCCAGACTTCAGCGCTGTACGTTCTCTATGAACCGGAAGGATCTGTGTGTTTAGATAAATTAAACAAGAGGGCCTCCTATAGTGGACAGTTCATTTAAAAACTCATTTGGAAAACAGCACTATTTGTCACTAAGACAATCCCTTCATGTTGTGAACGAGCTATAAGATCAGAGAGCATGGTTAGAATGAGAACATTACAGAGCTTGTACTGTACACAATAGATGAGTAACTCAAGAATTGGGGGAGGGAAGAGGAGGAGGAAACGAAGCTTGAATGAAGCTAAAGAATGGCTAGAAGAATCAGAGAAATGAGCTGAATATTTTTCAGTGACATACCCAATTAAATAATCTACTGTAGTCAAAGATACAACTTTTGGCATGTTAAGGAAGACTAATGGGCTTTTCCAAATTCAAAGGATCCCAATGTATTGAATAATTCTTTGAGTGATTCAGTCAGGCCAAGCACAGATGCTTAAGACATCCAGTGATAAAAGCCGCGACAACTCAAACACTAACTCAGATACTATGTAAAATAAAGTAAATATTTTACTACTCACTCATTCTTCCTCCATGCCTCCCCCAATAACTCCTGGAAAATAATAAAATAAGATAGTAATAAATGGGACTTGGTGAATGGCTATTTTTTGAGACAGCTGGTGGGAAAAAGGAAGAGTGTTGGAGGTACTTTCTTTATAAAATAATATATTTACTATAATTCTTATCTATCTTATCTGTCTTAGCTATCAAGTAATTGTTGGTGGTGAAGGCTGTAAAAATGTTTATGAGATGAGATGAGGATGGAGTAGAGCAGTGGTTCTCAAACTTTTTTTTTCTGCGGACCACTTGAAAATTGCTGAGGGTCTTGGCGGACCACTTGATGATCTTTCCAAATGTTATTTGTACCGTTAGTTAACTATTGTAAAGCGCTTTGGTTAAAAGCACTATATAAAAACCCTTTAATAATAATTAAAGTTTTTTTGTTCTACAAATAAAAGCACACAACTCATAATTTAATACCAGTAGTCTTACCTTTCTAATGGTTCCCTCTCTCCCCCGCCACAGCAGTTCCCAAGCTGGGGATAGGAACGAGAGGGGGGTCTCTCCCTCTCTCCCCCACCGCAGCCACCCCCGAGCTGCGGCTCTGAAGGAAGGAGGTCTTTTCCCCACTACAGCAGCCACAGAGCTGAGGCTGGGAAGGAGGGCCGTCTCTCCCCGGCAGCTGCAGCCCTGGAGTTGGGGAAAGTCGCCTCTTTCTCTGGCCGCCGTAGCCCTGCACATCCCAAATTTCCCCCACCCCCTCTTCTCACCCCACTTCCCCCTCCCACCAACCCGCATCCTCCCCAGGGGCACCACCTCACCTTACATGTGCGTCTTCTCCAGGGTCCAGGCACCTAATTAGTGGAGCCACGCCTGTGCGGAGCTCATTACCACAGTTTGAGAACCTCTGGAGTAGAGGCTCAAATGCAGAGTTAGTTTTTAGTATTAATTACAACCTAATACAATAGTGATTGCAAGAGTGGTAATTAGAGCTTGTTGAAAATTCCCAGTGGAACAGCTTTCCATTGAAAAGGTGCTGAGTTGATGAAATTGAAATGTTCCACAGAAATGTGTCAATTTATGTCAAAACTTTTGACAGAGACCAGGGGGCAGGCATCCTGCCTAGTTTTCTGCCAGCCTACCTGCTTGCTTCCCTGGGCTCCCGGCGTAATTTATCTGCACAATTTCTGCAGTTGTATGTGTATTTACACATGCAAATATCCAGTTGAGTTCACTATTTGAATGCTTAACATTTTGAAAAATAGATCCCTGAAAGTTTACTATCTTGTGTCCGAAAAGGAATTTTTGTTCATGTCTGTCTCCACCACATAGCTGTAAATTTGCTCCCTTGCTCAACAAATGTCATGACTGACTTTCGTTCATATTGACATATAGTGAAAGCTGCTCTAGCCTGCACCAGCTCCAAGCGGCTACTACAGCAACCGAGGGACAGCTGAGTTTTAGCCACACCTCTTTCCTTATCCCATATATCAATATTCAGAAAATATGTGGGAAAAGGAGCCACTGTGATGGCTTTACTCCACTAAAACCTCCCCTTTTGCAGGGAAGTTGGGGCCCTTTGGCCAGGCATGGGGGCTTTATCTATATCAGTAGACTTGCTTCCCACCCCTCTCCAGGAGTGCTTTGTCACTCCTCCAGTAAGTTCAGACCAGTGTATTCAACATGCACAACAAGGCTTGACTTGAGACACCTAGATATCTGATGGAGCCCTCTTCTTCTCTTCAGGACATATATTTTCAGCCTTGTACCACTGGAAGGAGACTTACAGTTCACATAACATAAAACACAAATGAAAGAATAAGAGAAAAATTGAAAGGATATTGCTAAAGATACAAAATGACAATATATTGCCACATATTTCTCAGTTAGAAACAACAGTGTTGCGCCCTTTTGATATTAAAGAATTTGGGTTTTTGTTTTGTTTTGGTTTTGTAGATGGAAAGAGTTGAGCTGGTGAATATCATTCCTCCAATCCCATCTGTAAGTCCTAGACTAGGTGCGATTTGGAATATTTCCCTGAGGATTACTCCTGACATTGCAAATGGGGAAATTGGTTTTACTAGTAATCTTCCAATTATTCTTCACGAGCCAGAGGACTCCAGTGCTACCATGGTAAGTAAGCCTTTTTCATACTGTCCTTCACTGTTGCAAGTTATTTATAGGAAGTTTAATCTATTTTACTTAGTGTAGTCTTTCAAAAGTAAATTGGAGAGAAACCTTTCTGTAAATCACACCTAATCTAAAACATTTCCCATGTCAAAAGTAAAAGCCAAGTTAGAAAAAGAACAGTTTTTTTCATAAAGGCCAAAATTGTGTAAGACTTTAATGGCATTATAACAGAGGGTGAATTTGGCCTGTGATATCTATAAACACATCTACAAAGCCAAGGGTTAATCTTTCCTATAGTCACACTCAACAAAATATACTGAGGGATATTTTGGTCCTTTTTCTCTGATTCAGATCCATGTTTGTGGGTCCTGGACACTAAGAGGTAAAGTTAGTTAGATCCACACATAGGAACTCAGAATTGGAGAGGCAGGGATCAAATGTGCCTTAGTTGTGTCTTGTTTGACTTAACCATCTAAATGGGCTAACCTTTTCCTAATGCAACACTTATAATATTCAAGGATGGGCTTGAGCTGTGGATCAGGATATTAATTTCCCAAAAGCTTGTGTGTGTTCAGGTTCAAGGTTTTGGTTGGTTTCCATCTCTAAGTTTGTTACATTTGAAATATTGAGAACACAGGGGGAAAATATTTACAACATTTTTGAATATAATGACTAAAGTTTTAAAAATAAAGTATTTTTCTGCCTGCTATCAAGTTCAATTTGTATGCAAATAAGATTTACTATAGTCTTCCATGTAAAATACTAGCATTGATTCAATATGAAGACTGAGAAATTAAGCACTCCAATGTCAGGACATTTCCAAAGTTAAAGGTTGAGCAGTCCACCTGAACTCTGCTTTTAGTTTTCCTGGCAAACACCTTGCCATCCTCATATCCTCGTTAGCAAAATGCAGAAGCAGCTAACTGTTTGGAGTTGGGTTTTAATCCTCATCCTGCCAAAGCCTGTTTTAAAGCCATGTTAGAAAAGCTACCCATTTAAAAGTTCAAGACACATTCAGCCTGCTGGTCATACTTAAAGGTTAGCATGACCCCAATCCCAGAGTCTAAACAGCTGTCACAAAGTTCTACTGATATTTTGTTACCTTTTAAAAAATTGTCCTATGGCTTAAGGGATAAAGTTTCTGCTTCGAGGTCAGGCATTAAAAGCTCAAAATACAGTAGAATGTTTTTTTTCATTTTGAACTGAATAAAAAAGGTACAGAAAATAAATCCCGGTTGCCTTCACAGTCTGTACTTATATCTTTGGACAGCTTATAAATGTGCAATTAAAAACATTTCTTCCCATTTAGCTTACAAAGACTAGCATTAAATCCCTGAAGTTTTAAAATTACTGTAAATGTGAAAAAAATCAAGAAATACTGAGAATCACTATCTTTTATTATTTTATTGTTTTTCCCCCCTAAATTTAAGTTACTAGGTGGAAGACTGACAGTCCTTGAGTTCTTTATTTATCTGCAGAGCAGTTAGTTTTCTATGCTGTCCCACAAACTTTGATCTGAAGATATTGGTAGTCCATTAAAAACAATGGAACTACTCACAGGCTTAAAGTAAAGCACACGTGCAAGTGTTTGCAGGATCAAGGTCTAAGATAAGAAGTTAGAAATGAATGCTTGAAATAAAGATACAGTTATATATACCAGCTCATCTTGTTGTGAATGCTGCAAACATGTTACCGGTTTTTTAGAATGACAGAGAGGGGAAAAGTGGAGTATGTATTTACCACTGCTCATGATTTTGTCACAAGATTACATAATTCCTCTGATGACCAGTTTGAGCCAGTAAGGTGCACTTTCCTGGGATTTTTAAAATGTTGCTCCCAAATGAGAGAGTGAGAACTATCAACCTCATGGAAATGATTATGCTGGTTCTTCAGTTGACCCACTGGTAAATAAAACATGTCATTTAGCCACTCAGGCACAGTAGTTTCCAAATATTATATATTTAAAGTTTGTGAGCCCAAAAGAAGCATTTTCAAGTGCACTAAGATTCTTCTGTGTGTTCTAATGTCAATCAGGGAATGCTATTTCTTTTTTTTTTTTTTTTTCACACTCTCATTTTCTTTCATTATTATCTTAATGCCAGTCTTCCCACGGTTCCTGAATTTGGACAGCTTCATTGGCAGGCTGTCTTTTTCAAACTCCAATTAAAACTCTGCTAATTAGTTTAAACAATTAGTTGATTAGATGGCGCTAAAATAATGAAAGTAAATATGTGATAATTATCTTTAAAACCAGTTTCTCTTCTTGAAGAGATGAGCATTGGCAATTCAGTCACACAAAGCTTATTACACTTATGGCTTCTTACTCGATTGTCATATGAATTAAGTTGTAAACAGCTTGTTTTATCTCTTTATTAATCTAAACATATATGATTATATAAATGAGTCAAACGAATACATGAAATACATACTTTCACAGTATTTCATTGATGTAACTCCATTGACTTCCATGGTGTTAATTCTGATATTCACTGAGGTAAGTGAAAGGAGAATCAGCCTGTCCATACCAATATGCACACTGTCCATTTAATAGTTTGTTAGGGTGTAGCTGATTTAAAAAAAATTAATCTGTTGCTTTCAAGGTCACAGATTGCCATGTTGTTTTCTAGGTTTCCATTGCTCTGCATCGAGATGGGACTGATGGACAAGCCACTGTGTTTTGGAGTTTTAAACCTTCTGGCCTCAATCCAAAAGCAGTAACGTATGATGATCTAAGTCCTTTTAATGGCTCTGTTTTGTTTTTATCTGGACAAAGTGACACTTCAATCAACATTACTGTCAAAGCCGATAATATCCCTGAAATGAATGAAACTGTGACATTAACCTTGGACAGGTATTGCATCCTGATAGTATAAAGAGCAAATGAAATACCTTTCATTTCATATGTTGTGAACAGTATCGGTTTACTATCACACAATTCATGCAGTGTGTTGGTAGAAGCCTGATGGAACATCGTGTCCTAGACCAGTGTTGTGGATGGTTTCTGTTTTCCCTGGAGGGTAATGTGGGAATGTATATTCTCCTTGCTATGTAATGAGTTGATTTCATATTTGCTATGGCAGAAATATGGTTTTGAAGACCTTGTTAGACTACTAAGTTCACATTTCAGCTCTGATCTCTCACTATATTTCTGTGAAAATATGCATGTACAAATTCACTTCTAAGAATTCAAGGTATCCAGAAGTTGTATAGATATGTAGCATGAACAGCTTCATAGTTCATGAAAATTTTGGTTCCAGCACTTAATGTTGATTTCCACTGGAAGGTCAACTCTCTGTTAGCTAACAGAAAACAGAAGTTAGAATTCTAATGGATATTGTAAATCACACAATACTTGCTACAGACCACATAGTACTATTTTCTTTGATGGGGTTTATGTTTGTTGCTCCCATTGAAGATATGTGGTCACTCTCTTTTATGATAGTTCTCATTCTTGGCTATTTGACTAGCTCCATCACAGCTCATGGATTCTCAGGTGACAGCAGTGGCCTGGAGTCCCTTTTTTCACACTCATCTGGTTTGGAGCTTGTAATCTCTCTTCACAGATAAACAGTTCTCTATGCCTTTGAACCTCCACACTGTAATGCATCTTGCTGCCACACGTATGTATACTTCAGTTAGTGCACAATACACTAGACAGACTAGAATCTCCTTCCTCAGAAGTTTTTAAGGTCAGGCTTGACAAAGCCCTGGCTGGGATGATTTAATTGGGGATTGGTCCTGCTTTGAGCAGGGGGTTGGACTAGATGACCTCCTGAGGTCCCTTCCAACCCTGATATTCTATGATTCTATGACTACAGGAGCCGGAGAAGAGTATAGCTCCTCCCCCGCTCTAGCTCTTAGCTCCACCTCAGAACGTGATTTACACCTCCTTCCCTGCTCCCAAACAGCCTAATAAGAGCCCCTAATATATACATATAAAAAATCCCTTCCATTTGCTACTTCACCTCCCAGTGCTCCGGGGAAGAACTTTCCAGCTGTGCTCCTCCTTCCAGCACAACAGATGAGCATACTTGCTATATGCTGGGCACCTGGTGCACCCCTCACCCCTGAGATCTTCGTCAAGGACAGCTATAGCTAGCACCCAACATTTGCCTTCTCCAGTTGGTGTCTTATCTGGAAGAAACACTTGCAAGGGATGCACACTAGCTCCCAGAAAGCTGAACTCTAGACACCCATAGCCAATCAAATGCAGTCATTTCACATAAGCATACAACAGGTGAAGAGAAAAACCAGAACCTCAAGTTCCTACTGATCTATACAAGGTCAGCATTCAGGAAGACAGTTTATCATATGCTATTTGATCACAAAATAAATCATTGTTAGGCCTGCCTTGCAGAAACTTGGCTGGATGCTTCTGTGAGAGCTCCTTGTGTTCTCCACAAGCTACTAATTACATAAAAGACATAGACCCACTGAAGAGATGAATACAGGAGGAATATTTCCCTTGCTTCTCTGCTTTTCTTTCTGTGGGTGGCTCTAGGTGGGACTGGTTTAGTCCTAAGTGGTACACAGGATCTGGTCCAAGAGGTCAGTGAAGCTGAACTGCCTGGCAATAGCAACCATAGTATAATTAAATTTAACATCATTGTAGGGATGAAAATACAAAAGGAATTCACCACAGTAGCATTTAACTTCAAAAAGGGGAACTACACAAAAATGAGGAGGCTAGTTAAATGGAAATTAAAAGGAACAGTGAAGAATGAAATGCCTGCAAGCTGCATGGAAATTTTCTAAAAACACTGTAATGGAGACTCGGACTATATGTATACCCCACATAAAAAAACCAACAGTAAAAAAAACAAAAAATTCCACCATGGCTATTCAACAGAATAAAAGAGGTGCTTACAGACAAAAAGACATCCCTTAAAAAGTGGAAGTCATATCCTTCTGAGGAAAATAGGAAGGAACATAAATTCTGGCAAGTCACGCGTAAAAGTATAATTAGACAAGCCAAAAAAGAATTCGAAGAGCAACAAATGAAAGACACACAAACTTACAGCAAATTTTTTAAATTAACATCAGAACCATTTTTTGGTTTGTATGGTTCCTGAGGAAAAGGAGGTTGCCTGCCCGCAGAAACTCTGGGCAGAGACTGTGGGAGATTGGGGACAGAAGAAGCAACTAAGGATGTGGGGAAATAACGTAGCATGATAGGGTGAAGAGAATCAACGGAGGATGAGGAGGAAGCAAAGGGGAGGAAGAAAAAACAGATAAGATTGATAGAAGGAAGAGACAGAACACAAGGTGGACTTCCGCAATCCTTTCCGCAGTGTGTTGCATGCTACAAGTCTATTCCCTCCCTCCAATCACTCTGATCAATCTCTGCCTGCCCCCATTGTGACTTAAAAATTATGGCCACAATGAGGAGCTGAATAGGGCACTATGCGGTTTAACAAATATAACCATTCCTGCTGTGGCTGTGCATTTCAGGGGCAGCAGGGAGTACTGATCTGGAGAGCGATGGGGGTAAAGTGTGTGCGAACAGTAAGCAGATTTTCCAAGCTGCTGTTGGCATGGTCAGAGGTGAAGAAGCAGAGAGATGGTCTGGACTGGAAGCGGAAACCAAGCAGGAGACAAAATCCAAATTTTTCTGTGGACCTATACAGTCTAATCTCCCCCAAGCCTGTGGCTGAAATTTGGCAGTCCTGGTGCTCCAGAAGCCAAGAATGGAATGAACATGGAGACCACCTTTCTCTGTTAGAAATGGCTCTTCAAAACCACGGGTGAAGGATAATGGCAGGGTGATGTGTGAAAGCTTGCACTGCTGCTGTCTGCATGGTTTCTATTTTGTGGGGAACAGAAGACGTCAGTTTCCAGGGCTGGCAACCCAGCACCTCTGAGCAGTAATGAATTAGAATCAACATAAAGAGACTGTGTGCTGGAGAAGTGTTTGTGCTGTATTATATACTGCAGCATCAATCATAGTGAAAATCAAATGTGTGGGCTATGGTAGCTTTAGTAAATCTATATATCTGAACTCCCACACACATATATGCATTTAGTAACACCATAGATAAAATATGCAGTGATAATATGAGCTCTAATGAAGATTGTATGTTACTTATTGAAATTTAGTTAATGTGTCTAACTCTATTCAGGTTAAATTTTTACAAAACATTACAGATTTAACTACATCCATATTTACAAAAGAAACTCTCAAGCCATCATAAATACATTCTCCCTCTCTTTGCTCCCCTGTTCTCTATTAAAAACTACCACCCTTCAGGAGAAGCCTCAGTTAATAGGTAGGCCTGACTGTGTTCCCTGAGTTAAACAAATCTGGGATCTGTGAAATCGAGTGGGGCAGAATTCAGCTTCAGTATTGGGGATCTTTATCTGTGAGAACCTTTCCCCCAGGCCCTTCCTGTTTAAATTGTGACACCGCTAGTTTACGCATTTCAGCTGATTGTAACTACCACAGTTGGGAAGAGACAATACTGGGACAATACTGTAGGAAGCCATGTGTAAAGCATGAAACAGTCACTTAACAGGTTAAAACTAACACCCCAAATTTCATCCAGAAACAAATTGGAGGCCAATACAAATTATGAAGGACTGTTATATTGTGCACCTTAAGAGAAGAACTGATTATGAGGAGGCAACAATATACTGCGCCCGGTGAAGATTCTGAGTGGGTTGTTTTGGGTGTAGCCTCATGTTGTGTGCCAGGCAGTAATCCAGACCAAAATATAAATAACACCAGATCACCGTGGTGAGAGCTACATGAGGAAGAAAAGACCCTTGTCTTCTTGCCAACTACAGATGGAAAATAAAAGTCATAGAGTGCTTAGAGTATTTATTCAAAAGCAAATGCTCACACATTTTTTTGAAATCATATCTGATGTAATTTGGGAAACTAGAACAAGGTTGTAGATGTACAATCTCCCAGATCTTCGGCTGGTGTAAATCTCCATAGTTTCATTGACTTCAGTGGAGCTATCTCAATTTACATCTGCTATGAATCTGGTTGTAAGTATATTCAGAAAATGTTTACATTCTGAGTTATAAGAAAGAGGTTTAAACATTGCAGTCACAGAATGTAAGTTTGTGACCTTTCAATGTGAAGCATCTGATGGTTTTCAGTGTAGTAGAGATTAGTCAACAGTGGAAAAGCAGCTAATTGCAGAAGGCCCATTGAAGGCCTCTCAGGCTGATTAAGTTCCTTAATTGCAGTGCTCAGTTGTGGTTTATGTGTTGTGAGATGCCCTCTGCACTGAGGTTCAAAGAAACACCAGCACATACTATAATATTTTCTCTTTACTCAGTGTTTTGGCTTCACTATGCTTTCAACTTCTCTCCCAAGAGAGCTGGTGTTCTAATACAGGGATGTGTGTTGTTCAAAAGCTTTTCATGTTAAACTCACCGAACTTTCACTGTAAAAATTTAGCTGGTCTTGTCTTCAGAGATTTATGAGACTTCTTGAAAATAAGGAATAGAATATTGGAGTGAGTGCTAATTTCAACTGCTATTGCTAATTTTGATTACCATTCAAGACAACAACACTGAATTTCATTTGTCATGAATAGAAAAATAAGTGAATCAAATATATTTTTGGATTAAACCCTAGGCAGAGGTATCCCTTCTGATGAGAAACTCAGTGGAATTTGTACTGTGACAAATCCTACTTTAATCCTTTTCTTTAAAGCTAGGTCTTGGCACTAATTAAATCAGTAGATAATCCCCAAAAAATTAAAGAGGGATGAGCATTGAATACAAACCTCGGAAGCAGAGTAATCAGACAACATTCCATAGCAATTTGAAGTTTACCTTGCCTGAATCCCTTGCTCTGAAGTAAATGTGTTTAATGAAGCATGGTTTTAATGAAAATTAAACAAATTCACTGACATTTCTGTTTTCCAGGCAAATTTCAAAGCATGGAACTCATATTTTTGCTGAAAGTCTTATTTGCTATTCAAAATCTTTGAACCTCAACTATGTTAAGTTTCTCCATTAGTTTTTTTAAAATTTAAAATAGAAATAGTTTATAAATACATAGAAATTGCCATATTGGATCAAATCCAAGGTCCATTTAGTCCAGCATCCTTTCTGACAGTGTTCAGTACCAGCTAATTGAAGAGAATGTGCAAGAAACCTTGTGAAGCTTGTGTAAATTGTAAGAGGCATTTAGGGGACAATATTTTTTTAAAGTCTGTTTGTTACAAAAGTATCAGAGATAGCATATTTGATTTTCAAGAAGGAGGCATTTTATACTTTTTCTCATAGACTTATAGATAAGGTGAGAAGGCACCATCATGATTGTCTAGTCTGACCTCCTGCGCATTGCAGGCATAGAACCTCGCTCACCCACTTCTGTAATAGATCCATAACCTCTGGCTTAATTACTGAAGTCCTCAAATCATGACTTAAAGACTTCAAGTTACAGAGAATCCACCATTTTACGCTAGTCTAAGCCTGCAAGTGACCCAGGCCCCATGCTGCAGAGGAAGGCAAAATCCCCCCCCAGGGTCTCTGCTGGTGTGACCTGGGAAAATTTCTTCCTGACCCCAAATATGATGGTCAGTTGGACCCTGAGCATTTCCGCTAGACCCTACAGCGAGATACCAGGAAAGAATTCTCTGAAGTTACTCAGAGTCCTCCCCATCCAGTGTTCCATCACCGGCCATTGGAGATCATTGCTACTAGCAGTCGCAGATGGTTACATGCCATTGTAGGCAGTCTCGTCATACCATCCCCTCCCCTAAATTTATCAAGCTCAATCTCGAAGCCAGTTAGGATTTTTACACCCACTGCTCCCCTGGGGAGGCTGTTACAGAACTTCACTCCTCTGATGGTTTCTGTTACAAACTTAAATGAGATCAGATCAGATCAGATCTTCCTAATAAGTATTTTATAGTGAAATTGTAAGTTTGACAGCTTTTTTCCCCATAACTTTTGCTTGGAGAAAACAAAACTAAAATCTTTGACATATGCGTCAATACGTTCCGACATAGGCATCATTACAGTGCTGCCAGTGTATCCTTTAGCTGTGGGTACAGTAGGGGAAGTGTAAAATGAATCTGCTCCTCAGGGGATAAATCAGTGTTTGTCACCAGGATCAGATAATAAAAAGCAACCTTTGTTCCTGAGAACTGCTCAAGTGCACTTGAGGATTTGTCTCAATATGCATAGGGAATTGGGAAGGACTAAGGTCATGTGCAACTCTCTGCAGCAGTTGGAATATTTGCTTCCATAATGCAAAACCTCAATGTGCACCAGACAGAGCGCGGAAAGAGGCTGTTACAGGCAATATGCCTGGGTATAGGCATGGTATTTGCTGTTCTGGATTAGATCCCTAGTTCACTGCTACAAGTGAGCAGTCCCATTGAATCAAAAGGACTACTTTTGTGATTAAAGTTAAGCACACACACACACAAGTTTGCAGAATTGGGGCCTAAATCAGTAAAGTATATTCATTAATATGCAGTACTAGAAAATAAAAATTAGCAGGATCAGGCTCATTTCCCCAAGAAAATATAGCATCCAAGTGAAGTCACATGGTGCTCTAATGTGAACCTTTGGCTCTAAATTTCAAATTCACAACACTAATTTCTTTTTTTTTAGTCTCTTAGTGATTAATGTATTTGATAACACAGGTTGTAAATATTCAGGGCCAGCATACTTACCCTGTGAGTGATCCTAACGAGTAGAAGTTATGAAATCTAATCCTCATTGTTTCTATTTAATATTTTATTTTTTTCATAGGTGTTTATTTTTTCAGAAAGAATATACAAATAAAGTTAGGAAAATACATCATGTCAAAGCAGCTTTATTATCCTCATTAGCCTGGATACAGTGCATATATTTTTTAAAAGGACCCAGTCTTGCTTGGATTGAAGTCGATGGCAAAACTCTCTTTGACTTCAAAGGGAGCAGAAGCAACCTCTCTGATATTAATTTGTAAGAACACCCAGTTTTTTATTTCAGGTTGTAAGCCTCATGGTATTCTTTGCCTCTTTCCTTGTGGTTGCACTCTTCAGGCTTTATGCCATTAGCGTATAGTTCACCACAACTTGCTACTAGATGCTGACAAGCTTCCTTAGTCCATCTTCTTAACATAGATTTTTGTCTCCATTATATTTGGATTCATTCAATGTAACTCCATGCAGCTGAAAGAGATATTGTTTCTGGCTTGACCATTCAGTCATTAAGAAATTATTATAATTTAAATCCTAACAAATGCTTGAACATACATATTAAAACCCACCTGGTAGTCAGGATGTCTCCTTTGTGTCTTGTGTTTATACACTACCAACAGCTTGGCTGTTGATGTCACAGTGCCATTTCTAAGTATGTGGGTTATATTTGTTCAGATTAAAAGTTAATTAACTTTTTTGGTTTAGGAAACTAGGAATATTTTTCTTAGTATTTTCATTATAATAATGCTTGGCTCTGGAACACTTTTGCAGTGTATTTTGTGAAGGGGCAAATCCTGGCCTCAATGAAGTCAATAGCAGAACTCCCCATTGACTTCAGTAGAGCCAGGATTTCACTCCCTAAGCCTAACTGTAGCCTATTTGGACTGTTGTGATGCATGATGATATATGAAAAGATGGGGCCGTTAACACATAGTAAAAATATGCTGTTAAAAATTGCCGAGCAGAGACATACTCAACCTCAGTTCCAGTCTGTTCTGGGCTAATCATCATAATTTGGTTACAAATGTGTGACTAAAATTCAAGGAATTAAGAGATTAGAAAATACTTTTCTTTGATATTTTGTACTTTTGTACTTTGATTAATCAAAAAATTGTCATAAATGAGACTTCATGTAACTTCATGTTGAGCAGGGGGTTTTATGTGTTCTCATTCAAACTCTCCTTATGTTTATCTGCCAATATAGTCATTTTGGCAGATTGATGAAAAAACAGATTTTAGAGGAATGTAGACCTGAAAATAAAATTTTTTGTGTGTCTAATTAAAGGCACTAAGTAATTACAAACAGAGCTGAATAAAATTGACTCAGCTGCTGTGGTTTGTGAGCATTTACAGTGCTTGGCAGCCATCGAACTCTTGGGGGAGGGCTTAGTAAGGAATGACTTGAATGGGTCTGACATGCTGATTGGTCATGGGGTCATCTCTCCTAGTGAAAATTGCTGAACCTCTTGCTGGCATTTGTCAACAGGGAAGTGCCAAGCAAGTAGCGTTCCCATAAAGTGAACATTATTAGCTATTGGAAAAGAAAAAAAAGCTTTAGTTTTTTCATCCTTCTCTTCTAAGATTGGTATTATTGAAATTCTGGCAAATGGCACTTTTATCCCTCTCCCCCTTTCTTTCTCTCTGTATTGACAGGGTAGAGACAGAAAGGTTTGTCGTGTACTTTGGGTAAGTGCAGCGAGCAGTGTCTTTGTCTTCAGTGAATCAACACTTTGTTTTGAAAGTGGTTGGGTTGGACAAGACTCTGTCCTCTTTATCATTTCTTTCTCTCTGAATAAGCATACCTTCTGCATCTCCTCAGGCAATGCATGCTTCCTTTGCAGTTTCGTTTGGTGACATGGGGTGCCAGCTTGAAAATGCTTCTTTATTTAGGGTCTGTGAATGATAGATGTTATGAATGCATGGCTCAGCGTTTGATGTTTGAGCATTTGATGAAACAGTGGATTAGTTGTTTAAAATCGCCACAAGTACAACTTGCCTCAGTTAAATCACTGAGCTGAATACAATTGGCCAAAATAAGTGTTCCATAAATATCCTAAAATAACTTATGAACAGAGTTATTTTCTTCTTTAAATAACCTGCATATATTTTGTAGTACAACTTCATCCGCTGACACATCAATAATTTGCAGAGTTAACTAACACAAACAAGTGACACTTATTAAATAATGAAGGACTCATTGCTGGTTTTCATCTTATATTCTGTTCTGTGTCCTTTGTTTAGGATGGGCTGTGATAGGTAATAATAAGGAACCAGGAGCATTATTCTTCAGTGATTTCCAGAATTGCCTTTGGGAATTTGTGATTCAGTTAATTCCAAACATTTGATAAATTTTGGTCCCAAGTGAAGGTTTATTTTCTTTATGTCAAATACAGATCAAGGGTGGATAAGAGGTAGAACAAATGCAGACAATCATGTGCTGTACATAGATCCTAATTTTCATTGGAAACAAATAATCTGAAATGATCAATTATATGAAAGTCTATGAACCTATATATTATCCAAGTTCAAAGAGGCTTTTCAGTGCATCCTTCAATGCTAGCTTCTCTTGTGTCTTTTATGCCATCAAGCTTAAAGTGTCACCTGTCGAGAGTCTGATGTGAGGGGGAAAAATTATACAAAAAAGCTCAGTGGAGACGGGATGACTGATTTATTAGAGGACAGGTAATGTTTGTAACAGAAGAGGTCAGAATCACAAGTGGAAGCATAATTCTTCCTTTGGTTTCTTTGCACTCCAACTTTTCCATTAGCTCTTATTAAAATATATATAACCATGAACTCCTCTGTTTTTACTTAATTATGTAGGACTGGATTCTGTAATCAGATCTGGCCTGTTTGTGCCACTAATAAAGTGCAAAGAGGCCAGTAACTGGTCACAAGTTGCCAGCAGTGAAATCTCCCGCCACAGGGAACACTCTGCTGGCACCAGCACACCAGTTCCTATCATGCATCAGTCACCACCCGTCTTGGAATAGGAGATATGTCAGGAGTGGGCATGGCAGAGCAATGCTACCCTATGTCTGTGCTGCTGGTGTAGAGGCCAGAAAGGATCTTTCACCCATGACAAAAGTTATAGTTTCTAGGAAGAAGCACAAACTCCTACTGGGTTCAGGGCTAGCTCCCTGGTACCACCCCAAACATCCTGCATCAACCCAGTGGTAAGCCATAGGGGAGAATCATAATATCAAGAGTTCTGTCTAATTCCCATTAAAGTCAATGGCAAAACTTGTATTAAGAGAGCAGTGTAGGGTCCCAAATGTGTGACTACAAAATTAAGTATGGCTATCTTGGTGATGTTTATTACACATGGAATAAAGTACAACATAGCACTAAATCTGACCTTTAAGTATTCATCTGTACAAACGTATTTTCATTTCTTTCTTTGAGTGTTCTGGGCACATGTGACCTTGTTAAATTCAGACCAACCAGCCACAATACACTCCACAGAAATTGAAGGTATTTTAGATGCAAAAAAACCAAAAAAATAAAAACCAAACCAAACCAAAAAACCCAAAAACAAGTACATGAAAACATTCTCATATAATTGTTGTGATTTCTTTGTTTAATCAATGTCACCATTGCAGTTAATTATTGATACTCTTTCCTGGTTGGGACACTCAACACAAACCCATCAGAGTTTACCAAAGCTCTGATACGTTTATATACTTTGCACAGTATTGTATTTGTTTTCCAAACAATACTGCTCCTTCAGAATAGCTCTTTATCTTCCTTTCTCAGGGTCAGTGTGGAAAATGAGATCCTTAAATCTGGATTTACAAGTTGTGAACTGATCATTATGGAAAATGATGATCCTGGGGGAGTATTTGAATTTTCTTCCTCTTCCAGAGGACCCTACACTATAAAAGTAAGTTTCCATGGTAGACACCTGACCCTAAAAGTATATTTGAGTACTGGGAAATTGCTTGATGTTCCATTCTCTTTTTAAAGGAAGGGGAGTCTGTTGAACTAGAAATTGTCCGCTCCAAGGGGACACTTGTCAAACAGTTTCTGCGCTACACTGTAGAGCCTAGAGACAGCAATGAGTTCTATGGAAACACAGGAATTCTGGAATTTAAGCCTGGTGAAAGGGAGATCATAATTACCCTGCTAACAAGGATGGATGGAATTCCAGAGGTAAAAGAATTTTTGTGCACTTAAATTGTGTTCACAAATTGTGTAATTTTAACAATTGTTTATGACACAGATGCTTTTGCTTGTAGATTTTAGTGACATTTTCGATGGTTTTCTATTGGTTCTTTTCAGTCTTTCTTTTCCTTATCAATGGACACAGAAATAGAGGGAGACTGACTGAGCTATAAAGCTATCATATGTTGTGATACATGAAGGGGGGGGAGTAGCTCTCTTTGAGGGACACCCAGCTAACCAAACAGGTGTAAAATCCCTCTTGGTCTGTTCTCTGCTTGCTTTACCAACTGAAATGGCCCCTTAACTTCGTGGTCATAAATGAGTTCAAAAGGTGAAAATCCCAAACTGGGATGCGGTACAGCCCTGTAGGCAATGAGCAACTGCTGCAACACTAGGTCCCAACGGTTGGAGTGCTCATTCACAAATTTACTTATCATGGCCCCCAAAGTCCCGTTAAACTTTTCCACTAGGCCATTTGTTTGATGGTGGTAAGGGGTGTCAACCAAGTGGTTTACGCCATGAGCTTCCGAAAGACGTTTCATGGTCCCTGCCAGAAAGTTAGTTCCCAAATCTGTAAGGATGTTGGGGGGCCAACGTACCCTGGCAAAAATGTCTGCCAATTCCTGGCTCATGCTTTTAGCCCTGGTGTTGCTTAGAGCTACTACTTCTGGCTGTTGGGTGGCAAAATCGATGAAAGTCAGCATGAACAGCTGTCCTCTGGGTGCCTGCTTAGGGAAAGGACCCAGAATATCCACAGCTACATGCTGAAATGGAACCTCAATGATGGGGAGTGGCTGGAGAGGGGCCTTGACCTGGTCTTGGGGCTTTCCCACCTCTGGCACACCTCACAAGACCGGACATAGGTAGAAATGTCCTTGCCCATTCCCTCCCCGTGGAATGACTTCCCCAAATGGTCCTTGGTCCATTTCACCCCACCATGGCCACTATGGTGATCATGGGCTAAGCTCAAGAGCTTTTCTCTATACTTAGTTGGAACTACCAACTGTCTTTGAGGCTGCCAGTCCTCCTTGTGCCCGCCGTAAAGGGTCTCCTTGTATAAGAGTCCTCCTCCTATAACAAACCTGGACCTATTAGAAGAGCTCAGAGGCGGTTGGTCGCTCCGTGATGCTGTCCAAGCTCCCTTGAGTCTCTCATCCGCTTCCTGCAAGCAGAGAATAGGGATTTTACAGCTAACTGGCTGGCTGGGTGTCCATCAAAGGGAGCTGTTTCCCCCCCCGCCCTTCATGTCACATACATATACTTGAAGTTGTTTTGCATGAGATTGTATTAATTGGGGTCCTGTGCACTTTGCATGGGTATTAAAGTTTCTGTGACACTTTTTGAAAGGGTAGGTTTTGTCCTGATGTCTTTGATCAAAGTTTCCTCTTCCTCCGTTATTATACAGCATGCTGAAGTTCTGTTGTACACCTGACTACGCCTTTCACACCAGAAGTAGCTGTATCTCAGTGATGCTGTTTGCATATAGTATTTGTAGAGCTTTGGATGAAAGGTGCCATGTACATGTTACATGATGGTGATGATGATTTGAAATGTTACCCTTATGCTTTCCTCTTTCTCCCCAATCCATTTGAAAGAAGAGCAACTTTTTTTTTCTAATCTAAGGTGCTGAGTAGGGAATTGGCAGATTAGGCTGACACTTGGGTTTGAATGATGATCAGGTTTTGGCCCTAATATTGAACATAAGAACGGCCATACTGGGTGAGACCAAAGGTTCATCTAGCCCAGTATCCTGTCTTCAGACATTGTCCAATGCCAGGTGCCCCAGAGGGAATGAACAAGACTGGTAATCATCAAGTGATTCATTCCCTGTCACCCGCTCCCAGCTTCTGGCAAACAGAGGCTAGGGACACCATCCCTGCCCATCTTGGCTAATAGCCATTGATGGACCAATTATCCATGAATTTATCTAGTTCTTTTTTGAACCCTGCTATGATCTTGGCCTTCACAACATCCTCTGGCAAAAAATTCCACAGGTTGACTGTGTGTTGTGTGAAGAAATACTTCCTTTTTTTTGTTTTAAACCTGCTGCCTATTAATTTCATTTAGTGACCTCTAGTTCTTGTGTTATGAGAAGGAGTAAATAACACTTCCTTATTCACTTTCTTCACACCAGTCATGATTTTATAGGCCTCAATCATATCCCCCTTAGTCATCTCTTTTCCAAGCTGAAAAGTCCCAGTCTTATTAATCTCTCCTCATATGGAAGCCGTTCCATACCCCTAATAATTTTTGTTGCCCTTTTCTGAGCCTTTTCCAATTCCAATCAATTTTTTGAGATGGAGTGACCACATCTGCGCACAGTATTCAAGATGTGGGCATACCATGGATTTATATAGAGGCAGTATGATATTTTCTGTCTTATTATCTATCCATTTCTTAATGTTTCCCAACATTCTGTTCTCTTTTTTGATTGCCACTGCACATTGAGTGGATGTTTTCAGAGAACTATCCACAATGACTCCAAGATCTCTTTCTTGAGTGGTAACAGCCAATTTAGACCCCATCTTTTTATATGTCTAGTTGGGATTATGTTTTCCAATGTGCATTACTTTGCATTTATCAACATTGAATTTTGTCTGCCATTTTGTTGGCCAGTCACTCAGTTTTGAGAGATCCTTTTGTAGCTCTTCGCAGTCTGCCTGGAACTTAACTATCCTGAGAGTTTTGTATCATCTGCAAATTTTGCCACCTCATTGTTAACCCTTTTCCCAGATCATTTATTGGGATGACATCTATGCCCTGAATCCAAATATCACCTCCTCCCCACAGAAACTGGGGTTACAGTGTCCAAAAGACTATAGGACTTTCTTTACCTAAAATGTCACCTGGAGAGGTATCCAGATGGCCTGCAACACCTCATTCTGCAGTGCATTGGGTCAGGAGCAGGTGGCTCTCTCCTCTTTCTGGGATCATCAAAGGTTGTTGGACAATAGCTTCCCCTCATTTTCAACTCTCCTGTTGTCAGCTTGCTGTTTCTTGAAGGGATAAAATTGAAACCAGCTGCCTTGCTAACTCGTTTGGTGGCAACAAGGCAAACGTTTGTCCAGTGATTAGTACCTGGATGATCCTTGAGTACAATTCTGTGGACACAAATGCATGAATGTTTGATCATTTTTACAAATGTGCTATTTTGTTCTTTTATGCCAAGTAATGAATGCAGATCTTAAATAGGTACTGTGACAGGGTCGGGTCAGATGGCTACAGGAGAGTAATAGAAGGCAGATATATTAGCCCCAGGTTAAGTAGGTCCCTTTTCCCTGGATAAGGTAACAGGGAAGGTTCTAGAACAATCAGGAACCTTCTGGAGACAAGACAGACAGGCTGATTAGACCACCTGCAGCCAATCAAGAAGCTGCTAGAATCAATTAAGGCAGGCTAATCAGGGCACCTGGGTTTAAAAAGGAGCTCACTTCAGTTTGTGGTGCGCATGTGAGGAGCTGGGAGCAAGAGGCACTAGGATCTGAGAGTGAGAACGTGGACTGTTGGAGGACTGAGGAGTACAAGCATTATCAGACACCAGGAGGAAGGTCCTATGGTGAGAATAAAGAAGATGTTGGGAGGAGGCCATGGGAAAGTAGCCCAGGGAGTTGTAGCTGTCACACAGCTGTTCCAGGAGGCACTCTAGGCAGCTGCATTCCACAGGGCCCTGGGGTGGAACCCGGAGTAGAGGGTGGGCCTGGTTTCCCCCCAAACCTCCCAACTCCTGGTCAGACACAGGAGAAGTTGACCTGGACTGTGGCTTCAGAAAAACGGCCAAGCTGAGGGCTGCCATGAAGCTCCAAGGCGAGCAAATCCGCCAATAAGCGCAAAACCCACCAAGGTAGAGGAGGAACTTTGTCACAGTACTTGCCCTAGAAGTCGGTTCTTTAGATCCATGCTATTTACTCATATTTCCGTAAATGAATAGCTGATGGTATCACCACATAATCATTATGTACCTTTGTACACTGTGATGTAGTACGTGTGATGTGCTAAGTGACCTTATTACTACATATAAGCTGATGACATTCCCTACTTTCAGGGATGGAAATGGGGTGCTGATCGTTATGCAGAAGTTAGCAAAGGAAACACATACTCATTGATTTGCTTTTTAAAGCTGTAACTCTTCTTGCCAGGTTGGTAATGGTGGACTGTGGTCCATTCTTTCCATGCTGTGAGTCTATATGATTTTTCTGACTTAGTTTCCCTGTTCTAGCTGGATGAACTTTATTCTGTGGTACTCAGTAGCCACAGTGAACTGCCAAGCAAGTTGGGAAGTGCCACAAGGGTCAACGTAACCATTCTGAAGAACGATGATCCACATGGAGTGATTCAGTTCCTTGCTGATGAACTAGCAGTAACAATAAATGAAAGTAAAGGAGAAGACGTCTATGCTGGTAATTCCTGTTTTGTTCAAGCTATTATAGTTTAACTCATACTAACACCCTTAAAACCATGAGGTTATAGGAACAGTGATTGCTTTCCCAGAAAGACTGCCAACAAGTTCCAGTGTTGTCACAAGAATTGAGCGTCCTCAGCACTTTGCAGGATATGGCCAGTATTTTGCAGATAAGATTTTATTGCACCAGGAGAGGCATATCAGTTGGCTGCCTGGCTCTTCAGCAGTTTCCAATTATACCCAATTTGGAAATGCCTCCATGTACCTATTTCTTATATCCATGTGACAATTTTATGTCTTTTATGTAGTTGTCTCACATATTGTGTTTTTAATGGTTCTACAAAAAGGAATCCCAGAATGATTAGTTCCCCTCCTCTTCTTTTTCTTTGAATTGGCTTTGTCAATCTGCCTCTCTTTGATTTTTATTATTTTGTGTATGCACACTTATCATACTGGATGTTTGCATTTCACAGCTGCTTACAGAATTGTAAGAAACCAAGGAAACTATGGAAATGTCAGTGTGTCTTGGGTTGTTGAACCAGTCTCTACCAATGACATCTACCCAGTGCAAGGGACAGTTTTCTTTGGAAACCAGGAGTTTTCAAACACGATAACCATTTACTCATTGCCAGATGAGGTAAACATTTTAGACAGATATATTCTGTTACTTTACTTTGGTGTGAGAACAAAGAAGGATTTTTTGTTTTAAAAGAAACTAATTAAAAGAACAGACTCATAGATGAGGAAATCAAAATCCTCAAACAGCATGGAGCTAGACCATAACAGTCGCAGAAGAGGAACATACCCTTAAACTAAATATACCAGGATAGTAAAATTGTAAGTTACAAGAGGCTATCTGGGTCCTTAAAAAATAGAAGTCCAGCCTAAGGGAAGCCAATGAAAGAAACATAAACTATGGATGTATAGGAGAATATATAAGATAGAAATCAGGAGGGTTAAGAGGGAATTTGAATAGTAAGTAACACATAGCCAAAGACACATAAAGCAACATGAAATTATTTTAAGAGTATTAGAAGAAGGAAACTGAAAGAGAATTTTTAGGTCTACTGGACCACAAAGGAAATAAAGGGAACAATTAAGGAGAAAAAGGAGGCTATTTCAGAGAAGTTAAATTACTTCTCTGTATCAGTATTCTCCAGGCAGGAAATTATAAATCTACCCCAGACCTACTCTTTTCAAATAATAGTCAAATCCTAGTTCAGCAAAGTACTTATGCATAGATTTAAGTCACATTAACTACATTGGGATTTAAACATAGGGTTGAGTGCTTTCCTGATTTGGGGCTCCAAAGCTGCAAACCTGTGGTGGTCTCTGGTCCCTTTCTGTACAAGCATATGGATAATTGTTAACTGGAGCCCCATACACATATCTAAGGATGAGTAAATCAGGACTGGCCCTCAGAGCTTCCTCTGCTTTTGATTACCTCATTTTAATTTCTTCCTGTTTGCATGAAACAGATTTACTTCATATTACCTCTTTCTTTAGCTACCTGAAGAAATGGAAGTGTTCACCATCAGCCTAGTCAATACCACTGGGGGAGCCAGAGTTGGAAACACAACCAGCGTAGTTTTACAAATCACAAGGAACGATGATCCCATATACTTTTCAGGTTAGTTGCATTCCTTTGAAGGTGCAGTTACAAATACATTTACTGTCGTTAGTGTTCTTATTCCCCAGACAAGATAAATGTTAAAGGTGAAATTCTGGTCCCATTGACGCCAATGTCAAAACTCCCATTGATTTGAATGGAGCCAGGATTTCACCCAAGTGCTTTATATTTTGATACATTTTTTTGCTAGCTTTCTTCCCCAGGGTGCTTTTTTTGGTCTGTTGTTTCTTTTTGATTTAGCCAGAGCCTTTTCTTCATGTGTCTCACCATTCCTTTTTTTCATGCTGAGGTGGGGTACGTGGCCAGGTCAATATCTTCCCATGCTGAAAATGTTTCCTCAAACTTTTCCAGATTTTCCTTCCGTCTCCTTGAGGAATCATTCTGCAGTTTACCTTTGTAGGATTAAACATTGACGTCTAGCATAGGAAGCTGATAGTCTGAAGGACGCTGCTGAATTTGTAATTATCTGTTTCAGATCCTGTTGTTGTAAAGGTTCAAGAAGGAGATTTTGTTCACTTTACAGTCCTAAGGAATGGATCTGCTGATGTAGTCATTACCGTTTTATATGCCACTGTTGATGGAGGAGCCACTGCTGAAGAGGGAGATTTCATTTCCAGTGGAAGGAGTGAAGCTCTTGTGTTTGGTGTTGGGGAAAGAGAACACAAAATATCAGTATTTATTAGTGAAGATGATACCCCTGAAACTGATGAAACTTTTTACATCATCCTCTTTAATTCTACAGGTGAAAATACTCATTTGCTCTAAATATAGTAGTTGTTGCCTCTCTCATTTTGTTTTTGCTGTGAAATCCCATATCTTGTGAAGAGTGTATAAAATAGTATGTTCTCATTGCTGAATTTCACAATAGGAAAGTGACTGTCAACAGAACTGTAAAATGAACATGCACAGTGTGTATTGGATTTAGGTTGGATATTAGGAAAAACTTTTTCACTAGGAGGGTGGTGAAACACTGGAATGCGTTACCTAGGGAGGTGGTAGAATCTCCTTCCTTAGAAGTTTTTAAGGTCAGGCTTGACAAAGCCCTGGCTGGGATGATTTAATTGGGGATAGGTCCTGCTTTGAGCAGGGGGTTGGACTAGATGACCTCCTGAGGTCACTTCCAACCCTGATATTCTATTCTATGATTCTGTGATTTATGCCTGTATTCTCTCTTGTAGTGAATTACTTGATTGAAAGCTCACAAACCAGATAATATTGTTGATGCCATTTCTGCAGAAACCCTTATGCTGTAATTCTCTAGATGGGTTTTTTAACCATTTAAAGTTAACATTTGGAAAATCAATAATGCCATTGAATTGCCCATCCTTGTGTTAAAGGATTTCTTCATTGTAGAAATGAATATAAATGAGGATTTTTCTGAAATCATGGGCTGCAATGGTGCCAGGCATATGGCTGGTGTATGGGAAAATAAAATACAGAACTGCCATATTTTGGGAGAACGGTACATAAACAGGCCTGTGTACTCTTGATATTATTTTGGTATGGTGTGTTGTATAAATGATTTTTTTTACCTACATTATGGTTTGAGCAAGATCCCACCTGTGTGTGAACAGATTTCAGAAGTTACACAGTGAACTACCAATGAAGAGTAGATTTATAAACTAAGAAATAATAATAAGACTTAAAAGCCCCCTGGAATGCTTGGCAAGATAAAATGGTATGAAATTGATTATTCCTTTCATTGATATTCCTTGTGCACTCATTTCAGATAAAAATGCTTATGTGTTTAAAAAAATTCCCCTTGCACTATCTGTTCTAAAAAGATGATGATGTTGTGGAAATCTTCATTCACGTACTCATAAAACCAAACAAAGAAAAATATGCCACAACTTCTGAAGTACTGTAAGTGGTCCTGGAGCAGGGCTCAAAAAAGCTTGATCGAACGTGGAATTTATAAGTAAATAAGATATTGGTCCTGAAAGGCACAGTAAGACTTCCATTCCAGTGGAAGTGTGGGTGGACTCTTTACAAGGTGTGAATAAAGTTAAGTACTAAGCACAGTAGAAGTTCGTCTAAAGTCTTTTAATTGTTCGGTCACTTTTAAGAGTACAGGGTGGAAAAAAAGGGAGGGAATGGACAGAATATGTACATGCCTGGGGATGGGTGAAAATGAGTGTGATCCTTGGCATACAAAGGAGACACAGCCTCACACTCCTCTCTTTGGCATTAGTCCTGCTATTAGCCAGGAATAACATGGCAGTCAAATAGTAGTGTTCTCCCTAGTTCAGGGCCAGGCTCCCCTACCCGGCTCATTACTTTTATCTTGCACTTGTACACACAATACTTTACACTTGCACTGTGCAGGATAAAGCCCATTGTAATTTATTGCCTCTGTATTTCCTGTTACACTCAAATATCTCAAATATTGCTTATATGGGTAAAGATTTGAACCTTTAATTTTTTGTCTGTTACATATGCTAGAAAATATTTGGATATGATGAGAAAACCATTCCATTGATAATCACATTACATTAGCTTTCTGCTTTTTATTTGGAACCATATTAATCCTTGGCTTTTAGGTGACACCGTAGTCTACAGGGCTGGGATGGCTACAGTTGTCATTGAAGCGAATGATGACCCGAATGGCATTTTCTCTTTGGAACCTTTTGACAAACTGGTGGAAGAAGGCAAGACTAATGTTTTTTTGTAAGTAGTATTTAAAATGATACCTTCCAAGAAATACTTTGTGATGCTTCATTGAAGATATTTCAGTCTAAGCCACATACCAACTTTGCATGTACAATAGTTACATAAAGGAGACTTTTGAATTAAACAAAGTCTGAATAAAAATAAATTAGAAGAATATTTAGGGGAACAAATGTTAGTTTACATAACAAAAATACATACAGAAACTACTCAGAGATTTGATAGATGAGGTGTGTATGTCAATAATCATGATATGGTTGGCTGATGATATATTTTTCATGTACTGTAGATATGAAATAGCTGAATGATCAAGCAGACATGACCTAGAGTAATAAAGTAAACACTAAATAACCCAACAACCCCTCCCCCAACCCAACAATATTTCATTGTGCAGCTGATGCTGATGTCATGGGGAGTTACCTAGCTGATTCCCTGCATCTTGCTTTGAAAAGTTACCCCCCATTGTTTCATTGTTTGTTTTTGTTTTACCTGCCTCTTACAGGAGGACATGGCCCTTCAGATAGGATACTCCTTTAGGCTGAAAGCATCCTCCCCTGAGCTGACAATAAAACCCATTACTCTTGTACCCACACAAGGAATGTATGTATCCAGAAGCAGCAGGGGTTAAGATTTGCTTGGGTTTGCTTGGCAGGTGGCTCGAGTTATCCTGCTAATTAGCTCAGTAGGAGGTATATAAGCTACTGACTTCCCCAAGAACAAAACTGGAAGGTCATAGAGATCAGTCAAAGAGGTTATATTAAGGGCTCCAGCCTAAGTATCTGGGAAGGGGATTTTTTTCATACTACTTTTTGTTTTCTTAGACTCAATCCATTTTTTGACAGAAGCACGTGGCTGGGACCCTCATTGGAAAGGTCCTTGTGATGTATTGCTGTTAAAGGCCTAATAAATATAGCATCCCAGGAAAGGGCAACACTTGGATATTAAGCAGCCTGGTGTTTGGTATCTTTTTATGCTGGGGGAACCTTGGTTCTGTTTTGATTATCTCTTCTTTGTAATCCTATTTGCAGAATGAGTGGGCTGAATTTGACCATGTGTGAGGAAAGTTGATTTAAATTAAGAGTGAGGGTGTGGGAGAAGCAGAGCACACCTGTTTTTGATGAGGCTCTGTTTAGCTAGAGCATTGTCGATGTGCTAATTATATTACTGGTGCACTCAATTGATAAAGGCACCGTGAATGGCTGCTTTGCTTTCTTTCATTTGTGGTGTTCTGCAGTGCCTTTTAGTACAATATGTTGTTGCCAGATAAATATGTAAAAGAGCCAAATTCTGTTTCCAGGTGCACCAGTGTAAACCTGGAGTAACTCTTGATTTCAGTGGTGATAACACCAGTTTAACAAAGCAGAATTAGCATGGGGTGACTGAATGTGGGGAAAAATATTTTGAAGAATAAAATTACAGTCATCCAACTACATTCCATGGCCACGTGTATATTCTTTTTAAATAGAAACCCCTAGCCTGCTGCATCTGATGCATGAAAAACAGTTTACATTGGTCACTGTCATGGAGAAGTCCTAATCTAAATAAAATTGATGAAAGAGACAACTAGAAAAAGGCAGAAGGGTGGGAGTAGATAAAATTGTAGCCCATCATACAAGGTTGGGCTTGGGTTGTAAAGAGGGATTTGATTTTTGGAGGTCACTTGGTACAAACTTCTGTTCCAAACAGAAGGCAGCATGAAAAAGTCTGGTAAAAAGATTAAATATAATAAAGCGGCCTACTCCATGTGGCACAACTCCATCCAGTATCTTGTCCCAGTGACTGTTTAGCCTACTACAGCATTCTACATTAGCTCAAATGGTAGAGGCGTGTGTTTTGGAACTGTGGATCCTAGGTTCAGTCCCTACTGACAATCATGATGTTTATATATCTTCAGCTGAGATTTGGTGTGGTGTATACACGTGTTGGTCTCATCAAATAAAACTAACTCACATGTTGGTGAGAGACTAGACCTCCAATATCAGTTACACAGAGTGGGTGAGAACAGTGAATTTGGTTGCTTCTTATAGGCTTGGAACTGTAATATTTATGAGATATAGAGCTCCTTTCTATGCATAGATATGCAAGTGCATGTTTCCATGCAGCTTAAAAGTACTGTACTGCAGGCACTCTTATAAGCCATACTAGATTTTTTTTGGAATGTATGTAACATAGAGTCATGTAGCTGAGAGCGGCATTGAGTTATGAGGGTGCAGATCTTCAACGGGGTAGGGAAAGGTGTTCCTCGTACTTAAAATGGCTGTGGATTATTTAGATAACTGTAAATTGTACTTGTATAGTACTGGCTTGCACCTAGGTTTCATTTGCTCTCGCTGATTGTTGATAGATATTTGCCAGAACGTTTACTGTGTCTAATTCATTACATAGGATTGTGAGACAGAGAGGACACTTTGGCAATGTTTCTTTGACCTGGCAACTCTTTGGGAACGATTCTGCTTTGGAGCCAGGACAAGAGTTCTATGAAATCTATGGGACGGTGTGGTTCACAGATGGTGAAGGATCAAAGCCAGTAACTCTTCATGCCATTCCTGATAAAATTCCTGAATTCAATGAATTTTATACCTTAAAGCTGGTGAATGCCTCAGGTACTGTTCCCCTACCCCACACCTTCTAAAACCAGGAGAATTTTATACCTTAACTAAAGAAAGTTTCATAGAAGTACCTCTGTTTCTGACATTTGAATTTTCTATTTCTATCCTATAACTTTCCAGCAAAAACTTTTATTTTTACATCTTATTTTATTTTAGTCACAGCTTGATCCAACACAGATGCATGAGTACTGTACAGATATTCTATTCCTGAATGTATTGTTCTTATGGTAAATTTGAAACAGTCTGGTGGCCATTTAGGGGTTATCTCATTGAGTGATTTCTGAAATGCAGCTCTTTAGTAAAAACAATTAATTAAGGGCTACATTATGGCCAAGATTTTCCAAAGTGACTAGTGATTTGGGGTGTATCAGTATTTTGGGTACGTAATTTAGAGGGGTCTGATTTTCCAAGGGAGGTCGCTCAGTGTTTTCGGAAAATGAAGCCTCTCTAAAGCTGAGCACCCCAAAATGGATTCTCCCCAAACTGCTAGTTGCTCCTAAAAATGTTGGCCTATGTGTTTAAAGCACAGTCCCCCAACAGAGAGGGAAGTAACAACCCTTTGGGCAGCTGAATGCTATTGTGCTGGTACAGTGCCGTGGTTACATAATCCTGCCATAATGTGTTTTTTCCCTGCACAGAAGTGCAAATGTGGGTGAGTGTGGCTACTTTATTACCACGAGACCCACCTGCTGCTTTTTATAGACTCCAGGACCATGGCCAAAGTCTCCTTTGCTTGCTAGGGTCTTTCATGCCCAGAAAGAAATGAAAATATCTCTGACCCTACCCTAATCGGTTCCTAATGACTCATATTTCATGCAGCTCAACAAACTATTAGTGTGAGAAATCCATAGACCTTTCATTATAGATCTATGGATCCAACTATGAACAGGACATGCTGTGAATAGCTCTTTGCAGTCCGGAGGCAGTGGGCCAAGTTCTGCTCTCATTTACAGTAGTATGTGTCTGTAGTAACTTCAATATTAATGAAAGTAAATTTGGCCCAGGATCTCTACCAGATGACTCAAACATAGGCCACCTCTGTGGCTAATTCAACAGAAATGGGGTGAATTAAATCTCTGCAGAAAGTCACTCTTTGCGTATTTTATACCTAACAATGGATAACACATGAATGACAACACACACTTTTAAACAGAAATCGTTCATGCATGTTTTTAATTAATAATGTTGAAGCAACATTTGATTTATGGTAGAACATTTTGAACACTTCCTTTATCACACAATTTTAGTTCCTTTGAAAAAGTATTTTATTATTAAAAGCAATTTTTGGTTGTTTGAATGGATCTTATTTCAGATAGTGGTATCTGAGGTGGGTTCTTAAGGAGTCCTATTAACTTTTGTTTTAATTTGTATCACACAGGTGGGTCTCCAGGCCCTGGTGGCCAGTTAGCTGAAACCAATCTTGCTGTAATTGTGATGATCCCATTCAATGATGACCCTTTTGGAGTCTTTGTCATAGACCCAGAGAGCCAGGACCGGGAGATAGTGGAAGATGTTCTCTCTGAAGATGATATCTCCTACATTACAAACTTTACAATTTGGAGGCAACAGGGTACCTTTGGAGACGTCCGGGTTGGCTGGGAAATATTATCCAGTGTGTTCCCAGCAGGTCTACCACCAATGATAGATTTCTTATTGCTTGGATCATTCTCAAGTTCTGTACAGTCTCAACCTCACAGGAGGCGTCATCACAGTGGAACAGATGCTTTGTACTTCAGTGGAAAAGAGGATGCATTTGGGACTGTTGACCCTGACTTCCGCTTCAGTTGGGATAACATGCTTGCCAACTTTACATTTTCAGCTTGGGTGATTCCTAACCCCAACAGTGATGGGTTTATAGTAGCAAAGGACAATTACAATGGGACCATATATTATGGTGTGAAAATCCAAACAAATGAATCCCATGTTTCTGTCATGCTTCATTACACAGCACTGGTGTCCAATATTACATATGTGGCCAAGACAACTATCATGAAATATGTGAAAGAAAATACTTGGATTCATCTTTTGATTACTCTGGAGGATGGCACAATTGAGTTTTACATTGATGGAAATCCAGTGCCTGGAGGAATAAAGAGCCTCAAAGGAGCAGCAGTTGTTGATGGTGAGCAAATAATCTTCATTTTTTCTTTTTCTATAAAAGTAAAATTCTGCACTAAGCAGCAAGTCCAGTCCCATTGAAAAGTATACTCATAATATTAAATAACTTTTGAAATAAAGCTACTATATGTGAAATTTTTCCTTTTTTAACTAGAAGCAAACTTCTTGATAGATCTTGAGAAAATAGATTTTATGGAGTTATAATAGTACAACTTCCATTAAAGTCAATAAAGTTATGCAGCTGAAACGGCTGTAGCTCACGAAAGCTTATGCTCAAATAAATTGGTTAGTCTCTAAGGTGCCATAAATACTCCTTTTCTATTTTGAAAATAGAATTTTATTGTATCTATTAACTTGCCTGAAACACCTTGTGGATTTAATAGAATGTTTTTTTTCAGGATTTAGATGTACTTGAACATGTGTATGCATAATAGTTTTAAAATTCTGCCGAGAAATATAGGCTCTACTCCTGAAACACTCACAAGAACACATAAACATGTGCATATCATACTGTGAGGTGTTAGGATGTTCCAGGTATGTGTCAGGTGCACAGGATGAACATGGTTTCTGGATGTGTCTGATATATTTAGCCTTTGTGAAATGCTTAAGATGCACAGAAGGTGCTGGAAAGGGGTTCAGAGAGATTCAGAAATAAACAGCTCAGAAAATGAAAAGAACTGCAAAAGAAATGCATCCTTAAAACAGCATTAATGACACCACTACTACAAACAACTAGAAAATAAATTATTTTTCTTCTTTAGAGAAGGGAAAAAATGATGAAAAGGGTTATGATAGGAAGACTTTTATGATGCCAGTATCCTAGCACAAGGGGCTGTTGTGGTCTTTCTCCCTGTCTATAGTGGAGAGGCCTAGACATGGCAAAAGAAGGGGGAGAGGTGATTCCTGAGGAGCTGTGAGAAATACAGCTCTGCTTCTCCTCTGCACCTCCGGCTGGCGATCCATCTCTGCATCACTGACTGTAACTTGCTAGAGAGAGAGACTATCAGTTAGTTAGCCACAGATGGTTCACTGGCTGGTGAGCAGTACCCAGGTGAATGACTGGGAGGGAGGGTGACCACATGTCCCATTTTGGCCGGGACAGTCTCTCTCTCTTTTTTTTTTAAGCCCTGTCCTGACTGTCCCAACTTTTTTGGCAGAAGTGGGCATTTGTCCCATTTGCTTTTGCCAGCTGATAAAGTTGGCAAGAAGAAACGGGACAAATGTCCATTTTTGTCAGAAAAGTGGGGTGCAGCGATGCCAACTTCATGTGCGGGAGGAGTAGGGCTTGGGCACACAGGGTTGCAATGCCAGCCCCCTGCAGGGAAGGGTCCTTGGGTGAGCAATGCCAGCCCCATGCAGCGGTAGGGGGTGGCTTGGGCGACTGGCTGGTGCATGGGGCGGGCTTGGGTGAATGGCTCGGGCCAACGTCACGCGGGAGGGTGGGGAGGGCTCGCGCTAACCCCATGCGGTATTGGGTTTCCCTTTGGGAAATATGGTTACCCTAATGGGAGGGCAGTTCATGGGGATATTATACTCACTTTCCCCTGTCACACGAATATAATCTTTGATAGTTGTCATATGAGAGCCATTGCATCTCAGTGGTTTAAGGCAGCCCTACTGTGAATGCAAGGACAAACCTTACACCAATTTTGGGTGGCTAGCATAGACATGCTCAACATTTGCGCTTCAGTTGAAGTAGATCAGTCACTTGAATTACAAATGATTGAATGCTCTAATGTGAGCCAAGCCTTTGGAGGAGCTCTCAGATACTTGGGCTGATCTGTACAGTTGCTTGTAATGTCGGACTTTGTACCATTCTGTGGTTCCTCAAGGAACCAGTTCTGTCTGTCTTCTCCTCTTGTTTTCAACGTTATCTATTCTCTAGTTTCATAGCAGTAGCTGTCATGACTTAATTTACTTATCTTTAGCTGGCTTGGCACATCTTCTAAACATTTGTTCGTCCCTACATGTCTTTTGGGGAAAATATATTAAGATGATATCCATACCATTCAACATAAACTTGTTGTTTTACGTGTGGGAGCTCAGCCAGGCTACGACACTTACATTATTAATGAGCTTATAAGAGCTAATAAGCCAAAAGAAACCATCATGACAGCTTTTCATTTACACACTTCTATAATTTCGGGGTAAAAGTATCAAAGTAGTATAAATGTTCATTTCTCTTTCAGGTCCAGGAATAATAAGAATTGGTGCAGGGATGAATGGCAGCAGCAGATATACAGGATTGATGCAGGATGTGAGGCTTTATGAGCGTAAACTGATGCCACTAGAGATCTATGAACTTCATGCCACCCCAGCAAGGACTGATATGAACCCCATTTCTGGATATTTAGAGTACCGACAGGGAGAAACTCATAAGTCATTCATTGTGTCTGCAAGAGATGATGATGAGGAGGAAGGAGAGGAGTTATTCATACTAAAGCTTGTCTCTGTGCATGGGGGAGCTCGAATACCAGAAGAAAACACCATAGCAAGATTAAGAGTACAAAAAAGTGACAACGCCAATGGGCTGTTTGGCTTCACAGGAGCATGTATTCCTGAGGTAAGATGACTATTAAAAAGACGATGAGTGAAATTCTGGACCCAGTGAAGTCAATTGACTTCAGTGGGGCCAAGATTTCACTCTGTTGCTTTCAGTGGATGGGAAGCAAAATCATTTGGGTTTAAAATCTTGCGGACAACACATTTATCTAATATAGCACCATATTCTTTCATCCTGGAGAATGAAATTCACACCTGTGCATTTTTTAGTAACTGTTCTGAAAAACCCATAAAATATTTTTGTTTAGAAAATAAATCAGCCCCTATTTAGCAGACTATTCATTACAGCATGAATTAGTGATCATGAAAATAACTCATTCTTCACTGATGTCTAATATCTGAGACTAAATTTGTTGTAAATTCCCACCTCTACCTCCTTTCTTGGATTGTGAGTATTGTAATTCTTTCTTTATTTTTCTACGTGAAATCCAGTATGCCAGACAGTGTTGCGAACTCTTGCAGTTTAATTGCAGTGTCAAGATAGTAGGGGTTTTTCTTAAAACCCAGCTCCTGGAGTGAAGTAAAATTTATTATTTTTTTTTAAAATTGTATGATTTGTAATCCAATCTCATGACTTTTTCCAGGTGGGCTCAAAATTTTTGAACACTCTGGTTGGCAGTAATGTTGGCCCTATCCTCCTTTCCCTTCCCTTTCTGTGCATGTATCTATGTTCCTTCTCACTGCCCTCTTCAGTTTGCTTCTCCTATTACAAGTAAATATCCTTCAGCAGGAAATATCCTGGAGAAGAGCATGAGCTCACCACAGGATTGCTCAGGAGAGTGATGTTATCTTGCTAGGACATGAGGCAGGAAGTGCAACTGAGCATCTACAAAACCGTAATTGACCAAGTGCTGCAAATTCACAAAGTAAAAAACAGATATGATAGGGTTTTTTCCTGCAATCTCTTTCAGTTCGAGTAGTTTAGGGGTTACATGCCACAATAGTAAGTACAACATTTTCAGATGAAAATGTGGTTTTCATTTGTCTCTCTTGTTCTGAACCTTTTGTAAATATTTGTTTTACATCCCTTTTACCCCCAGCTGACTGACAAGGTCTTCATTGTTTTCTAAATGCCTGTTCCCATTTGAGAGCAATGAAACAACTACATCAAACCATAGATGTATTATCCTATTTCTAAACATTGGTGGTCCACACTGTGATATCATTACTTGCTTTGAAAAGTACCATATTCCCAGTAGTCCCGTGGAGTCAGGCCTTCAGTGCTCTTTCCCAAGCCTCGCTTCAAAGAATTTATCAAACAACTGAAATATTAGGTCTGTTCAACATTGGTAAAACTTCATAGAAGAGAAGAACTTAGCCCATATTCTGTTGAATATGTGGAATATTAACCAGTAATTAAACTGAAAAGCTTTGCCATGCATTAAAAAATATAACTATCCTGATGAACATCCACTTTGTTCTAATATTTCAAGTGTTAGTGTTTTCACCATTTTAAATAAAATCTCTATGTTTTCAGTGGTTTGTAAAGCACAGATAAATGGGAAACTAAAATCATAATGGCTTTGTTTGGAATCTTCTCTGACCTTTTTTGTTACATCATCCTCCAAACACATCATAAAGACCTCAATCTTCTTGGTTTGAATGAAAGCAGTTTCCAATTTGGACTCTGTTTGCTTTTTAAGTGCCTGCCATATGCTGTGATAATAGAGTCCTTCAGGTCCAAGTGCCACTGATACAGTCTCATACCACAGGTCATCACCCATGCATGAAGCAAAATTAAAAATTAATAGGAAAAGTTAATTGTCCAGTACTCATCTTAAATCTATTTCAGCAGGGAAGCAATAGCTAATGATTATATGGCAGATACACAACATTGTTTTAGCATGCTTTATATACATATCTGTCTACTAGGGAACTAAGTCATGCTTAGTGTACACTGGAAGCTGTCATACAGCATACAGAACACATGATTACTATTCATCTTAAACCTTTTCAAAAGTATGGTTGTCTGATCAAATTATTTTCTGTCATCATTCCATGACAGTTATTATTTATGAGAGATGTACAGACAGTCCCAATAAATATTCTCTGAAATTCTTTTATATTTTTTTCATACAAAGAATACTGTGGTACAGACCGCTTGATTTTTTTCACAATTGTTTATGTACGATGATTGAAAACTGAAAGTAAGAAAAATGCTCTGTTTAGCTTAAGTAATGTTGAGGATGGAGAAAGCCCGATCTATTTTAAAGATTGAATTGCTAAAGAAAACTAAAATCATTGTTCATGAATGTAAAGTAGTGAATTTTTTCCTAAATTCCGAGAAAGATCTTGAATTGCAGTAACATAGGAACAATTTTCCTGAAGACCTGATAATTTTCAAAGGATCACTTCTATTGTACTCATTCACTTGAAACTTGTACATTGTTGTCAATCTTCTTATTTGCTTACAGACTTCTGATGAAGGTTCCACTATATCGTGTGTTGTGGAGCGTACACGGGGGGCTCTGGACTATGTGTATATATATTATGTTATCTCTCAGATCGATTCCACCAGCATTAATTACTCTGTTGCTGATTTTGCAAATACCAGTGGAACTATCACATTCCTTCCTTGGCAGCGATCAGAGGTAAACCTGATCTTATTAAAGTTAGTCATCTGGTTCCATGCAAGCCTCCTAGAAAATACCTTTCTGTATACTTTACTGATTCTCATACTTGGAAATGTTTCCTTAGACAACTGTTATGGAACTTTATTGAATCTGTCACTCCTTATAACTAAAAGTGATGATATATTCATACATCTATTTATCAATATATAATAAGTATATGTTCACAAAAAAATAAAGTATAGGTGGACATGAACTGAAATATTGGCTCTAAACACCCTTGAACTTGGAGGAAGTTTGGGTTCAAGTCTGAACTTTGACTCAAACTCATCTCTATATAAAAAGCAATAAAAGATCAATTTATTTTTAAAAATTAGTAGCAGTCAGATCTTTGCACAGATGCTCAGATCAAGTGTTTTGTGTCTCCTATTGCTCAGTTCTTTTCCTGTGACTTTAATTGTGGATTGTGTTGTGGGAACTCGTACATACATTTGAAGAACAGGTAAAGGACTGGGATAGGGTATGGCCTTTGGGGATGTTTTAAAAAGTTTTTTTTTCTTGTGTTGCTTGAATGCTGGTAAATACAATGATAAACATTGTTGGAAGTTTTGCTATCAACTTCACCCATGCAGCTCTGTTGAAGTCTGCGTAAGGGACTGAGCCAGACCCATTGAAGCCAATGGAAAGAGTCTCAGTGACTTTTTTTTTGTCCAGCTATATCAAAAGACCAGGAGACATTTTGATATTGTTTTAATCAGGCTGCAATTTTATTATTAGGTGTCTGGGACTAGCTGGCAGATAGAAGTGTACAGTGCAGGTGACCCCATGTTCATTCCATAATTACCCAGGGGGCTTCTGCCATCTCCCCATCTTTTTCCGTCCAGGTCCCCCCAGCCAATCCATTACTGGGACCTTACCATCCACTCCCCCCTTGTAGTAGAGTTAAGGTGGGCTATAAGGGGGAAGATGGGTTGGCTCCCTCCCCTACCAATGATAGGAATCCCCTCTCCCCTAATTCCATTCCTTTAATGAAAATGTCCTTATTCAGTCCTTTTCCAAGCCATTTACCAGTCACTATATACCTTCCCTATGGAGTACCTGCACTGGACATCCGCCCCACACATATAAAATGAGTTGCGACATAGCCTAGAGTCCTTCATGCCATGCATGAACAGAGCCCTTCCAGAACCTGCTATGGGGAAGGCGTAAGAACCCCAACTCCATGTAGACCAATCTGGTGGTAAGGGAAAAATTCCTTCCCAGCCCCCCTAAACAAGGGGAAGCGAGTGCAATGCCCACAGCAGCTCTTCACTGAACCTGGTATTTCGCCACCTAAAACGGACAGAGTGTGAGTGCTGCCTCAGCCTGCCTTATGCAAAAGGGGACTTCACGCCCAAGGCTGCCACTTTTTAAACCCTTCTGCCAATCTGGTCCTCAGAAGAATGAGTCAGCGGCGCCAGGCTGGCCCCTTGTCCCCTTTTGCATAGGGTGACCATATTTCCCTATGCTGAACACAGGACACCTAGTAAAATTACTCATATTCAAGCAAGATCAACGGCAATCAGTCAGAACTATGCAGTACAAACGTTCAATATAACATCAAGTTGACTGAACCTCTGTTAAAAAGAAATACTGCGTAGTTGGATTCTCTTTATTTACCTTCTGATCTTTAAGGCTTTAGGGCTCACACGGGGAGGGATGACACACACACTCCAGCCTCCGCCCCCCATGGGGAGTGGTGACAAACACACTCTACTGTACAACTCTCTCACACAGGGTGGGTGACTAACCTGACCCTCCCTGCCCGGCACTCTCCACCCTCCATGCCTGGCTGGGTCGCCGGGACAGACCGCCTCTCTTGGGACCTGGCGCCATGTGAGGGGGAGGCATGCAGAGTCACATGCTCCCCTACCCAGATTTCTGCCAGGATTCACACCAGAATTTGACCAGCAGCAGCCTCTGTGGGAGGGAAGGGATGGGAGCTGCTTCCAGTTGCAGGGGAGGAGGAGGTAAGGAAGGGATGACCTCGCCCATATCTTTGCGGAGCTCATCCCTTTTCTTCACCCCTTCCACATGTGGCTGGAAGCAGCTTGTCCCTTTCTGCCCGCACCATGTCGAAAGTCAGCTAACACCTTCAGGCTGCTGCTGGCCACTGACATAATCCGGCCGCCTCCTGTCCCCTGGCTACAGCATGGGCAGGAAGGGGTTAAGCCCTCCTGCGCTTGGGGAACCTGCTCAGGGAACCTGACTGCTTCAGCAGCCAGAAAGGTGGCTCAGCAGAGGAGGGTTCCTAGGGAACGGAGCAGCCTCCCGCTTCCTGGGGGCAGGACCCAGGTTGGTGGGGGGAAGGCAGGTGAGGAGGGTGCTAAGTCCCTGCCCCAGGGGCTGCTGTGGAGCCTGCAGGTTCAGGGGGTGAACATGCTGGAAATCGTTTTCCCCCCCAACTCCAGAGCTTAGCTGAGCTGAGGAGAGGCTTCCCTGGGCCAGCACTGTGCGGGGCTTTGGCACATTCAGGGCTCTGCTCCTCCTGGCCAGCGCCCTGGACCAGAGGCTCTTGGGCTTTCCTGGGGCGCCAGCCCAACCAGAGGCAGTGGGGGAAGGAAGGAGCCTGCCAGACAGGCTGTTGGTGAACTGAGCACTCCAACCAGCGGCTGGTTCTCTGCACAGCGCTGGGAACAAGATACACCCCACCAGGGGAGATATGGAGGAGCAGTGGGGCTGAGGGGAGGGAGGGACAAAGGGGCAAAGCAGGAGAGGACAGCGAGAGGGGAAGCACTTAAAGGGTGATGGGTGGGCAGCAGAGGTGACACATAATCAGCCGCTGCCTGGCGCCTGCCTGCACACACCAGCCACTGCAGCATGCAGTCAGCGCCGGCCGGAAATGGGACAGGGCAGGACCCTGCTGGGGCTGCACTGACGGACCAGCAGGGGGAGCGGCTATCAGCCTTGCAAACCCACCCGCATTGTCGGCCACTGGACCCTACACTCACCGCTGGTGGGCGGGCAGCTGGCGAGCCAGGATCCAGCCAGCAGCAGGATCCACCAGTACTGATTGGGCGGGGTGGGGGGAAACATGGGACAGTTTGCCCATTTTTAAGAAAAAATCGGTATACCTGCAGGAGGGCTTAAATATGGGACTACCCCTTTAAAAGCAGGACTTCTGGTCACCTTATTTTTGCAGCAGTTTTCTTCTCCCCTCCCATCTCCAGCCATAAAGCATTGTTCCCTTCATTCAGCCAGCCAGCCAAATTCTCTCCTGCTTAAAGGTGTGGTGTGGTTATTATTGGAATTTTGGTTCGGGTCCTAACCAAATAGTTTACGTAACTGAGGGTAGAATTTGGCCCAAAGCTTGTAATATCTGAAAACATTATGGCACTCCTCAAATCCTTGTCCATTCCATTTCATTCACAGTTGAGACATGTTATTGTTTATCATACACTGTAGTATATAGAGCTCCTACTCTGAAGTAATTCTGATAGTCTATATACAGCAATATACAGTTACTGTGCAGGTGTCCCTATTGTTTTGTTGTTTGTCTATTGTGTTAGTGAGCTGCAATCCCAAATGCCAGGTTGTCGCAGCAACCTTGTTTTGCCTGTAGTCTGGATTGGATTTAAATTGAACTAGCAGATACAAGATAATATTCCATTAATCACTATTTCTAATGAGAATCAGAGCTTCTTTGAAATGCTGGGATCTATCAAGCACTTAATTTCAGTGTGCACAAACTAAATTACAGTTATTTTTCAATATCAGAATAAAGAGCTATTTGCTTGGTTTATGTTTATTTTAATCTGTTAAAAAAAGGAAATGTAAGAAAATTGTGAAACATTTTAACGTTACATTTTTTTTGCTCCCAATGTGTCACTTTTACAAAAATTAGTTTTAAAAATTAAATGACAAAACCTCATGTTATATAACTTCCCTCTTCTCTGTTGACCTAGGATTTGCCTCTTATAAAGTACGTTTTTATAAACTGAGTAGTCAGGTTTCTAGTAAAGGATTCAGAAATATACTCTGCTATAGCATCTTAAATGTATTAATTTTGGATTTTTTCCCCTTAAAATATTGTGCTCATAAACATAATATCAGCTGGTCTAAATATTTTGTGCAAGAGAATTAGAATTCAGGACCCCAACATACTCATAGTATTATGTGGTCCCAGCAGAAGAATACAGCCATATAAGTATATGTAGATAGAGACCAGCCTCTGGTGATATTTTTAAACAATTACTGTAAATCCTATACAGCTAATCTGATTGACTACTGTTGCTCTGTGTGTAAAATATTGGTGACATTTTCAGTGGTGCCTAAGTGGGAGTTAGCATCTAAATAATTTTTTAAAATCTGGTCCTAAGTCATTTTTGAAAATGGGATTTAGGTTACTTGGGCACTTCAGAAAATTGTACCCTATATTATTTCTGTCTTTTGTGTTTGCACTTAATAGTTTTACTATAAAATATTAGGTCGATTTACCTAAACATCAAAAATATTGCATACATCTTTTAAAAAACTGCATAGCAGATAAAACTAGATACATGTAATTATTAAGTGCAGTTTGAATAACAGTTACTGAAAATCTCATTGTGCTACAATTTTGCACTTATGTTATGCTGTTATATTTGTTTAATTTCTATGTGTATTCTTCCTTCTATAGGTCTTAAACTTGCGTGTTCTTGATGATGACATTCCTGAGCTTAATGAATATTTCCGTGTAACATTAGTGTCTGCAATTTCTGGAGATGGAAAACTAGGTTCAACTCCAACCAGTGGAGCAAGCATAGATCCAGAGACGGAAACTACAGATATCAGCATCAAAGCCAGTGACCATCCATATGGTAACAGTGATGGAAATCACATTTTTGTTTCAAATAGTTTTGTTGGCTTTAATCTCAGGAGATGAAGAAATTGCTCAACCTTGACAGCTGAGGACGCAGTACGCCTTTGTCAAGTTTGTCACTTACCAAAACAATAGTTCATTGTTTATGTACCCAAACTGAATGTTTTTAAACAATGGGTCATGTCTAGCCCCATGGAACGTGTGACCTTTCAGATACCCTAGACAGGCAACTGAGGATTCCTTTGAATGGGCAAATCCTGAGCCGGTATAGTTTTTTGTGTGTAAAACCACGTCAGCTCTTCAGTATAGGGGATGTTTTGGGAAAGAAGGAGAAGTGGCCAGAGCACACTGTACTCCAGTGAGCCTCACTGACTTAAGGGCCCCTATAGAGACATTAGAAGCTGATCCAAATTAAAGTAGCACTTGAACTGTTCTGACTTGCATCGAGGCCAGTTCAGCTCCCTGCCAGCCTGGAGTTGGACAGAAAGAAGCTGCATTAGTCACTTTTGCCTCACCCCTTCTGAACTCCTGCACAGCTGAGAATTTAGCCTGATGCTTTTACATATAAAATTGTAAAGTTGTATTAAGCAGATGAAGTTAGCATTGCCAAAAAGAATAGTGACTATTAAGCAAGTGGATTGATGACAAAAGCCTTGCTCAGAACTGTCCACATTTGTAGAGTATCTTGAAGGACTGAGTAATTATTTTGCTAGTACATAAATAAAACAGTGTAGCAGATGTTTTGTTGAGGAGAATGCCTGAATAAGCAAGCTGTTTCTGAAAAAAAACCTGTCAAATCAAATCATTATAGGCCTGAACTTGTAATATGCAGTGCTGCCGAATGCATTCTGTTCCCATTGAGGCACAGGTACTTTGTCAAGATTCACTTGCGTATATTGCTTATTCATGTCAATGGGAGATGAGGGTACACAGCACTTCCTGGGAGATGCTTAAAACTGCATGAATGGTGCCCATGTTTGTGTTCAGATGTTTGATTTCAGACCCTTAATAATAATGTTAAACATCATAAAACACATTACATTATAGAAGGGTTTTTCTAAGTGCAGGTAAAAATGTAAATTGTTGTTTCTTGCATCTCTCAGGTTTGCTGCAGTTCTCTATGGGGTTGCCTCCTTGGCCCCGTGATAAAATGATTCTCCCAGCAACCACTGTGCCCCATATTACTGTTAAGGAGGAAATTGGACACATTAGGTTATTGGTAGTTCGTGCACAGGGCCTTCTTGGAACAGTTATGGTGGAATACAAAACAGTGTCACTGACAGCATTCAGTCCTGAAGACTATCAGGTATGTGGAACAGAATGAAATAGATGACTGATCCTTGTTTACAAATTCAGGTAGACTTGTGTGTCTCAGGTATTAGAGCTTTCTTTCCATCTGTGTGGTTTTTTTTAAATGTTCAGAGAGTCTTACTAAACAAACCACTTCACAGTTAGCCCATTGATCATACCATGAGAATGGTGAATGTTCAAGTTATAACGTGTCTTGTACAAAAACAGCAACAAATATTCCGGTGTCGTCATGTTCATGTGGTAAATTAGTTTGTTTCCGTATATGGAGCTTAGATTTTCCAGAAAGTTTTGCCAAAACCCTCTAATTTTATGACTTCCCTTGTCTTGGGTCAGTGGGGTGTGTATTTCTCTATAGTGGGTGTTGGTTATTGTTGTATAGAAGTTTCAGAGTAGCAGCCGTGTTAGTTTGTATTCGCAACAAGAAAAGGAGTACTTGTGGCACCTTAGACTCTAACCAATTTATTTGAGCATAAGCTTTCGTGAGCTATAGCTCACTTCATCGGATGAAGTGAGCTGTAGCTCACGAAAGCTTATGCTCAAATAAATTGGTTAGTCTCTAAGGTGCCACAAGTACTCCTTTTCTTGTTGTATAGAGGCTAATTACTTCCAGGATGCTCCCAACTCCTGCTGCCCCAGGAGTGATAATTTGAGGTTAACACACATTTGAGTTACCCTAATGGAGCAGATTAAGGTGATATTTGATAATCATTGAGTGTCACTCAAGGCTGAGAATAATTAGCCTACAATTAGCAAGCCTACAAGGGTGTACATGCTGTACATACTTAGTGGAGAATACAAACCCACTGATGCTCACACACAGGTTTGTTCTGCATTTACACTAGAACTGTCTTCCTATAGCCTGGTAGTTAGAGTATTCACCTAGGAAGTGGAAAACCCAAGTTCAAGTCCCTGATCCAACAATTATTTATAAAAAGAAGAGAGACCCATACAATAATATCCCAGTGGCTATGGCACTCTCATGAAATTTGGGAAACCTAAGTTCAAATCCATTCCCCACAACAGGGCGGGGTGGGATTGAACCCAGATCTTCCACCTCTCATCCGTGTGCCCTCATCAGTCGATTAAAAGTTATAAGGAAGGCAGTACCATTACCTCTTTTTCTTCCTTGATTTGTTTTGTGAATCTAGTCTTCCTTTGCTTTTGCTAAAATGCTCAAAATTGAAATGAAAAATTGAATCATGCTGAAACAAAACTTTTCATTTTGACACTTCTGAATCATTTCGATTTTTGGTTCAGTTGAAAAATTTGGCGTACTTGACACAAATTTGCAAATAGTTTCAGGTCCGCTGAAACTGCATTTTGCCCAACTTTCATTTACACAGGTAAGCGTACCCAGGTGAAAACCCAATTTATGTGACTACATCTAGATTGACTTGACTAAGTTGAACACACACGAAAGTGCACTTAGGTGCTCACAACTATGAATTTGAGTCTAACTCTTTCTTGTAATGAAGGTGCAAGAGAATTATGTGCAACTTTAAGATGCAGACAAAAAGGAAAAAAATAATTGGTTGTATAAATAGCAAAATTTTCCAATAGCAGAATGGAAGTCTTTTTTGCTGCAGTGAGTTCATACTGATACAATGAATAGACTTGAACAAAACCATAAAGAACTTTTTTATATTTCAGAGTATTGCAGGCACTTTGGAATTTCAGCCAGGAGAAAGATACAAGTATATTACTGTTAACATCACAGATAATTCTGTCCCTGAACTGGAAAAAGCTTTTAAGGTTGAGCTACTGAACCCAGAGGGAGGAGGTAAGACTCACACATCAACTCGTTGCCTACATATGCACAACCTATTTTAGGCACTGAGGGCTTATATACTTAAATACTGCTTAGAAGGTTAATCTTCCATGGTTGGAAATTTTTTCAAAAAGAAAGACTTAAGTTCAATTTTTTTTAGCAAATCTTCAGTTAATTCATTAATTTCATTGCAGAAAACAGCCATACCTCAGAGAAACTTGGACTGGTTGAATGCTATTAATCAACTGGATTATTGCTATGCATTAATTAGGTCACCTAAATAAGTGCTTTTTATTTTCTTTTAATATAGCTTTTTTGCTTGATGATGAGAATTAGAATGATAAAAAAGTATTAACAGGTACATGAAAAATCATCTATCTCAGTTCAACAGTTTAAAAATATATTAAAAATAATAATTAACATTAGTCAAACAGAGTCAGATTAATCCCTTCTGACACTTACTTGAAGTTAGAGAAATCACATAAGAGATGAATTTGGCCCATAGTTTATTCAAATTGGTTATAGTAGTAAAAGGCTACATGGTTGGCTGAAGGGACTATGCTGCTGTAGACACTTGATGGACAGTTGTTTGATAAACTGAAGGATCTGTGAGAAGCTCAGGGAAACTTATACTAGAAGGTGCTTTCCCCAATCAGCTCCAAGTTTCTCTGCTTCCTCCACCTGACTCACCCAGACCAGCATGTTTGAAATGCTGTTGCAGTGCTTTATGGGGTTGTAGTTCGGATACCTTTATGCTCTCATTTTGTTCTATGAAGAAAGCTCTCTGTATGAACCTACATCTCCCATGATGCACCATGAAAAAATTTGTGTAGTTGACAACCAAACTTTTTTTATCGAAAAACAGATTTGACAGATTTTCAGCTAACCTTAGTTTAAAGCTCCAACAGACAGACACCTTCTACTACAAACCTCCTTGTTCCTCCTCCAATATCTCTGAGTGCATACACCCAAAGTAACTACCATCCAATAAACTGTATGGATTCTGAAGAATGTCCTGGACATTTCCTTTTGTCCTTTTGTTAACAGCACAACAAACATAAACATACTCTCTGAGGAAACAGGTTTTAGAGTGGTAGCCGTGTTAGTCTGTATTAGCAAAAAGAATGAGGAGTACTTGTGGCACCTTAGAGACTAACAAATTTATTTGAGCATAAACTTTCATGGGCTAAAACCCACTTCATTGGATGCATGCAGTGGAAAATACAGCAGGAATATATATATATATATATATATATATATACACACAGAGAACATGAAAAGATGGGTGTTTCCATACACACTATAATGTAATGAGAGTGATCACTTAAGGTGAGCTATTATCAGCCGGAGAAAAAAACCTTTTGTAGTGATAATCAGGATGTCCCATTTCCAACAGTTGACAAGAAGGTGAGAGTAACAGTGTATATTTCCCCATGCTTATTTCCCCCACACACACACTGTCACTCTCACCTTCTTGTCAACTGTTGGAAATGGGACATCCTGATTATCACTACAAAAGGTTTTTTTCTCCGGCTGATAATAGCTCACCTTAAGTGATCACTCTCATTACATTATAGTGTGTATGGAAACACCCATCTTTTCATGTTCTCTGTGTGTATATATATATATATATATATGTTTCTACTGTATTTTCCACTGCATGCATCCGATGAAGTGAGCTGTAGCTCACGAAAGCTTCTGCTTAAATAAATTTGTTAGTCTCTAAGGTGCCACAAGTACTCCTCGTTCTTTTTTCTGAGGAAACAGTAGCAACTAGTCAGTCATGTCATCATTAATTCTATTCCTTTTTAATTCTACTTATCAGTTACAAACCTACACCACAGTTTGTGATCTCCTTTTTGTTTACAGCTTGAAGTCCTGTCTTACAAACTTCCTTTATGCTATACCACCTAAAATACTGGGCACCATTTCACAATAGCTCTTATTATCAGTCATCAAACCCTTAATGGCTAATTGTCAAAATTGATTTCCTCATAATTACCTTCAGCGTGATCATTTTAAATATATAAAATTAATGTGCTGTGTATGCTATTTCTGGCTTTGATCAGAGAACATGTATGCTTTCAAAGCCAAATTGGATGCTTTGCAGGAATATTCCCCTATTTTTTCCTTTTGTCTAAAAATGTTTAAAGTGCTTTCTGTCTTCTCTGTGTTATAAATGTATATATGTGTATTGTGTGTCTTTGTGTGTCCTCTTGAAGTTGCTGAACTCTTTAGAAATGATGGGAGTGGTAGTGGTGACGGGGACTTGGAGTTCTTCCTGCCTGCTGTCCATCAACATGGTAAGCATCATGGTCTATCCTTTGTTTCTTAATTCATTACTGAAATATCTCACCCTAGTCCTCACTCATTTGGATTGGTTATAACTGAATTATCTCTCTCTCTCCCTCTCTATGCATTTCAACATAAGCTGAATTTCAATGACTATCAGCATAATTATTTATTCTGTAGAAAGTAGGAGCTTCCGTATAGTTAAGCTTGAATCCAAATTCCTTGTAAATCCCTTTGTTTTGTTCCTTTATGAATTTGACTTGGAAAATTGGTTTGGCTGAATATTGCTGCATTTGCTCTATAAGCAAAACATGCAGAAAATCCGTTAAATTGCAGGTAATTAAAAAATTGCCCTGCTTTGATATTTTGACTCATGCCTGACATAACTTGTGTTCAAACTTTACAAAAAATAATTAATTTGAACCACATAATGAAGCCAAACCTGAAAAATGTTGTCCGTTTTTTTGAAGATTGAAAAAGTTTTGAATGCTTTTTCCCACAATTTTTCATGTGTATGCATGTCTGTGTTGCCTGGTTCAGTCCAGAAGCAGAAGTGTAGAAATACAGTAAACAAGCAGGGTCTATTCTTGGAGAATTTCCAGTCTCCCTAGAAGCCAAAATATCCTGTTCGTGTGAGACTTCCAACCCTGTTTTGCAGACCCAAGAAGTTTAGAGAAGCATCCAAACTACACTAAACTTATCCAAGCCAAAAAGTACAAACCACTTTATTCATCTCTGGCTTTGAATTTTCCCCCTCAAATATATGTGTGTGTGTGTATACACATACTTAATGGGGCTCCCTGTTGTATATAGGATTTATTTTTCTCTTCCTTCTTCTGAAAGGGTTTCTCAGATGACCTAACTACTGGCTTTGTACAGTATCACAGTTCTCTTTCTGCCCCCCTTCTCTCCCAAATCCCTCTGTGATAACACCTTCCCTTTAACTCTTTACTACTTTCACTGTGTATTTTCATTAACTGTGCTTCAGAACTCTGGTCCCTCGGTTCTCAGTCACCCTACATTTCCATTTCCATTCCAGCAGAATGGGTGGCCAGCACAGCAGTACTGAAACTAGAGATCATAATTCCATATTGATGTGTGGGGGTTTTTTTAACATCACTGTTTAAACATTCCTATTCAAGCCAATAAAGGAATGATTTTTTAAATATGCAATCATCAGTATATATACAATTGCATGTTTAACTTGCACATGCAACTGTCATAGTTGGGTATACACATTAGGTCATTAGTGCACACATATGGCCAGTTAGATGTAAAAATGGCCATTTGCATGTTTAGATATGAGTTCTGTGCATAATGGTTATAACTGTGCATGCAAGGTAGTTGTGTGATGTTACACATACAGTTTTGTAACTGGGTCCTAATAGTCTCCAGTAATTTTAGAACCAGAATACTTTCTTTGTAAAATTGTCATCCAAGAAATAGCAAGACGATTTTTATGAGTATGCACACAAAATCATCAAAAGATTTTCAAAGATGACTAGGTGATTTAGACACAACTCCATTAATTTTACTGATAGTTTTGTGTTTAAATCTCCTAATTTACTGAAAAAATCTCATTCTTTGCCTTTATAATGTAGTTGAAAAAATAAGACCCTGACTAAAACAAATGCATTATCACATCCGGATTTAATTGCATTGAATTTTTTAGTGCATTTCCAATAATCTCAATTTGTTAATGGAAGGAGTAGAGTTATAAAACTGAGCAAACTCTTCTGTGGGCATAAAATGCTTAGATATAGCGTTTACCTCCAATTAGGAAGCATTCATGCAGAAAATATTCTGTTCATTGTTCCCATAGTACACTTCTTCTTTTAGCTTTTGATTTAGTGTAACTGAAGATACTGAAAAACTAATTCAGCTTTCTTGGAATTTGTACCTACAGCCAGCCTGGGAATAGCATCCCACATCATAGTGACCATTGATGCCTCTGATGATGCTCATGGTGTGTTTGAGTTCAGCGCTGAATCGCTCTTGGTCAGTGGGACAGAACCTGAGGATGGAGACAGTGTAATTGTGCTTCAGGTCACTACACTTCGCTTTTCATCTGTTGCTACACAATGCTTGTCTATTATTTCTTTCATTAGGGTTTCTGTGATCCTTTATTAAGGGTTGTAGACTTGTGGTTGTAACTTGAACAAACTGTACATTCTTTTCACAATGCTTAGTTAATAAATTACTGTCAAATTTATAAGGTTAAATTTATGATATTAGTTAACAGATATTTTAAAAATAGAATTTTATCGTCCACTCAAATATTAGGTAGAGTAGAACCTCAAAGTTACAAATACCTCGGGACTGGAGGTTGTTCTTAACTCTGAAATGTTCATAACTCTGAACAAAACATTATGGTTGTTCTTTCATAAGTTTACAACTGAACATTGACTTAATACATCTTTGAAACTTCATTATGCAGAAGAAAAATGCTACTTTTAACCATCTTAATTTAAATGAAACAAGCACAGAAACAGTTTTCTTACCTTGTCATTTTTTTTAACGTTCCCTTTATTTTTTTAGTAGTTTATGTTTAACACAATACTGTACTGCATTTGCTTTTTGTATGTGTGTGTATCTGCTGCTGCCTGATTGTGTACTTCAAGTTCCAAATGAGGTGTATGATTGACCGGTCAGTTCGTAACTCTGGTGTTTGTATCTCGAGGTTCTACTATACTAATCTCTTATTAAAGAAACAGAATTGTTGATGGTATAAATTATTTTCTTACATAAATATTAAAAGAGAGGCTGACAAATACAGAAGATGGGAATGCAGCCTAGCTGAGGCAGTAATGGTTATAGATTTGCAATAGGGATTCATATTTAACCCATCATGTCACAATTTTACAAGTCTTTCAATAGATTGGGATTTTGAGAAATATCCTTTTTCCTCCCCTTTGTAGTACAAAAATATTTAAATTTTCACATTTTGTGCTTTAGGTTGTCCGAAATCAGGGGGCCTTGTCCTGTGTCACTTTGCAGTGGATCATAGTCTGTGATCCTACTGAAGATCTGATCTCCACCTATGGCAATATAACTTTTGATATAGGGCAAAGAAGAGCAAACATAACAGTGCAAGTCTCACCTGATGAGTATCCTGAACTGGATAAGATGTTTTCTGTTTTGATCATCAATGTTTCCAGTGGTCGTCTTGGAATTCGTACTAATGCTACATTAACTGTTCTAGCTAATGATGATCCATATGGAATTTTCATCTTTTCTGAGAAAAATAGACCAATCAAAGTTGAGGAAGAAACCAAAAACATCACCCTAACAATAGTACGATTAAGTGGTCTCCTGGGTACAGTCATGGTAACATACAGATCCGTGGGTGATGATGAAAAGTCACCCTATCTGAAATCAGATATTGCCAGAGCAACACAGGAAAGAGACTATATACCCATTTTTGGATTTGTGATCTTCAGAGCCAATAAAAGTGAGGCTAGCATAACTCTTCCTATTTTAGATGATAAGGATCCAGAGAGATCAGAATCTGTGTTTGTGGAGCTACTCAATATTGCTTTGATGGAAAGAGTGCAGGATAGACCAAGTAAGTGCTTTACACATAAATTGTATGCATTTTAGAGACTTGGTAATTGCAGTAAAATTTAACTGATCAAATTATAGTTTGCTTTCCTACCTCAAAATGTATTCATTTAAGAGATCTCTGTGTTACGTTTGGTGTTCTGGCAGTGTATTACCTTAAAATATTCCTTTGTCAGGATGCCACTGAAAACAATATGATTGTATTTCTTGTCCCTTTTTGTATTATTTTAACTGAGGCCTCTCTGGCCATGTAAATTACAAGGTTGGCTGTGAGCACGAGGTTCTGTTGATCAATCTCATTATTCTTGAGAAGCATAGCATAGTGAAATGACCAATTAGAAATTATATTGCATGCTGACCTTATACTTTGCTACTTCATGAACTTTTGCCTGTTTCTTTTAAATATAGAAAATGCATGCTGATCAGCCATTCAGTGATATTTGGGAGACCATAGACTGATTTGCCCTTCACAGTTCCCAAGCTTGTCTAATTAACTCTCCTACTCATTCTTGATAATCAGGAAAGCTTCAAATATATCTCTGTGGGGAGAGTGAACAGTTATATATATTTCATCATAAGAACCACAGAAATAATACTCTGATAGAGACTGTAGTGTGATTGCTACAGACCCGATAGAGAAATGAATGAATAAGTAATGATTTGGCACTGTCCCACCTTTTTGAGAAATAGGCTGATCATGTATACCACTTCAGAGGCTGTGATAGAAAACTCCTGCAGTAAGATATCAAGCTGTGCAGTTCAGGATTTATTGTTATGTTGTAATTTCGATAAACTTCTAAAAACTTTTATTAAGTGAGGTTGTGAAGTGTACTCTGTCCAACTATGAATACTTTCAGTAAACTAGTTTTGTTGAAGAATGGTAGTAACTGATAAGATACCATGAAACTCACTTAAGTTTCTGAGATCTCCTGTAGGTATACAATAAAGATCCCAGACTCTCTCTTACCAAGTTCCTGTTGTATTTCAGTTATGAATTCTCCTCGCCTTGGACCTAAGGGTGATACAGTAGCTCATATAATTATCAATGCCAATGATGATGCTTTTGGAACACTTCAGCTCTCCACTCCAGCTGTGCGAGTTGCTGAAAACTACATTGGACCGATCATCAATGTGACCAGAGCAGGAGGAATATTTGCAGATGTTTCTGTGAAGTTTAAAGCTGTGCCAATAACTGCAACAGCTGGTAAGAAAAGAGAATTGTAAAAATACACATACTGTGTCAAGGTTGCAATCCAATACATAGCATATAGATTCATAGATACTAAGGTCAGAAAGGACCATTATGATCATCTAGTCTGACCGCCTGCACAACGCAGGCCAAAGAATTTCACCGACCCACTCCAGCGAAAAACCTCTCACCTATGTCTGAGCTATTGAAGTCCTCAAATTGTGGTTTAAAGACTTCAAGGAGCAGAGAATCCTCCAGCAAGTGACCCGTGCCCAGTGCTACAGAGGAAGGTGAAAAACCTCCAGGGCCTCTTCCAATCTGCCCTGGAGGAAAATTCCTTCCCGACCCCAAATATGGCGATCAGCTAAACCCTGACCATATGGGCAAGATTCACCAGCCAGATACTACAGAAAATTCTTTCCTGGGTAACTCAGATCCCACCCCATCTAATATCCCATCACAGGCCATTGGGCCTATTTACCATGAATATTTAATTACCAAAACCATGTTATCCCATCATACCATCTCCTCCATAAACTTATCGAGTTTAATCTTAAAGCCAGATAGATCTTTTGCCCCCCACTGCTTCCCTTGGAAGGCTATTCCAAAACTTCACTCCTCTGATGGTTAGAAACCTTCGTCTGATTTCAAGTCTAAACTTCCTGGTGGCCAGTTTATATCCATTTGTTCTTGTGTCCACATTGGTACTGAGCTTAAATAATTCCTCTCCCTCTCCGGTATATTCTCTAGCAAGGAAAATCAACAGGAGTAATGAGGCGCTTACTTGAGTAGTAAAGAGTAATAAAGAACATAGGCCCTGTGCTGTATGCCAGCAGAAATAAATAGCATTTTAGTTAATAGCAATTATTAAAGAAACTATTAGTGGATATATGGTTTATATGACTGTCAGTAATACACAACTGCTTTATGAAAGGGGCATTGTCATTTTAGAGTCAAGCCCAATTTAAATAAATGAGTTAAAAGCAGTTTCAGGATTAAGATCACCTTCCCATTTTGGGCTTTTATAGATCCACATTTTACTATTTTAAAAACTGGTAATCTCTCCTGGTGTTGTCTGAAAAATCCAAAGAGACAATGGAAACTGTTTAACTTGGACCTTGATCCTGCAAACTTTTATTCACATGAATAATCCCATTAAACTAAGAAAACAAGACAAAGAAAGTGAAACATTGGAGAAATATGTTCTCTTTACTCTCTTTCAGCTGTAGTAAACTCTGATGTTACTTGTAACAGTACTAGGGAAAATAATTCCATGTGGATTTTTAAGTTGATCGTCATCTTTTATGTAAACATTATAGTTATATTATTGCTAAGGACTTGTCTTCATTGCAATATTAGCTCAAAGCTATAACTCAAGTGTTGCCCCAACCTAGGGTCCACACACACAAGATTCCAGCTCAAGTTAAGTGTTAGTTTAAGCTTGAGCTAGCTGATCTGGAGGTGAGTGTGTGTGTGTGTGTGTGTGTGTGTAGGCGGGACAGAGTGCTGCTGAAGCATAAGGTAATAATTCAGTGGGTAATGGGGATGTAGCAGCTTCAATTACAGCAACTCATCAGATGCTAATCTAATCACTCTGCTAAACCAATCATTCTGTATAGCTTGAATGGTGTTTTCACAGTGTGGTCATTCTTACTTGAGCAAGCAAATGGTTGCAATCTGTTAGCTAACTCCACTTGGAAGAAGGTGCTTCTGGTCACCAGTGCACCTGGAACTCCAAGAGCAGTTGGCAATGCAGACACAACCCCAGACTGGAAACCCCTTTGATAGAGTGGGCATATCCCATTCAATAATGGGATTGGACAACACCAGCCACTGTCTCCAAATGTTTCCCCCATTTACCAGTATAATCTCTATCTTGTCCAAGCTGAGCCTCAACCATTTCTCTGCTGTCCAAGCCACAGACTCCAACTGACACTAGAAAAGCAAAGTTACTGTATTGTTTGGGATTGCAGAGAAAGGAGTTTTATTGGGTGCTGCATGCAACCACGATAGGAATAACAGCATGTAGGAATTGTGTTTAAAACATTTCCTGAGGTAGCAACATCGTTTTTCTATGCACAGGTGAAGACTACAGTGTAGCCTCATCAGATGTTGTCTTACTAGAAGGGGAAACCAGTAAAGCGGTGCCAATTTATATCATTAATGATATCAACCCTGAAGATGAAGAAATCTTTCATGTGCAGCTGCTGAATCACACAACAGGAGGAGCCTTGCTTGGAGCATTGACTCAATCAGTCATTACCATTGAGGCCTCTGATGATCCATTTGGATCTTTTGGTAAATTGGACCCATTTGAATGTCTTTACTTTTTCTTCTTTAACAAATCTGTGTAGACATGTTGTGGATGTACTATATCTTCCAGGGTGTGCCATGGTCTCCCTCTTAGCTGTGCCATCACTGTGTATTGTGGAAAATACACGCTGGCCAGGGAGCCTGGCCCTGAGGAGAGAATGGGTGCAGGAGGCACTCTAATTACAGCTCCCATGAGGCCCCATGAGGCTCAGTGGAACTCTGTTTAATGTTGAACCAAGCCAAAACGAAACGTTTCATTTCAATTAAAATGAGAATGTTTCGATATAACCTAATGGAAATTTTTTGAAATTCCATGGAAAAACTTTGATATTTTTAGTTTTTATCCCATTTGGGACAAAAACAAATGTCCAGAATTTCCAGCAGGTTAGAAATCCTGTTTTGTTTTGTTTTTTGATCAGCACACCTCACCGTGAACCTGGGGTGGATTTAAACCGGTGACCTAGAAATGAAAACTGTGTGCCATCACTAACCCCGTAAGCCATCCAGTCTACTGCGTTACTAAATAGTAAACCAATATAATGTTTAAACAACTGGGAGTTGAAAAAATCACATATATAGTGGAAGTTATGTATTACTGTTTTCCATGGAATTTTTTCCCACCTCATGTGCTATCTTTACAGTAGAACTGATTGAGAGAAATGGGGGGAAATTGTGTGGGAAAAAATTCAGCATAATTTTCATTCTGCAGGTTTAGAAAAAGAACAAAGTTTATGCTCATTTGAAATTTTGTATGAAAATTTGTTTTTAAATTTTTTGGAACAAAAATGTTCATTTTTTGGCATTTTGACTTTTCCTTGTGTTCTGCCTTTTTTCCTCTTTCCTTCTTTGTTTTTTGTTTCCATATTTTAGTGGCAAAAGAGGAAAAGACAGAAAAATTGTGATCTAAAATAATGAAAAATGGCTACAATTTTTGTTTTGTTTCTTTTTAAAAAAGGACATAGTAAAACCCCCAATTTTTGTGAAAAATCTCTGATTTTTGGGGAAAAAAACATTTTTGAGAAAACATTTTTGGTGTGAAATATTTAGATTAGATCTGTCTGATTGCTGTCTCTATTCTCTTGCTGGGAAAGGTGATTAGAGGTGGCTCTTAGTGTCTTTCTCTTCCAGTTCTTAGTAAACATGTAGTGAAAGGTTCCTGATCATGTGTGGGAGTTTACCCATCACTTACCTGAACTATATATAGGCAAAGCTAGTAGACTTAGCACCTCCATTTCACAAACACCAATTATAATCTCATGTCAAATAAAATAAAATAAAAGTAGTTTAATTTTGCAAAGTGTATATACTGCAAATGGTTTCAGCAAAATGAACAAAGAATTTTAATGAGGAATTTGTTTGATTCCTTAAGCCTCAGTGTTAGTGATGAGGAAATAAGTTTCTCTACCATGTACTTCAGTTTTTCAGGTCAATGAACTCACTGTGGAAGAGCCAGAGTTCAATTCGGTAATGGTAAATTTGCCAGTAATCCGTAATGCTGGGACACTTGGCAATGTTACCATTCAGTGGATTGCCACCATTAATGGACAGCTTGCTACGGGTGACTTGCGTGTTATCTCTGGTAATGTTACCTTTGCCCCTGGGGAAACCATTCAGACGCTGTTGTTAGAGATCCTGGCTGATGATGATCCAGAAATCCAAGAGGTGAGTTGAACATCTAGACCCTATCTGGAATGACACTGTCCAGAAATGTTTGGTATCTCTGTTTCATATAGTGATGGGTTAGAAACCAAGAGATTTTATTCAAAAGAAAGGGAAATCAAGCTGAAAATACTGTTCTGGAAAATTATAAAACAATTTTCAGATACATTAATTAGTATTTATTCTTTGATCCTTGCTGCTGATATTCTTCTATAAGATTCAATAAATCTGTGAATAAATGAGACTATCTAAGCAGTGTAATCTTTTTCTTAGGTTTGGTTTACTAGAGATAGATACATTGAACCTGATTCATTATCTAGCTGAACATCCTAGAATTATATTGCAATATGTATGGGAAATAAAACTAAACACCTGGTTACAATATGGATGAATTGCAGTGGTTAAATCTGACCCATGGTAAGGCAAAACTGAAGTCAGTGGTGTTGCACTGGTTTACACAAGGGCTGTACATAGACAATTATATAATCTAGAGAGAAACAGTGCTACGGGGGTGGGAGAGAAATTATTACAATATGATCAAACATGTTACTAAAGATTGTATAGTGTAACTAAGAGGGAAAGTGCTTTCATATTTAAGTGTGCACATTTGAGTAATTTATGTTTTGTGTCTGACTTGGTATGGAGTTTTGAAAGAGTTTCCTATTTTTTCATAAGTTTTAGTTCTTCTGAACTATCCTGGTCATGAGCCTGAGGAAAATATAGTATTTCAGTATTTTTTTTTAAATAAAGGAATGAAAATAATCCTGAAACCAAAAACAGTTTTCTATCTGGTTTGGTTTACACCACCATGATGTTAAAATAAATGATTAAGCTAATTAAAACAAGCACTCTCAATTCTGTGGCTATGTTTAGACTCTTTCAGAGTATCTTCCCTATTTTTAATTAAATAGAGAACTGTTTGCTCTACAAAATTGCCTATAGTTTGTGTCATGCAACAGTGGGTATGATAAGGAATGTAATAAATAAGTTCTAGGGCTTTTTGTGAGCATGAAACTTTTTGCATGCAAACAAATGCACGAACGTTTTTCATGCACTAAAATCTTCATGACCAGTTGATGGGATTTCTACACGCCTGTAAAATCTAACTGACCATGGGTGTTCAGACTACATCAAAAGGGCTGTTATAGTAGAAATTTCCACTAGTGTAGATCATGTTTTACAGGTAGTATGAATTTTGGTTATGGAGTATATCCATGACAGTTGTACTTCTTAGCAGTGGGGAGAAGAAATCTTCACTGCATCTTAAGCAGTGCGTGTTATGTGTTTCAGGGATAATAGCTTCTCATATCCCTTGATAATATATCGATGGCATATACCTTCTGTAGTTATAGCAATGCTATTTATGATACTGTAGAGTAATAACTCTATCTTTTACTTTGTCACTTACTGTGGTGGAATGCTGGAATGACTATAGGGAAGCCAGCAGAATCCCAAAAATGGGATTCCCCAAATTTTAATGGGTAGATAGGAGTGTAGGAACATGACTTAAATTGATTCAGTAATAATTGAAGCTGTGCAACTCACTGCTCACCCAGAACACTTCTGTGTTAGTCTTTTAATCTGTATGGTTTGCTGTTTAACATGTAGCCTTAAACAGCCCTTTAAATCCAAACATTTTAGAAACATGAAGGGCTATATCATGAACCTTTTGGTGTTATTAATGAACAGTTCCTTGCATGAGTAATCCCACTGCAGTCAATAGGGCTACTTAGGCTACTTATTACTGCTCACCAATGGGAGCCAATAGTTCAAACCTAGCTGGCCCTAAATGATTTATCTTGGTTTCGCAATATAATGTTATTAAGGAAAGTCTAATTATATTTTTAGGTTATCCATGTGCAATTAACCCAGGCCTCGAATGGAGGTGCTATTGGGTTAGATGGCATGGCAAATATTATAATACCTGCCAATGATAATCCTTATGGAACAGTCTGTTTTCATCATGCCTTGTACCGAATTCAGGAGCCACTGGAAAGAAGTTCATTTGCAAACATAACTGTCAAGAGAAGGTTTGTTTAATGTTTGTTTTTTGTGTAAGTATTCGTGGTCCTTCTCCTGTGTCTTTACCGAAATTACAACTCCATGGGCTTTTTCTCATTTTAAATTTTGTTCTGATTTCCTTCTTGTACAGTTTAACTTGTCATCTAATCAGAGTAATCTTTGGCTTCTATATTTATGCTCTTTTAGTTTAAACCACATATGTCTCTTTATCAGAAACATTTAGAAAGAAACGTCTTTTTAAATTTGTCTTATTAATTCTTATAAACATTTAGGGCTAGAGCGTTCCCTGCTCCCAGGAGTCTAGACAGAGGATAAGAGAGGGCAAGGCTAAATATGGCTGTGTAGAAGCTGTCTATATCATGACTCAGGCATGGGGGAGGGAGAGCAGGCATTACTTCTGTGATATGACCTCCTATGAATAAATGGAAGGAGAGAGAGGACAGGGCAGGACAGCTCTGGCTTCTCTCCTTGGCCATCTGGCATAGCTAGCAGGTTGCAAGGGGAGTAATCTGCATTGTTTCAGCTATGTATGATTAACCATAACACATACTATAAATAATCAGAGGTGCCTTCCACACAGGGCCACAGCTAAATTATTCTAGTAGCAGCTTCAGAGAGGATGGATTTTGAATGGTGTTTAGATTGTTTGAAACCACTGAACAATTTTGAAAAGGCTGATAACTTGTATTCAGGTCACTCTTGTTAATGTAGAGGCCTACAGATGTAAGAAAAACTGTCTTCACTTATTAATATGACTGTCTTATCCATCACCACATCCTTTAGTGAGGGAAGATTTGGTGAACTGCAGGTGTTCTACAGTACTTCTGAGGTTGATGTAGTAGCTCTTGCAATAGAGCAAGGCCAAGATATGCTGTCCTACTATGAATTTCCTGTGCAAGGAATTCCTAACCAGCTGTCAAGGACTAAAGTGAATGTCTCAACAGCAAGTGATCCATTACACACCTGTGCAATTCAGTGCCTAAAAGAACAAGCATGTTTCGCCTTTACATTCTCTAGTGCCTCTGGGTTTCCTTTGTGTTTTTGGCTGACATCATGGATCAGCCAAGTAACCAATAACTCAGGATTCTGGACCTACAAGAAAAATGTCACCAGTGTGTCCTCTCTTTTTGGTGCACAAGCCATTGCTGGCAGTGACTATGAATCAGTTACAGGTCAATGGGCCATAATGCTGGAAGGGGAACAGTTTGCAAATCTCACAGTTACCGTACTTCCTGACAATTTGCCAGAGTTGGATGAGAAGTTTACTGTATCCCTTTTGAAGGTTGAACTGATGAACACCTCAGCCAGCTTAAAAAACCAGCCAATGATAGGAAAGCCAAATACCTCCACAGTTGTCATAACGATGAATGGAGATGCCTTTGGAGTGTTTGTGATCTACTGTGTAAATCTCAATGCAACAGAGAAAGGTCTATATGTGGAAGTTGAAGAACGTCTTCAGACCAATGTGCAGCTTATGATACACAGAACAGAAGGCAGCCTGGGACAGGTGACAGTGGAATGGAGTGTGATTGGTGGAACAGCTACCCAAAACTTGGATTTTGTAGGTGGTGGTGAGATTCTGGTGTTTGCTGAAGGTGAGGCAAGGTTTACATTCATTTTTTCCCTTTCTAGATGGAGAAAAGTAGAGGGAGCTAGATAAGTAGATTTCTTGAGTTTTAAACCTGGGTGTCAATTTATTACTAGGCTGTGCCTTCTGGAATACACTCTGTTGTGTGATAGATGTACATTCTCAAGCATATTATGATATTTAGCAGCTCATCAGCATGAGCCTCAAGATACAATTTCCTGTAATAAAATATATATATATAAATGTAATAGTAAAATTTGTAAACATGACTGGGTCCTTCAGAGAACTTTGCACTGCTCTAGTTTTCATCTCATTTACACTGAATAACTCCACTGAAGGCAGTAGTTGTACCAGTGTAAGTGAGATCAGGATGAGGCACAAAGGTGGGTTTTTTTTTTCATCCTTCAATGCAAAAACTAATCTTTAAAAAGCCAACCTTTTAAGATGGCTGCCCCCGCTTCCCCAATTAGCTGTGTTCTTGAAATGAAAGTATCTTTTTAATTTAAAAAGATTTCATTAATTTCACAACAAAGAAAGCATACCTAAGAATTTACAAGTGAGACAAATAAGTAACTGGCAGACATTGCTTATATGCAATGCAGCATGACACATACATCATTTTGATGAATGATAGAGAGAGGTCATTTACAAGCAACTGAAGGGAGTGTAATATACACTTTTTTACTATGTCATTTATGTTGATGAGTCATCATACTCCAACTAATGACCAGCAATGCTAATTCTGACACTGAGATATAATTTTGTTGGTACTTTATAAAAAAGATTCATACAAAACAGATTAAAAAAGGAATTAAAAAGACAGTAGGGTAAGAAATATGTATTTTGTGACCAAGTATGTTCATAACCCTAAAACATACTTAAGTATTTCACATACATTGAACAATAGGATTGTATTGGAGATTTCAGTGTTTTTTTGGGAACTGGTTGACTAGTACAGTTTTCTAGTTATATTGGTCTGATTGGGTAACATGGAAGGTAGATACCAAGTCCATGTGAAAGGCTTGTGGGATGAGAGGATTGCTGAATGCAAACCCTGAGTTGGTCTATTCAAATTCAATTCATACAAGAGAGTGTATGTGTATATATGTGTACACCCCTATATATATAGCATTTAGGTTGTTATTTAAACTCCGACTTGGTAAGACTATTCAAATTCAGTTCATTAGAGAGAAAAGGATGCACTGTTGTTTTCTTTTACAAGAACAGCTCTCCCCTTTTCCAAATAGAGTTAGAAAGCTGAAGCAAATACTGAGTGATTAAAGTGTTCCGCGCACTCAAAAGTTAATTATTTCCTGTTTGAAGGCTGTTTGTTATAATTGACATGGTACGTTGAATAGTTGTTGCAGTGCTATAGATTTACATAAATTTATATATTTTTAAGTATTTCCTAACAAAGAGGATGATTAAGCCCCCTTTGAAAGTGTAGAATCATAGGGTTACAAGGGACTGCAAGGTCATCTAGTCAACCCCTTCTGCCAAGATGCAGAATTTGTGGTGTCTAAACCATCCGAGACAGATGGCTATCCAGTATGCCATTTGTTATGGCTTTGATACCTATATTTTCTTCTATTTTTCCTTACAGGTGAAACTAAAAAGATGGTCACATTGACCATTTTAGATGATCCAGAGCCAGAGGATAATGAAAATATTATAATCAGCCTGACCCACACTGAAGGAGGAAGTCGTATTCTTCCTAGCTCAGACACTGTCACTGTGGTTATTCTGGCTAATGACAATGTGGCAGGAGTTATTAGCTTTCAGACAGCCTCAAGATCTGTTATTGGTCATGAAGGTGGGTTCCTCTTTATGTTGACCTCACTAACTCCATTTGCGATCAACTTCTTTATTCATACTTTCTCTTAATGAGGACTTACATTGTTTGTCCATTTAATTGTGTTGGTAAAAGTAATCAGAGAACCACTGAGTATATGCAAAGGACTATCTAGCTACCCTTCATGTGTTCCATTGTAGTTTAGATGTCTTTCAAATATAAGACTCAGAAAACCCATTGACTGGATAGAGAGAGATTGGGTTCAAAACATGCTATATAACTTCAGCAGTACTTCCCATTTGCTTTCTGAAGCTCACATCTTGTCACTCTAGTTTTAACACCTACTAGCCCCTTTTTAACTTTCCCCCTTATATTCATTTAGTGCCAAATTCTGCACCTGGATACAACCCCTTTTGACTTCATATTATATAGGTACTTATGCATATCTAGCAGTGGTCTTATGTATAACTTCTGATATAATAGAATAGAATATGTTAATGATTCTCACCTGCTTTAAATATTCTGAAAGACACTACTAAAAAGATATTGGGACCTTGTTAAGCGTTAGCACATCTTTTTCTCATTCCCTCATTGCCCTGCTGGTGGGTGAATTACCACTTGTGTTTTGACTGTGGCCACTGATTTGGGGTGTATCAGTCCTGTCTTGTCTCTGTCAGGCTTAAAATAGTGTCATGTGGACATTCAAGAAGAACTGTAAGAGTTTGAATTGGACAAAATGTTTTTCTGTTAGTGCCTTAAAGGGGCACATTGCATGTTTGGTCTAAAGGTTTGCTGTATTTTTATATGGTGATTGCTTTGGTTTGTCTTTTGCTTGAATCTAAAAGAGCTACAGCATCATATTCCTCTAAAATTTGATGAGCAGTCTGTCAAGACAAACTAAACAAAACAGACGTTCATTTCCCAGAGAATGTGTAGATTGTACTTTTTTGTTGGAAAAAAAAATTCTCAATTGATCTTTGTAAACCAAATATGATAATTGCTATACATGAAAGGACATCATAACTCTTTGAAAATTTTATGTAGGTGGTTTATGTTGATTCTGTGCTGGTGTGTGCCTCAGTTTTCATCCTTTATTCCTCTGCATTAATGGTTCTGATCAGCATGTCAAACCAGCTGTAATCTGACAAGCTAAGAAGAGCCATCAATGAGCACAAGGAATTAACAGAAACTGTCTTGATACCAGAGATTATGGTGACCCTCATGAATCTTTTCAACTTGTTAAAGTTAATTTACAAAACATTAGCAAAACTGGTCCTTTGGAATTGAAATGTTTTGTTCTATTTGGAAACTCCACTGAGCATTGATTCTCCAGCTACAAAAGAACAAGAATGCATTGGCTTGCAGCAAGAAAAAAAATAATCCTATAGAATCTCTTGATTAAAAAGAATGAACTAGGTCTTCATAGGGGCATACGGAGGGCTTGATTTTGCCTTTTAATACCTGTTTTTTCTTGTGCTGAAACCATAACTATTGATACCAGACAAAACAACTCCAAATGCTATGTTGTTTAATATTTACTGTATTACTAAATAGTTTCACTGTCCATCAGTTTAAAAAAGTTATTTTCAAGATAAAAATATTGTACATCTCACACATTTTTAGGCAGGTATTCACTGTCCCTAAGCCACATGTATAAATCTTCAGACTTGGGTAAGACACTAAAAATTAAAATAGGGGGAAAAAGTGAAATTGACCTAATGAAACATTTTCAGTCTCCAGAGATCCTTTTATATTTGTTCCAGTCTACTGAAGGCAGAAATTGTATTCATAATACTCACTTTTACCTGAGTTCTTTCTGGATATGACAACCAAAGATCTTAGTAATACTGGTCACTAATGGACTGCCCAGAATCAGTAAAAGTGTTCACTTAGATTAGAACTTTTAATCCAGTGTTTTGATTAATGACGAGTGCTCAAGATGAGTGCACATTGTAACTGATTCCCACATCATAATTCATTTTGTTGTGAACAATGAAAAATCATTGTATTGTATGATTTTGAAATATGCTGTGTCTTATTTGTGCATTTTGCAATTGTGGTACTAAAATATTCTAAGTATTGATTTTGTTTTTAAATGGATGTGCAAAATTCTCAAATAGGATAGAATGTGTTTCAGTGCAGTGTTGAACAATATGATGATGTTCCTCTTTGGAAACCGTAGATCTGTTGTGTACACTCAGGTTTGCCGCTCTTCAGAAACACAATCATAATGATGTCACATTGAATAGATTTTGAACTTTCTTTTCTATTGGAAACAGCAATGGAGCAGCTTAAGGCAAGGTGTGAACATCAGCACAATCCCAGGAGTTAACTTTTGAAATGCTGACGCCTAAATACACATACTATTCTACTTTATTGTAAATGGGCTTCATTTTATGTTTGTAAAGTTCATATATTTTCTTAAAATTATTTATACTGCTTCTTTAAAAATTATTTCTATTGTAGTCTCCTAAAATTAATAACTAATTTCCATCTCATTTCAGTGATGGACAAATATGGGATAGCAGTGGTTCTTCAACAGAACAGAAAATACCTAGAATAATTTTATGATGTCCTTCCTGTCAATTTTAGCAGCATAATACTACTTATAAGTATCCTGTCACGTGGCTGCTCTAAATTACACGGGGCTGGACCGCCCCCACCTGACCCTATGATTATGGCGGAGCCAATGTGGTGTAAAGCCATCATAGCCACATACCTTTCCTTCCCTTTCTTAGCTGCACCAGGCTGAGCTCAGGTGCACCTTTGGATCTGGCTGAGATCTCACACACTATAATCCAGGAAGAGTTCCATTAAAAACCAGTGGAGTCACACTGGTGTTATATCATGATACAGACCCAACAAGTCAAATCATATGCCCATTTTATGCAACAATAAGGGACACAAGTCCTAGCTGGCCACATAGACTGGTTTTGCACTGGACTATTATCCAGAGAAAAGTAATCGCAGGGTAAAAAAGGAGAGGAGGAGAATCTTGCCTCTTCTGTGAGTGGTAGTTTCAGATAGATGTAGAAGCACCTGGTCCTTTCTCAGCCAGCCTTACCTTCTCCCCTCTTTTGCCCTCCAGCTGGGTTTGTTCAGAGGCAACTTGAACCATGTAGTTCCATGGATTTGATTATGCCCAGGATTAGCAACAGTGAGAAAAATTCTAAATAATTTCTTTGAATATCTCTAATATAAACTGGTCAGAAAGTCATTTTCTGGCAGTAGAAATATTGAACAGAACTTGTGAAGGCTGTATTTATGTACCCCTAAAATATTGTTTAAGGAGGAAAAATATAATCTTAGCTGCATGCATTTTCTTATATTTCAGTGAATAAGAATGATGCAGCATAAAACCTTCAGACAGCTAAGAGATGTGTTGTATTAACATACCCAAATATTTTGATACTGTAGGTTTCTGCACATTTTCCTGTCTTTCAGAAGCCAATGCAATACTGTATGTACTGGCAAGCTTAAACCTTGTGCACCTGAAAAATACTGTTTAAATACATATGCAGTATGCTTATGTTTTAGAAATAAACATCTGTCATATAATGTGTATGTATACATATATATGTTCACCCCCCCAACTATACACGCTAATGTATATCTTCATGTTGATATAATATATGAAGCCTCAAGCCATCTTTTTACATTTATGAGCTTATTTTTATCTTTTTGTTTTTCATACATTTTGCAATGATTGCTATACTATTCATTAGTTTTTTATTAAATTGTCCATTAGACTGAATGATAGAAATGCGAAAAGTATAATTATTGTATTTTTTATAAATTAACATTGATAACACTTCGGTCGATTGATATAGTATGTCCTGAGAAATCATAGGAAGCTATTAACTTTTTGTGAAAAATTTCTTTTGTATTTTAAAAAATCTATAACTGATGCTATTATGTAAGTTAAAACTCACATAAATGGAATTTACAGGTAATTGCAAGCATTTTTGTGCATGCATTGTGGAAAATTACATTACAGTGCAATATTATCAACATGTATATTTCTTGCCAGTGAACTGCTATAGGAATTTACTTGTGTCATAGCTAGTACATACAGCATTTACTATCTTGTGTAGTCTACGGATTGCCATTGTTCTGGTGTTTGTGCATGTTCTGATGGGTATGGGATTCTGATGGGATTCATTTTTGCCTTTACGCTGTAGTTGCTTTATAAGTCCTCGCATGCATTTGATAGCTTTTTCCATTACATTTTTCAAAATTGAACTAAAAACAGAACTGAAAGGTTTAGAATTTGGATTTCTCCTTCTTCTTTTATGTTAAAAGCAAACGTGTGTTACATAGTGAGCCTCTCTGTAAAGTATCAGTGGATACTTGAATTTCTTGGTTTTGGAAAAGTTACCATGATTATGGAATGCATGCTTCTGATTCTTATATGACTGATACACAGCAAGGCAGTTTCCCTACAGCAAACATTTTATGATGTTATTATTCCTAGGAGAAGAATTGCAGTTCCACATCCTAAGAACTGCTCCTGGACTGGGAAATGTTACTGTTAATTGGAAAATTGTTGGACATCGCCTAGATCAAACCTTTGAAAACTATTCTGGAGTACTTTTCTTTCCCGAGGTAACCCCATACAGAGTAACTGTGTTCAGCAGCCAAGGCTAGAGATAATATTGAAATGAAGGCTGAAGTGGAAAAGGGTGAACACCTTTCCAAATAGTATTGTTTCCTGACCTATTTGATTTTTGTAGCTCTCTATCTTAGAGGTCCAAATTGTAGGTAGCTTTTAATTTTTGCTTTTTTAAATTTAAAACTTCTTGGATGGAATCATTCAAAATCTGTGACAGATAGCATCCTGGGTTTTGTACAGCGATAACTAACCTATTTTGCCACTTAAAATAAACAGGAGTCATTGAATCTAACATTCTGTGTTCATCTGCTGGATGACCATATTCCTGAAGAAAAGGAAGGATACCAAGTAGTCCTATTCGACATCAGAACTCAAGGTAATGCAAAAGTGTAGCATGGTGAATCTCAAATGGGAAAAGGATGTCATTTGCATTATTGTTTTAATTTATTTGTGACTTTTTAAAGCACTGTACTTTATTACTTAAGTTGTGAAACTTTGTTTCCATGTACTGAAGTTTGGTGGTCCTTCTTTATGTGCATACTGGCTCTAGAGTGTTCTGACTGATATGTTTTGATTGGTTTTACAGTGGGATCAACTCTGTCCAGCAAATTCTGTGAGAGCTGCACCCCTGTAAATAGGAACAGAATTGGACCCAATAATGCCTTTTGGTTATAGTTGCTATGAAATAAGCCACTATTTATATCTGTTCAGACAATTCGTCTTGTCCTGTCACAAGCAGACTTCCCCATTGACTGTTGATTTCTGCAAGGAGGGCAGTAGATTCTATTCCTGCCATTCAGATTATGCTGTGGGAGAAGCATCTAGATCTGCATTTTCTCTGCCCATAGTCACTATTAAACAAATATCCATTACTAAAGCCGGGCTAGATTTGCAAAGGAGTTCTTGCTTCAAGGTGCCCCAGCCACGCTGGCAAAACCAAACCTTACCCTGTAATTACCCATCATATGAATGTACATTGGATGATATTCTGTCTTCTCATTTGATATTATCCTTTCATTAGATATAGCTTTATTGTGTTGTATTGTGCTATATTTGCTCTAGAACATGTATGGAGCCACACTGGGCATAGAAACACAATAGATGGTATCATGTTCTCCCTGATTCATTGTACTGGGAATATGATTGACTGCATGGCATGTTGAAGGAAATAGAAATATAAACTGCCATGGCTAATAAAAAAAAAACAAAAAAAAACCCCACTTCAGCAGCTTAACATTCTGTGTAGTTACTCCATTGACTGTTTTACAGGCGTTTCTTCAATGGGTGCTGCTGTCCTGGATAGCCAAGGGTATGAAGCTGTTTTGACAATAGAGGCCAGTGATGAACCACATGGAGTTTTGAACTTTGCTTCTTCATCCAGGATGGTTTTGATCCAAGAGGCAAACAAAACTATTCAACTTTTCATCAGCAGAGAATTTGGATCTTTAGGTTTGTGTAATTTCTCTAGATACAGAGGTTTTATGTGTCTTCTGCAACATATTCTGTTTGACGAGGAAAAGTCAATGGGAGTCAGATGAATCAAATGTTCATCTCTGTGTCTGCTCTCTTACTTTCAGAATCTTACTTGCAAAAATGTAGTTACAGCCAAAAGTTAAAGAGGACAGTAGCCAAATATTCTTGCTTTCAATTTTAGTCAGTCCCCTCCAGAAACTTACCCAAATCCCTTCACCTCTAACTGTCTGCAGGGAAGGACTTCTCCCTGCATAACAGTGCTTCCTTTGTGATCCACGAGTCCCTGCAAAAACCACACACTATTGGAGACCTGGTGGAAGTGGTGGGGAGAATGGGCCTTTAAACTTAGGTCTTCATGAAACTCTGCTAGTTTTAATGTCATTCTCTTCTCCTGCCCCTTTTTGAAGAACTTTACTGCCCAGTATGGTGATGTGTTGGCCCTCCAAGAGATATTTCCTAAAGCTGTTCGGGTGTTTATATGAGATACTTGTGTCCCCGTGGCTGTAGTTATTATTATTATTATTATTACATAATAATAAGCTGTATTGTGGTAGAACAGACTGGGGCACCATAGTACCAATCTCTATACAAATATACAACTAGGCTTGGCAGAATTAATTTTTTAAAATATTTTCAATGGATAATATCAATGTTTATTTTTAAGTTGTTTTTAATTTTTATTGATTTAAAATTTCACAATGGCAGGAAATTGTTGAGGGGTCAGGCAGTGGGGAGGTCATACAATAATTATTTAAGGACCGTAGATGTTGAGATTCAAAAAGTTAGTTTTATAACTGTTAAAACATAAATTGTCAACATCACATGTCAAAATGTACAACATAAATGTCCTTAAATAAATCTCTGATAAGTTCCTAGGAAGCATTGTTCTTACTTTGTCTATCTGTACATTTTTATTATTATGGGTGAAAATATTTTTTTGTCAGTTGTGTGTGTATGAGCAACTCAATGTTTATCAAAAAAGAAAAGGAGTACTTTGTGGCACTTTAGAGACTAACCAATTTATTTGAGCATAAGCTTTCGTGAGCTACAGCTCCAGCTCACTTCATCCGATGGTCCTCCTTTTCTTTTTGCGAATACAGACTAACACGGCTGTTACTCTGAAACCTGTCAATGTTTATCAACATTTACTGATAAAAATCTAATCCTTCCAAGCTTATATATAGTAAATTACTGTTCCTGCCCCAGAGAGCTAATTCTCTAAAGGAGAAGACATAACATTTGGATAGGATGAACAACAAGGAAAGGTTTGGAGACGTGGGGTAGGAGAGGCAGGGTGAAATAAATGTGGGTGCAATTTTTAGCTAATCAGAAGTAGTAATTATAATTCACCACCTGCTTAACCATTGTGCTATGACACAGCATAGAGAGCAACTGATGTGAAAAATAATTATTGCTTATACACTAGGACAAAATCTCCCTCTTTCTGAGCAGTTGCAGATATCACCTCTACAATATTGCCAACTCCTTCTAGTACAAGAAGTGAAGGAATGAGCCAGAGTCAAATGTCCTTTTAAGTTCATGTAGGTTTCCATCATTTTTTGTTTTCTCATCAAACATAAAATATTGTTAGGGATTATGACTAGTTTTCAAATGATTATTCCTTAATGAATGCAGCTACTTTCCATTTCTCTTTTAGCAGTGGTCCATTTAGGTAAATTTTTGATTGCTCAGTTGTTTTTTGCAGTGGTATGTTATACATTAGATTGTAGCCAGGTGGTAGATGGTCATAACACAAATAGCCACTCAGTCCCACCATCTTCAAATCTCAGGAAATTGGTAGCTTCTTGTTCGAATGGACTAGCTAGTCTGTCACTTATTGATCATAAGTGGTGATACTGCATTTCTGACACTTGGCTTCTGGGGATGGATGCAATTTGCAACACTGTGTTTCAGAATGAATCAAACTTTGTTGCCTTGTATTGACTGAGGGGAAGGGAGTGGGAACAACTAGGAAAAGACATAAGAATTGAATAAAAACAGAACAAAAAAGGGATTAAAAGTTGAAAAAGCAGGAAAAGAATGGAGAAGTAAAAGAAAAGGGGACAGAGAGCTGCAAGAATAAAGTAGAGATAATGTCTGGGATTTTCAAAGACGCACTTTCAATGGTAGTTGGGTACCTATCTCCATTAAGCCCCTTGAAAGGCCCCTATTCTAGAACATGGCATAAGGGATAGAAGGTGTGGGTAGGAAGTGGGTGGTTAGAGGGCTGTGCTCATCCACCATTCTAGTGCAAGGGAAGCTGAACCAGAAAATTTTGGGAACCTCTGTACTTAGGCATTGTGTCCATTTAGTTTTACTGTGTCAAACCCTAAACTTCTTAATTAGATTGTACTCTGCTTTTTGCTAGGAGGAGGGAAAGAAAAATCTCAGCAAAAATACCCACAAAACCACATTTTCTCCCTTTTGCAAAACACTTTTAAATTAGTAGTGTTTAAAAAAAAGGTCTTGGAGCCTTTTTTCCTTTGGAAGAGGGAAGAAAGATGGTCTTGAGGCTAAGGCACTGGACTGGGACTCGAGATGTGGGTTTTAATTCTGGATTACACTATAGACTTCCTGGTGACCAGTTACAAGTCACTGAGAGCCTGATTCAAAGCACACTGAAACCAATGATGTGGCTCCCGTTATCTTCAGTGGGCTTTGGATGAGGTCATTAATCTGCCTGATGGAGTTGCCCATCTGTAAAATGAGGATAATACTCCCTTCTCCTGCACTTTGTCTGTTTTGTCTATTTGGATTGTAGTTAAATAGGAATGAAAATATAAGAACTTTTTTTGTTTTGTTCTACATTTACTAGGTGTTATCAATGTTACATATGCAACAGTGCCAGGATTGCTCAGAGTAAGGAATCAGACAGAAGGGACCTTGGCTGAACCAGGAGTTGATTACATACCTGTGTCTGGTTGGCTGCTTTTAGGGGAAGGAGAAACATCAGCTTCTATAAATGTTACTATTCTAGAGGTAAATCTTAATCCTCGTCATCAATACATGATTGTCTTTGACTTCAGTGGGTGCACAATCTGGGTCTTAATTCCCACAACTTCTCCATCATTTCATGCTGTATACTGTTTCATTGTGGCTCAGAAGAAATAATGGAGGATCTTTTTGCCCTAATCTTAAATGTGGAAACCAGAGGGGTACAGTTAATCACAGAGAGTGACTACAACTAGACATGCATGAATGGAATCAAACTCTCATTAAGCTTCAATTGATACCTAGAATTCAGAATAGTCTTCATTGCCTACAGATATATATGGATTGATTGGTACATACTTTTCTTTTTCAAGCGGGTACTTCTAGTGCTTTTTAAATTCACAATGAAATTTATGTTCAGGAATAGCTTTTTCTGTCACGGTAGTATCTTTTAAACAAAATATAATACTTTATTTGAAACATATTACATGAGGATCAATTTCAGACCTAATAACTGTATTTTAAGAGGGTAGGAATAAATGAATAAAGTCTAATATAATTTAAAATTGTTGGGGCATAAGTTAAGTGTTGTTTTTTGGTTGACTCACATCTTAAAGGATCATAAAAGGAGAATTTACTGTGCTTTTATTCTGCAGGATGATATACCAGAAGTGCAAGAATTCTTCCTGATTAATTTAACATCTGTTGAAATTGTCATGAATCCTTTGATGTCATTCCCTCCCAGACTGGGTATAACATCTGTATCAGTACCATATTTACTTCACAGTTTATATGAATTGTATATATGTAATAACGCATTGTATTTATATTTATTACAGTAGTATAATGATTTAAGGCAAGGTCAAGGCAAGAATAACTGAAAAGGAGGCTTATGCAATCATAAAGCTTACATTTCTTGGGATTCAGGAAAATGGTGGGGTGATTTTAAGGGATGTATATTATCAATTAATCTCAATTTTTAAAAAACCTTTGTCATTTAGTAAAATGTGTCTCATGAGGAAAGTTAATTTGCATCTTGAAATTTGATTCTTGTATTCTAATATGAAAATAGTTTGGACAGTGAGAAAACTTACTGCTGTACATTTCACCAATGAATAATCATTGCTTGACTAACTCAAACGTCTTTGGGTGTCTAATGCAGCATGGTGCCTGTGATGCATTGCACAGGTCAACAGCTGGGATCATTCAAACAGAAGCTGGTGAACAGGGATTATTTCTCAAAAAGTAGCAGTGCCTATTAACAGAATCTCACCAGAGAAAATGGTAGGGCTGTGGTGTGCCTTTTAGGCAAAGCAGGAGAAGTTCCAGTAAGCATTCTACACCAGACAGTCACTGTGCCTCTAGGAGCTTAAAGGGTTGCGGGGGGATCATGGCCATTCATATACAAGGTGCAGTGTGCTCTGCTGACCTCTGCAGATAGGAGTGGGACAGTAGGGCCAGGGGATCTTTGAGAGAATAACACCCATATTAGCACTAACCTTACTCAATCCTTGCATTCCCTGAGCACAAGGATTACCATTGTGTCTGGTCTGTATTAAAGGGTATGCTCCTTATGTCTCCTCCAGAGTTGTGTTCTTACCCTGGTTACTGTTTACTTAGCATCTAAACATATGTGCCAAAATAATACTTTGTGTAACTGGCCCATATGTTTGGATGACAGACTTCATAAAGTCTCTTTTTATTACTGTTTTTATTACATTTGGTTTTGAGGATCAACTTCAATGGGGTTTCTTAATCTTTTAATAAAAAAAAGGAGGACTTGTGGCACCTTAGAGACTAACAAATTTATTTGAGCATAAACTTTCGTGAGCTACAAAAGCTTGTGCTCAAATAAATCTGTTAGTCTCTAAGGTGCCACAAGTCCTCCTTTTCTTTTTGCGGATACAGACTAACACGGCTGCTACTCTGAAACCTGAAATTAATCTTTTAATGATCTTCATTTATCATCTTGCTTGGTTAGAGTCCTGATCGCATGGCAAAATTGCCATTGATTTCAAAGAGAGCTGGATCAGACCCTTAATGTTAAAGAAATGTGTTTACAGTGTGCTTCTAATAGTTTCTCTTTGACTTCTTTTCCCTTTTCTTTGCATGCCTGTAGAAATGACTGAGTTGATTCATTACAGACTGAAAGGTAAACACAACATCCAGTGCTGATTTGTGCAGGTTGAGCTGTGATTAGTTCATTGATTCTAAACCATAAATACTTACTGCACATTCAAAGAGTAACACATGAGTGAGACAAATTATCTTCCAGAACTATATTCTGTGACAGGCTATTTATTTAGTCTTACCCTGCATTATTAGAGGTACTTGAGCACCTTCTTGACTTACAGTAACTTAGCCCTGATATAGTGGGAATCCTAGGACAAATATTCGACAGGCTTGCAGATGCACACATTATATATAGGGATAAGTTTTAACCCATGATTTTCCCTGATAACCCTGAATTCTAGACTCTAAATATTATACTAGAATCTTGCTAGTCTACACTTCCCTATCCACACACTTTATAATTTGCACAAAATTATCCAGCAAAGATTTAATAGAGAAGTCAATATTATAAAACCTCATATTACTTAAACTTCATTATGTTGTAAATAAATTGAGGTACTATCCAGATGTCAAAATAAGCAATTAAAGAACATTTTGAGATGCATCGTGCTCGCTGTATTGTTCATTTACTTGCTAAATTTCACAATTTAGGAAGTCAAAAAGGGTCAGTGCTAGGAATAGGCTGGAATCCTGGCCTGACAGAAGTGAGAGGCAAAACCCCATTGAAGTCAACGGGACCAGGATTTCACCCACAAAATATTATATTCTAGGCAGTGAAGGTGGAAAGTTGCACAACATTTTTCATTAGCTTCAATTGCTTATAACTTTGCCAAACTTCAAGCATTTGTGCTAAAATGCCCGACGTTGGATGTCTGACTCAGGGTGCATCTTTTGGTTTCAGCAAAATTTCTGAGAATGAAGTTGGGGAAAATGCATTGTTTTTACCTTTTTTAACGTCTGACATTTTCTAGAGAAGCTCTAGTGCCTCCATTCTGTGGAACAGGGACTTGGAAGAGGGAAAGGGGTGTCACCCAGGTGTCAGGGATGTTTGTTTTGCTGTTCTTGTTAAAATCCACCAAAATTTTGCCAAGCGATAACACTTAGAAAGTTCCAAGTTCCCACATGCTTAATAGATACTTGTTAGAGCAGAGCAGCTAAATTCTCCAAAGATTCCAACTTCACTTTGCTCCATCTTGGGGCTTCAGAGTTGAGCAGGAGTTTACCTGTGATTGCTCCACCTGGCTACAGGGAGATGCTGTGGAGACTGTCTCTCCTGTGCTCTCGGTGCTCCCACTGCTGACTCTCAGGCAGCACAGAAGAAAAGGAGGAAAGAGCCCCATTTATATGCACAGGGATGAGGACTGGGAAAGGGGAACGAGGACCAGGAACCTGGAGTGGGCAAAAAGGGGCAGGAGCAGAGGGGGATAGGAACAAAGGTAGGAGAAGGGCAAGAGCTGGGAAGAAGGGAAGGGACATGAGAAAAGGCAGGAGCTGGGTGGAGAGGATAAGGGAAAGAGTTGGTAAGGAGAGTCGAGTTGGAGAGTATAGGAGATAGGAACAGAAGGGAACAAGGAGAAACTGGGGGGCACAGGGGCGGAAAGGTCTGCAGCCCCTAGCGTGCACATTCGTACAGAACCTGGAGTTAAACCCATATTCCTCATCCTCAACAAGCTTTTCCTGTCTAGCAAATAACTGTGAATCCCACTGATAATGTGTGTCCTCATCTCCTCGAGTGGCAGGTCTAAGATAACAGTCATCTACTACTCATAGTTACTTAGTCATCTCAAGTAATAGAGGTCTGTGCCATGGACCTAAAGATCATAACTCTACTGATGAACCATGAGAAGAGTAAATATGGTTCAATAGGATGAAATTTTAGTTTTTTCCAATTTTTTTATTATTATTAAACTTAGGAACTTTAAGTTTAAACAAAAATATTTAAAAAATTAAGGTTTCAAAATCAAATGCGTATGTGAGGAAATGCCTAAATTCAGGTTGCCTGGCAGTGCTGTGCTCTGAACAAGTAAAGTGCTACATTCTTTGAAAAATTAAACCATAGGATCTCATATTAGGTATCCAAAATGAATGGACACATTTTATATTAATTTCTCTATGCCTCAGTTCCATGTATGTAAAGTGACTATAATAAACGTCCTCATGTCATATGGGTATCATGAAGATAAGTGTATTAATGTTTATGGAGCACAAAGTGTAAGAGTGATGAGCACCATAGAAATTCCCATAAGGAAATTAGTAATGCTGAACTTGGAATGGTTTAAGTAGTGTACAGTAAATAAGGAATGGGACCACACATTGAATGATGGGGGGAGGGATAGTTCAGTGGTTTGAGCATTGGCCTGCTAATCCCAGGGTTGTGAGCTAAACCCTTGAGGGGGCCATTTAGGGATCTGGGGCAAAAATTGGGGATTGGTCCTGCTTTGAGCAGGGGGTTGGACTAGTTGACCTCCTGAGGTCCCTTCCAACCCTGATATTCTATCTATGAGGATAAAAGAAAATATTCAATAACAGCTTAGTTGGGTTTACCATTCATTTTGTGCACTAAATGAGGGTAGAGTCTATGGAGAAACTAGCATGTGATCATAATGCATGTGCACCCAGAGACCAAATTAAGATTGCACGGGCAACATTAATTCTGGTAAAAAGAAAAGGAGTACTTGTGGCACCTTAGAGACTAACCAATTTATTTGAGCATGAGCTTTCGTGAGCCACAGCTCACTCGAAAGCTCATGCTCAAATAAATTGGTTAGTCTCTAAGGTGCCACAAGTACTCCTTTTCTTTTTGCGAATACAGACTAACACGGCTGTTCCTCTGAAACCTGTCATTAATTCTGGTATTTCCTAACTTTTCAGTGCTGGTGTTTGCAACCTTAATATTCTTGTAATGTTGCTTTTTTTTATTGGTTTGTAATGTTGTGTGTACCTGTGGTAAGACAGAGATGTCTAGTAATATGTCACTCTTTGTGTGGAAGATAGTTCTTCATTTCATTTAGTGGGGACAAGCTTTTCTCTGTGCATTAGCAGTTAATCTGCCCACTCTCTTTCCCACTTTGGAGACAAAGTGCTGCGTATTCTGTGTGTAAAGCTTATTGGCACTTGTGTTAAAAACAGATTTTTAATCAAGCCCTAAAAACAGAGTATAAACAGGTTTTCTTCTTTTTTTTGATATTTTTTTAGTCCTTTGTATTTTGTCTTTAGATGCAGAAGGCTTGGCAGCTCAGATTATTATAGATGCTAATGATGGAGTGAGAGGAGTAATTGAATGGCAGAATACCAAGTAAGTCTCATTTTCCATGAAGAGCCTAGTCTGTCATTAGTTGCTTGAGTGCCTATTCGTTCTCCCTTGGAAATCAGTGGCAAAATTCCCACCAATTTCAGTGGAAGCAAGATCAAACCTTTGGTGTGGCAAAGCAGCCTTAAAGTCATCTGAATTGGCAAATGAAGGATTTCTCTTACATTGGGGAATCATCAGGTATTTTGGGGCTTGTGCAGCAGTTCCTTTGCTATCCCTGGTCTTGACCTTAGCTACTCTGCTTTGCACCATGGACCAGTTGGGTGATCAGGTGGCCCCAAGAATGGAGAGAGGGACATAAATGTAGTTCAAGCCAATTTCCCTTTCCCTATCACACTGAATTTCACTGAACATACCTCAGATTTAGCTCAAGATTTGGTGGAGGATGTGTGTGCATTTTTGTATGTATATAAAATATATTTTTTTCTGCTGTAAAGATGAAATTCAGCTCATTGTGGAGGTCTCTGTCTGTCTGTCTATATCTATATATATTTTGGTGCAGCTAATCTTATTTCTGCACCAGCTTGAATAAATGGGGTTTGAGGAATATGATCTTTCTCTCCAAATTGTATTCAGGCTGTTGGGTTCCATCACAACTTGTCAGTCATCATTGTTCCACTCATAAAATCTACTGGACCTCCACACCCCTACATAGGTGTTCCTTTCACTGTATACACGTAAGGAAGGACTGTAACATAATCAGTGTAACTGGAGTCAGAGGTCCCATTGCCCTAGAGGGAATGTTACTCACAAGACATCAGTGGAACAAGAAACACAGAGATAGGCTGGAAGCAAATCATCCACGTTGACAGAGCAGTCCACAGGGTTTAATAAAGTTTCACTTGTTCTACCTAAAATGCATTCAGTTTTGTACTTTGTGAATGAAACAAGGAAACAAGGGGGCCATTTCCCCTCCTACCTCCAATATTCACTTGTCTCATTCAGACCCAGCATTGAGACTGCATCTGTGAGGGAGTGCAGAAACTTCTGTGTAGACACTCTCCCTGCCCCTTGTTCAGGCATTGTGCAGAAGACCCTCCACAATGGGCTGAATTCCACCTTTAATGTAAAAGACAATATAAAAAGTTACATTAGACATAATTAAAGAATAAATCAGTCTTTCTCATTTGAAAATATACTGAGTCATTTCAAAATGTGATTGTAACAATGATCTGACTTTATATTTTGTACCCAAACAGCTATGTTAAAAGAATATTCTTAAGGTTGCAATGTCAAGGACTCAAAACTTAGAAAATGCCTGTGCCACCTTAGTTCAGACTCCTTTATGTAATCATTGTGATATTCTTTAGTTATATGATCACACACCATTTGTTTTTTAATATATAGATGGCAGTGGATATATATGTGTACACAGTTCAGAAACAGGCAAATATTGCTCAGTAGAGGATTGCATTAGCAATTTACCAAGAACCTGCGGTATTTGCATTAGCAATTTACTGAGAATTTAGTCACTGCTCTGTTTAATGTAAAGGTGTTGCCCCCAGAGATGACAGATCTCATCTTTGCATCTAATGCATTCTGAAAATGAATGGGTAGGAAGGTGCTGAGTTTTGATCACTGATTTGAATGACTAAGCATTGTGCACTCTGTGTTAAATTTGATGCTCTCTTCTGATCACTGATGTTGCATACTACCAGTATAAGAGGATTCTTTTTGCTTTTTATTTTAGTTTTGAAATAGATGAAATCCATGGGGGTCTGACATTAGTAGCATACCGTAACAGAGGATCTTCTGGCAATGTGTCATTGTTTTTCTATGCCCAGAATCTAGAAGCAAAACTGGGACTGGATTTTAATGTGACGCCAAGGGTAAGAAGAAAACGCACAGTACAGTACTATTCATTTCTCAAGTCTCCTTAGTATTGATAATGCAATTATTATTCTCAATTGGCGCAATCATGCAAAGTACTGAACTAGATATTTATCTTAAATTGCATGTTTTCTAAACCAGAAATTATAGGGAAACAGGATTATATCTTTTTTTATAAATCATCAGAATAATCCAAGTTCTGAAATTTTATACTTAGACTTCGTATGTAGCCTTTGTTAGGAAAAAATACATAGTTCATATTTGGAAGCCGTTTTTCTTAACAGGTCCTTTACAATGGGCCCCTTTGAAAAGTTGCTTCAATGAAATGTGCTTATTGGCCCTGATTCTGCTGAAGGCCCCTCAATTCCTGTTCTGGCCACATTACAATAGACGCTCAGAATATGGTCCTTTGTTTGCATTTTTCTTCCATTTTTTAAGAATTCTGTAGGCCAGACTTGCAAAATATCACGTACGTGTTCATGTTACATACTTGTTAAGATATAATGTCTTGTATGTTTCACTACCAGATGCTCTCTTTTGCTGATGGAGAAAGGTATAAATACATTGACGTCATGATTTTTGATGATGATATTCCTGAAGGTGATGAGAAATTCCAGTTAATTTTAACAAATCCCTCCTTGGGGCTGGAACTAGGAGAGAACACAACGGGTAAAACAGACTTATTCTTGATACTCTAGGTCTTTCTTATTGTTGTGTTACAGCTGTTTTCATTTCTTTACGCCTGAGGAATCATTGTACTCTTGAAACCATCATTTACCTATTGTGGGTGACTTTACACTTTTGATGACAATTCTGAAACCTGTAATGAAATTTATCTAACTGCTAAGATTTTATTTAAAATGAGTGAACTATAAAGCAAGACTTATGTAGAAATTAAGTTTTATGAGGAACCATGCTGTTTGTACACGTTTGTACAGCATGGTGGTTTTGGTTTTTTGAGCTATGTAGAGCTACATTTATGCCTGTCTCATGAGTAACTAATGTGCCTCTTCTCTAAGTGCTGTAAGATGTGATATGTAGGATAAAAGCGTAAAAAAGTATATTCTTTTTTAATCTAATTGGTATAGGCTTGATTCTTCCCCCTTGGCAATTTATAGCTTATTCTGGGTGTGGTCACATAAGCATTACTAATTATGACTAAAGACAGCAGAATCTTGCTTTTCATTACTAGAATTTTTTCCCATGGAAGCTCAATAAATTAAAAGTTTGCAGAATGTGCATAATTTCTTTTGTCTAAATCAATTATAGTTACAGGAACTGTCTTTTGTTAATACAAAATTCTTCTTCGAGTGCTTGTTCATGTCCATTTCACATTAGATGTGCGCATGCTGCGTGCACAAGTGTCAGAAACCTTTTCCCTTAGCAGCTCCCGTTGGGCTGGCAGGGCCCCCCCCGACTGGCGCCACTGTACCGTGCATATATACCCCTGCTGCTCGACCCCCTCCAGTTCCTTGTTACCTCTCTCTCTTGTATGAGAGCAGTCCCTTAGCCTTTCTCTTATAGATAGCTGTTATCAGTTAGTTAGCATACACTTTGTTGTGGACACTTAAGTGATTAAGTGCTTGGAAACTTCCGGCACCCACCCCGGGCCGTGGGGCAAGCCACAGGTTTAAGGCTTGTGCCACGTGCCGCAAGGCTACGCCAGTTAGTGACCCCCCGTGGCTCGTGTCTACGTTGCCTGGGGGAAGAACATCAAACTGAGCTGTGTAAGGTTTGCCAGGCATTCAAGCCAAGAACAAAGCCAGCTCCAGCTTCCTCAGTGTCTAGTGCTCCAGAGCCGTCGGGAGACCTGGCACCGGCTAAACACCGAAAGCGGTCTGCCCCACAGCGCCAGACTAGGCCCCGGCACTGCTCGTCCTCCCCGGTGCGGCCCATGGCGCAGCCCAAAGGAAGGCGCGGACGTTCCCCGCAGAGGAGGCCGGCGCCTTTCGAGGCCCCGAGCGCTGATAAGAGCAGGAAGGCTGCTGTACCGGCGCAGGCGCTGGTGGCTCCAGTGCCACGAGTCCCACCGAGCCCAGGCCCAAGTGAGCTTAGTGCGGACAATGGGCTCGAGGACTTAATGGATCAGCCCTCCACGCCTGGCACCTTTGAGGCAGCAAAGGATCTCATTGACCTGTCGGCGACGAGCCCCCTCCCGTACAGGGAGAATCCTCTGGCACCATGCCACGGGTGCCGTCGAGGGGTAAGCTGGCAGTGGGGTGCCTTTCGAGGACACCATCCCGGCACCGCTCCCAGAGTTGGTCCCGGTCGAGCTCCGCGTCTGCGGACTCCCAGTTACCTGCGGCTCAGAAGGAAGTCGCAGTACCGGGAGTGGATCGGCGCGAGAAAGTCACGGACGAGGCACGATCCCCGGCACCGAGTAGAGACTGGCACCAGGAGGAGTTGAGATGGCGCTCGCCGGAGGACTCCCACAGGTGCTGGTCCTGAGAACGCTGGCGCTGGTCCCGGTCCAGATCCCGTTTCCGGGGATATCGGTACCGGTCTCACTCCCATTCCGTTAAGAGTCGCTCATCGACCTCCCGCCGGCACAGATTGTCGGCTCCGCTGTGGCCTTCGCTGTCAGCATCGCCACAGTCTGGCGCCGACTCTGGCCGTTACAGTCACTCGCTTCGTGTTCTGGATAGCAAGGACCCTCTGATGGGGTGGCACCCCCAATGGGGGCCGCCAGGTCATTGGCCCTTCTGGACTCCTTGGGCCTATCAACAGCGCCAAGGGGCCCCGTCCAGGGTGAGCTACTCGGTGCAGCAGTCCCGGTCCCCACACTGACGCCTGACAGTGCCGGAAGCCACAGTATCTAGGCCTCCAGCATCCCCCCAGGGTAAACTGGAGAGACCAGTACCGAGTCCGGTGCCATCCCAAGGTCTCCCGCCCTGGCCCGAGCCAAAGGCCCCTCCCGCGGGAGAAGGGGAGCAGGAAGACCGGCCAGAGGGGGTCAAGCAGCTGCTAACCTCCTCGTCATCCCTGGATGAGGCGGTGGCGGAAACAGCGGTGTCCGGCCCTCCACCCATAGACCACAGAGCCCACAAGGAGCTACTGCATAGGGTCGCCCAGAACTTGGGGCTGCAGGCCGAGGAGTCGGTTGAGCAGGAGGACCCTATGGTGGACATTATGAGCCCCGAAGGTCCATCTAGAATAGCGCACCCGCTCATTAAGACCATCCAATCGAATTATAAGACTATATGGCAGATCCTGGCCTCCAGCGCTCCAACAGCCAAGGTGTGGAGCGCAAGTACTTTGCCCCGTCAAAGGGCTATGAATTCCTATTTTTTGCCACCCAAGTCCGTGCTCCCTGGTGGTCTCAGTGGTGAATGAAAAGGAGCACCATGGTCAACAGGCCCCGGCACCTAAGGCCAAGGAGACAAAACGCCTGGACCTTTTTGGCAGAAAGGTGTACTCATCGGGGGGCCTTCAGTTGAGGATTGCTAAGCAGCAGGCCATCCTCAAGAGACATAATTTTAACTCCTGGGCAGTGGTGGGGAAGTTTAAGGACAACCTCCCGCAAGGTTCCCAACAGGAAACGGCCCTGGTGGACGAGGGCAAGACAGTGGCTAAGGCCTCTCTCCAGACCTCCCTGCGTTTAGCAGACGTGGCAGCCAGAACAATCGCATCAGGGGTGGTCATGAGGCGCTCAGCACGGCTGCAGGAGTCAGGCCTGCCTCCTGAGGTCCAGAGCACACTCCAGGAGCTCCCCTTTGAAGGGTCCAGGCTATTTTCGGACTGGACAGACGCAAGGCTGCATAACCTCAAGGACTCAAGGGCTACATGTAAGTCTCTGGGTATGCACACCCTGGTGACGCAGAGGAAGCCCTTTAAGCCGCAGCCTCCCCCTCAGCGTCAGTACCAGCCTCGTCACAGGCATGAGCCTTACCGTAGGTGAGGCAGGGATAACAGGCGATGGCGCAATAATAACAATAATAATGCACCGGGCCAGAACCAAGGTCAGCACAAATCCCAGCTGGGCACTAAGCCAGGATTTTGAAGATGTGCTTGAGGACAGCGTACCAGACCAGTCACTGGATCCGTCCCCTTGTTTCCTGAACTGCCTGGCTTGTTTCTCCCGTGCATGGTCCAGCATTACATCGGACCTTTGGGTCTTACGCACAGTATGGAATGGGTACTCGCTGCAATTCTCTTCCCTCCTTCCCTCCCATTCCCCTTCCTCATCCCTGTTCAGGGACCCCTCTCGGTTCGCTCACTGCTACAGGTGGGGGCGGTAGAGGTGGTGCCGCACGGCCTAAGGGGGAAAGGTTCTACTCCCGGTACTTCCTCATCCCCAAGGCCAAAGGGTGCCTTCGTCCCATTTTAGACCTGCGAAAGCTCAACAAGTTCCCGGTCAAGGCCCTGTTCCGCATGGTCTTTCTGGGCACTGTCATCCCTTCCTTGGATCCGGGAGGCTGGTACGCTGCCCTCGACACGAAGGATGCGTACTTTCATATTGCCATCCACCCAGCTCATCAGCTGTTCCTGCGCTTCACCGTGGGCCAAGAGCATTACCAGTTTGTGGTTCTCTCGTTCGGTCTAGCTGCACCCCCACGGGTGTTCACAAAATGTATGGCGGTGGTGGAGGCCTTCTTACGGAGGCAGAGGGTCCGGGTTTATCCGTACCTCAACGATTGGCTCCTGACGGGTCGATCCGAAGCAGAAGTGCGGGGACATGTGGAGGTGGCTCTGAGACTGTTCCACGAGCTGGGGCTCCTGGTCAACGTCCCCAAGTCCACTCTCGTGCCCATGCAGAGAGTGGAATTCATAGGGGCAGTCCTAGACATGGTGCAGGCTAGGGCAAGCCTTCCAGTATCCCGATTCCGGGCTATCCAGAAAGTGGTGGCCTCCCTGCGCCAGTTTCCAATGACAACGGCCAGGTGCTACCTGCAGCTGCTGGGCCACATGGCAGCATTCACACATGTGGTCAGGCATGCCAGACTGAGACTCAGGACACCGCAGGTGTGGCTCGCTCGGGTGTACTGCTGAGGCAAGGACCCCCTGGACTTGGTAATGACAGCCCCAAGGGATGTGCTGGACTCCCTGCGGTGGTGGCAGTCCCAGCCTGTGGTTTGCGAAGGCATCCCCTCTGCCACCCCCTAGCCGGACCTGACGCTGATGATGGACACGTCAAACCACGGATGCAGGGGCTCACCTGGGGGACCTCAGGACTCAGGGCTTGTGGTCCGGAGCAGAGCAGTTGCTCCATATCAATGTGAAGGAGCTCAGGGTGGTTCGTCTAGCCTGCCAGACCTTTCATGCCACTCTGAGTGGTCGCAGTGTGACAGTTCTGACAGACAAGACTACTGTCATGTTTTATATAAACAAGCAGGGCGGGGCCTGTTCCTCGCTGCTCTGTCACGAGGCTCTCCTCCTCTGGTTGTATAGCCCATGCCATTCTCCTCGAGGCGTCATATCTCCCGGGGGTGCGAAACGAGCTGGCGGACTACCTCAGCAGGTCGTACGGCATGCATGAGTGGACGCTCAGAGTGGACATCGTGCTTTTGCTCTACCACAGGTGGGGGTTTCCCTGGGTAGACCTGTTTGCCACCAGGGTCAATGCCCGGTGCCCGCGATTCTGCTCGTTCCAGGGCCACAGCCTGGGCTCAGTCGCACACGCATTTGCGATCCCGTGGGGAAGGGCTTGATGTATGTGTTTCCCCCACTGC